ATGTATGTATATACAGAATTGTTTGAGCATGTTTGATAAGTTTGTAACACTGTTGTATCTAAAACCTACATGATCAGCCAGCTGTGGTGGTGCGTGCCTTTAATCACAGCACTTGAGAGGCAAAGACAGGGGGAACTTGAGTTAGAGGCTAGCCTGGTCTACATATTGAGTTACAGGTCAGCCACAGTTGTACATTGATTATTGTTTTCTGAGAACCCTCACTCTCATTGTATATGCTTCAAGCCAGCAGCAGCATTCTGGAATTTGTTACAAATTAAATTCCTAGGTCTTGTATTAGATCTACTTTGACATAAATGCCTATCGTTGTGGTTTTGGGCCTTCATGTCATATCGAAAACAGCTGTAGATCTTACTGTTTTCTGTAGCTTATATTGTTGTTGTTGTTATTATTAGTAAGTTCCCTCTCTGATTTGATTTTTCCAACCCCTTTCTTACCAATGACCACAATACAAGTTTTACCTTAGACATAGTGGATAAACCTAAATTGCTAGTAATCTAGTTTTTAACTTTAATAGTGCTGGATTGAAGGCCAGGTGGTGGTGGCATACACCTAAAATGCCAGCACTTGGGAGAGTTCAAGGCCAGCCAGGTCTACGGAGTAAGTTCCAGGTTAGCTAGGACCGTTAACACAGAGAAACCATCTCTCAAAAAAAAAAAAAAAAAAAAAAAAGAAGAAGAAAGAAAGAAAGAAAACAGAATAGTGCTGTGTTGTGTTGAATCCAGTCCATCCCAATCTTCCAAGCACTGAGAATCCAAGCACATGCCACCATATCCAGCTTCCATTTGATTTATGCAACTGTACTGTTAACTTCTGTTGGCTGTCACTATTGTAAGTCCGACAGGTTTGTAATATATCTTGAATATATTTCTATATCTACTTTTATGTTTTCCTAGATTGTAGGTTTCCTTGTCCACATTTTTTTCTTTAGAATTCAACTTTCCTTTCACTTACAGTGTTTGAATGTGTATTTCATAAAAGATCAAAGTACCACGAATTGGATATCACTACCTCATATTTTTCAGCTTTCATTCTCTTAAGTTAAACTTCTTTGGGCTATAAAATGACTGCATTGGATGTATTGATGGCTTTAGCATTTAAAATTCTGTCATGCTTATTTTAAATGAAGATCTTGTTTAAATACTTTAATGTGAATCCATTTCTGCTAGAAATACATGCCACTATCTTCAGTTACGTGTTAAGTGTAATTACATATTAACACATTAATGTGTGTGTTGCATATACTCACTCATCTGGGCAAGGTGACACTTGCATAATCACCACACTCAGGAGTCTTAGGTGGAAGGACTCAAGTTCAAGGCCTGCTTTGCCTCAATGGTGAAATCCTATCTCCAAAAATATATGGAGAGAAATGTATAGAGATGACTATACACATATATGCACAGTACCTTTTTGTAAATCTGCAGGATACAATGTCAAAAAGTATGGAATTGACAGATATCTGAACACTGTGCCCTTTATTTTTATAGTACATTTTGAGACCCTTTACAATAGCCACAAATAGCATAAAATATCTTGGAGTAACTAACCAAACAAGCGGAAGAACTGTATGACAAGAACTTTAAATATTTTAAGAAAGAGATTGAAGAAGACACCAGAAAATGGAAGATCTTCCATGCTCTTAGGTAGCTAGAAATTACATAGTGAAAATGGCGATCTTACCAAAAGCAATTTGTAGAATCAATGTAATGTCCATCAAAATCCCAGCAAATTTTTCACAGACTTCAAAAGCACCATACTGAAATTCCTATGGAAAAGCAAAAAACCCAGGATAGCCAAAACAATCCTGTACAATAAAAGAACTTCTGGAGGCATCACAATCCCTGACTTCAAACTCTACTACAGAGCTACAGTACTGAAAACAGCCTGGTATTGGCATAAAAACAGACAGGACAACCAATGGAACTAATTTGAAGACAGATATTAATCCACACACCTATGAACACCTGATTTTTGACAAAGAAGCAAAAAATATCAAATAGAAAAAGAAAGCATATTCAACAAATGGTGCTGGCCTAATAGGATGTCAACATGTAGAAGAATGAAAATAGACCCACATTTATCACCATGCACAAAACTCAAGTCCAAACGGATCAAAGACCTCAACATAAAGCCACCTACACTGAACCTTATAGAAGAGAAAGTGGAAAGTACTCTTGAACACATTGGCACAGGAGACCACTTCCTAAATATAATCTCAGCAGCATAGACATTGAGAGAAACAATAAATGGGACCTCCTGAAACTGAAAAGCTTCTGTAAAGCAAAGGATACAGTCAACAAGACAAAACGACAGCCTATAGAATGGGGAAAGATCTTCACTAACCCCACATCAGACAGAGGTCTGATCTCCAAAATATACAAAGAACTCAAGAAATTGGTCACCAGAAGAACACATAATCCAATAAAAAAAAAATGGAGTACAGACCTAAACAGAGAACTCTCAACAGAGGAATCTAAAATGACTGAAAGACACTTAAGGAAATGTTCAACATCTTTAGTCATCAAAGAAATGCAGATCAAAAACACTGATGACAACTTATGCTGGATAGGTTGTGGGGAAAAGAGAATACTTTTGCATTGCTGGTGGGAATGCAAGCTGGTACAGCCCCTTTGGGTGTCAATGTGGCTACACTACACAGTGAAAAAAAATTACTTGAAATTTGTGGGCAAATGGATGGAGCTAGAAAATATATTGAGTGAGGTAACCCAGACCCATAAGGAAAAATACCATATGTGACTTTTAGACATAAAGGAAAGGAAAACCAGCCTATAATTCACAATCCCAGAGAAGCTAGACAACAAAGAGGACCCTAAGAGAGACATACATAGATCTAATGTACATGGGAGAGGGTAGAAGGGGAGGAGACAGGAAAGGAGGGGAGTGGAGAAAAATGTATACCTCAATAAAAGCAATTTAAATAAAATGTGAGGGTTTATTCACGTGTGATCAGAAGCCTTCCATCTAAGTTGTCTTTTTAATGTTAGACCTTTTTCTCACTTTTTTTCATATTGACAAAAGATCCATTGTTTCATTTTTTATTCTTATAAGAAATGATAGGAAAAAAATAAAAAAAAAGAAATGATAGGGTTAGGTTATTAACAATCAAAGTAACAAAAATATGGAGCTAGTTTTAGCAAGAATAAATCGACCAGCAAAAGTAAAAACCAAATGTCTGACTTTCCTTGTGTTTAGATCTAGATCTTCAGTATTTTCAGGTCTCTAATTAAAGGGATTACTGGTATAATCCCCCATGGCCCACGGTCTGCAATCTGTACTTTTCATCTTTATTTTTTGTCTCTTTGCTGTTATTTTGTCCCATGCCTCCTGTAAGAGTATGGGTAGTGTGACTGTGTTAGCTCTAACTTGGAAGCACAACAGAAAAAGGTCTATGAAGTGCTTTACCCATCTCTAGTTGTGGACTCAGTCTTGGAGTTACAAGTCTCACCAGAAATGAAACCAGAATTAAGTACTTTTGCCAAAAACAAGATGCCAGGCACACAAGATCTGCCTGCATCACCACTTCACGTGTTTTGATGAAAACTGTAACCCTTAAGATCCAAGAAATGTAAGCCAGAGCACAAAGTACGTCCTTAACCTTCTCTGGACCATAACTTCAGTGTGCTGACCCTGAGGAGACAGAAGCTTTGGCCTCAATGATGCTGCTCCCTTCTTAATCACAGCTGATCCTTCAGCCCCAGCTGACCAGCATCAACTGTCCAGCAAAGCAAAAATTTCACCTAGGCAGTTCTTAATTCAAAATGTCACTTAACCACTGAGCCATCTCTCCAGCCCCCCAAAACAGTTTTCAAAAGTAATGATAGACTTGAGGATGGGAGAGATTACAGTAGTTAAGACTGCACACTGCTTTCCCCAGGGACCTGGGTTCAGTTTCCAGCACCCACATCTCAATGCTCACATATACTAATTTCAAGATTTTCCTTTTTTTGTCTTGTTTTTTCTTTTTTTAAATAAGATTTATTTATTATATATACAGTGTTATGCCCGCAATGCTTAAAAGATAATGCTACAGGTAATGATTTTTCTGGATAGGACTCCAAATGCATACAAAGCAAAAATTAAAAATTAATTTTAATTAATTAAAAATTAAATTCAAGTGGAATTACATAAAACTAAGTTTTTGCATCTCAAAGGAGACAAAAGTGAAGAGATAACTTACAGGATAGGCAAGAATATTTACCAGCTTTTTATATAACAGAGGACTAATCCAGAATCTATAAAAAGAGAAAAAGGAAAAAAAGCAAGAAAAACAAATAATTCCATTGAAATTGGGCAATTGAACTAAATAGACGCATTTCAAGAGAAGAGATAAAATCTGTACAGATGAAAAAAATGCTCCACAGTTTCCCATAAGGAAAAAAAAATATTACTTCTGTATTCTCGTTTATTGATGGCGTCAACGCCTTTCTTTTAGGTCTGTGGAGGGCTCCCCTAGGGAGGATTAGGTTTGGTTTGGTTGTGAACTTGTCATTGTATGACCGGTTCACTTCCATGGATGTATGTGCATCACGAGGTGCCTGGTGCCCACGGAAGCCAGAAGCGAGCGTCAGTTTCCCTGGAACTGGTGTCACTCAGAATTACAAGTCACCCTGTAGGTGATGGGGAACCACCAAACTAGGGTCCTCTGCAAAAGCAACAAGCGCTCTTGACAGCCCAACCCTGTAGGTGTGGCTGTGGTTGGTGCTTTTCTTACAAAGCTCCACAAGATGCCCAGGAACTCAAAGACTAGCTCGTGAGGAAGCGATGGACGGAGAAGGGTGTACTGAGCTGATGAGAGGGCGGGAACCGGGGAAAGGACCCCTGAGAGGCGGAGGGAGACGATAACGGGAGCCTGGCATCGGTAACTCCGCGAGCCGGCGCGTCCTGGGAGCCTCTAGAAGCCCGCCCACTAGGTGGCACGGCGCATGCGCGGTGGGTCGCTCCCGCCCTGGCGTCTCCAGGACGCGACTCGTCTGTGGCGGGCGCGGCCTTCTCTCCGGGGCACGGGATTCTCTCAGGCTCCGGAGACCGCAGCGGGAGGTAACGACCTGGAATCCTCTCCAAACCCTGCGTCTCCGCGAGTCCCGCCTCACTGTCGGGACCCCCGTTTTCCACGCGGCCCCCCCGCCCTCCCGCTCCGGTCTTCCCTGGCCTCTCAGACGCCGCCCTCCCTGCAGGGTCCCCCACATCTCCACGGGGGGCCTTCGGCGACTCTGGCCACGCCGTCACGAGGAAACTCCTGGGTTGACCCCAGCCGCCGACGGAGCAACGAGGAATGGACGCGGTCTCCTAGCATCCTCCGTGGCAGAGACACCAGAACTTCAATGATTTGCTTGAAATTGCCCTCTCGCTTTTGTTTGAAATAAAGGTACCTTATCCCCCGTCCCCGTAGACTTGACAGAATATGTATTTTGCGCGTATGAGCGGATTTTTTTTCTCAGTTCTTTCCTGTTGTGGGGCGCTTGGTCTCTATCCAGTAGCATCTGTGTTTTCTGAGGCTTTGCAGTATGCGTCAGAAATGATGTTTGCTGCGTCCCAGGAGGTGACTTTTAGCATGCTAAATGGTGGAAGGTTGTATATGATCCTGTAGGGCTCTAGCCCGAAATCTTGAAGTGGTTTGCTGTCTTTTTATCTTTTACGTTTTACTTGCAAAATTTTAGTCTACGTGTTTCCAAACAAACCCGTGGCATAAATACTTAAGCGTTTCTCTTTCATATCTAGAAGTAAGATATGAAACATTAAACAAAACCATAATATAATTATCCCACAAAACCAAAGCTAAACATCTTATTGTCTCTAGTATAGTCTATTAGACTAATCCCCTAATGATTGCTGAGTCCTGTTCAGTTTTCTCCAGTTGCCTTTTAATGATTTTACATAAAAGTTTCCCCAAAATGTAATTAAATATGTACTTTTGTTCAGATTATCCAGTTGTTTTGTTTTGCCGTACTTTATCCTTCTGTTTATCCGTGTGCATACACATAGTATTTAGGAACTATTAAGCACCTAAAATGGCTTTCCAAATGTTTTGCGGATGAGTTGTGTGTATTGTATGTTCTTATTCATACATATTCAGTGCAGTGCGCATCTCTAGTATTGTTCTTTCATGTAAGCTAGTAGCCATCACATTTGGGAAACAGCATCGGATAACGTTGTTTATTGCAATTTTTGTTTTCTGGCGCAGGATAAGATACAGCATTTGGTTGTCTTGTGTGGTTAAATCATCTTTAATGTAGAACACCCGACCTTTGGTTTCCTCAGAACACTGCTTAGCTAGTTTAACACAAGCTGGAATCATTTGGGAAGAACCTCCATCGAGAAAATGCTGCCCTCCCCCCCAATGGAACTGTGGCCAAGCCTGTGGGGCATTTTCTTGATTGATTGATGTGAGAAGACTCAGCTTTCTGTGGGTAGAAACACCCTTGGGCTGGTGGTCCTGGGGTGTATAAGGAAGCAGGCCCAGCAAGCCATGTGGAGCAAGTCAGTAAGTAGCACTCTTGAGTGACCTCTGCAGCAGCTCCATTCTTGTCTTGCATTTCTCCCCTGACTTGCCTGGTTGATGAACTACAAGCTGTAAGATGATGTAAACCCTTTCTTCCCCAGGTTGTTTTCATCATGGTGTTTTACTGCACAGTAGAAACCTTCACTAAGATGGAAATTGCTCCCAGATCATGGGATCCTGCTGTGACAGACCTCACCATGTGTTTTTGGAAGGATTGTGGTGACATTTGTATTTTGCCCAGAGCTCCGTAGCTGTTTTGTGGGAAGGATAGAAGGTTTGGAGAGATGCAGACGATGGAGGCCTGGCTTGTGAAGTAGAGGGAAGAAAAACTGACTGGGGTCATTCAGATGATTTTTTGGGGGTGGGTGGGTGGTGGTGTTTGTTTTTGTTTTTGAAGACACGGTATCTCTGTCTAGCTTTGGATCCTGGAACTCGCTCTATAGACCAGGCTGGCCTTGAGAACTCACAGACGTCTGCCTGCTTCTGCCTCCATAGTGCTGGGATTAAAAGCACGTGCCACCACCGCCCAGCTTTAAGTGATATTTTGAATTAAGAACCGCCTAGGTGAAATTTTTGATGCTGGTCAGCTGGGGCTGAAGGATCAGCTGTGATTAAGAAGGGAGCAGTATCATTGAGGCCAAAGCTTCTGTCTCCTCAGGGTCAGCACACTGAAGTTATGGTCCAGAGAAGGTTAAGGACGTACTTTGTGCTGACCGCCATACTTGTAGTATGTAAGTTTCTTAGTTGGCACTGATTTGAAGGCATGAAGAAGTTGTGGAGAGAAACTGAGCTTGTTGGTTAAGATATTAGTCCCACCCCCACTGTATTGCAGAAGTATATAAAAATTCAAGGTAATCTTGCTTTATAAGGAATTTGAGACTAATTTGGACAAGAGACCCTGTCCAGGTTAGCTTGGAGGACGGGGTTGGGAGTTGAGGGCTGGGGATGGAGCTCACTTGGTCAAATGCTTGCCAGACATACACCATGCTCTGGACTCCATACCACAAAAACCAGGTATGGTTGTGCAGGCAGGCCTATAATCCCAGAAGTCTGGAGTAGAGATAGAATTACAAGTTCAAAATCATCTTTAATTGCATAGGGAGTGTGAGGTTATCCTGGTCTCCATGAGACCGTTTTTTTAAACGAACAAAAAAGAAAAGAATCCAAAATAAGATTGCTAAGATGGCTCAGTGGATAAAGCACTTTCTGGGCATGTTTGAGTACCTGAGTTTGATCCCCCAGTACCCACTTAGAATGTGTCTGTGCTCCCAGAGCTGGGAGGACCTGAGTTTGAACCCCCCCTACCCACTCAGAATGTGCCTGTGCTCCCAGAGCTAGGAGGCAGGGACACCTAGATTCCAGGTGGCTCGGTGGCTAGTCACCTTAGCCAAAATGGCCAGCAACAAACTTCCAATTCACTGAGAGATGCTATCTCAAAGCCTAAGACAAAAAGCAATGGAGGAAGGCGTAAAGTGTCCTCTGGCCTCTGCATGGGCACACAAATGTGTATGCAGTCTGCAAAACGAGTTACAACAGCAGGACAAACATTAAAGCCAAAATAAGGAAATAAACACAGCAAGAGTCACAGCCATTTAATGTTTGCTTTGTGGAAGTTCCCAGTTGTTTAGGTTTTTAAAGTTTTAATATTATATAATGATGAGGCCTGCAATTACTTGTTGTGCTTAGTTGCCTGATCTGTTCACCATTTGCTGCTCACCTTCCATGACCTGGACTCCACTGAACATTACAGATAGATCTTTTGTAAAAGTCCCTCATTTTGGATTTATCTAATGCTTCTTTATGATTGTGTTTATTATTATTGTGATTGTTATTAATTTATGGATCCTCAAAACAAGTGTCACCATGAGACACCCATGAGATCTTCTCATTTTACCTGTTAGGTAGCATGTGACTTCCACCTGTCACGTTTTTGATAGTGTTCATTGTAGTTATGGGATTAAATGGATTCTGCTTGTTACTATGTAAGTCTTAGCACTTTTTACCAAACACTCTATTCATCATAAGGATTCAGTCTTCTGTTTTGATTCATAGATCTTTAATCCATTAGTATAGTTTATTTTAATGTGCATAGTGTTCTTAATTTGGTCAGTGAGGTTCCCTCTCAGAGTGATTCTGTGCCCTCTGCTTGGGTTCTAGTATACTCTGAAGTGGACTGTCCAACTGAGTGGTCATCTTCCCAAGGTTTTTCCAATAACAGGTCATCCTGCCAGGTCATGCTTTTCCTCTATGCTGATTTGGTTCTGACTCTGCACTCAGTGTGAGCATCCTCTTCTGCTTGGGCCATAATAGACTGTCCTTGGTCTCTGCCACAGGTATCCCCACAGCTAGTGTGGGGACTTGTCATGCACCTTTTGTGCTGTCTCGAGGCTATTTCTTCATTTGGGTGCTGGGCATTGAACTGGGAGCCCCTCACATGCCAAACAAGTGCTCTTGCACTGAGCTCTGTCCAGCTCTCTCTTTACTTTTCATTTGAGTCATGGTCTCCATTGCTCAAGCTGACCTTGAATTCACTCTGTGACACTGGGAAACCTTGACCTTAGCAGTCTTCCTGCCTTGACCTTTAGCGTACCTGGAACTTCATGGGTACGCCAGTAGGCCCAGCTAGGCTTCTGTTTTAGATGAGCTAGGCAGTTTGCTTACCTGGTGATAGGAGTTTCATAAATAATTACTCCAGAGATTATTTTCTCACCTTTTGTGTCTTAGCCTTGAAAATCCATAGCATCACTTCCCTTGTACTTTTTGGCCAGAGTGATCCCACAATCTATCTTAGCGTCATGGGAAGAGGTCCAACAGTAGCAAAGTCAGAAGAAGAGCACAAGACTGGAGATTTGCCCTTCTTTACTAAAAGGTCGTCAGCTACACTGAGAAACGCAGTCATAGATGTGATCCTCAGTACCCTTCCTGCTTTATGATCATGGTCATTGTCTGAGAAGTCGTGTGTAAGAGAGCACGTGCGTTTTGCCTCAGTTCAGGATGTGGATGCAATATGGAATGCAGTTTCTTACCTGTAAGAGAGGATGATAAGCCATTGGAAAATAATTAAAAGTTCTTGAAATTCTAAATTAAGATGTTCAGTGTTACCATTTGAATTTCAGATGTCTCCTACAGACTCATTTTCTTGACTCCTTTGTCCCCAGCTTGTGATGCTATTTGGGAGGTTCTGGAAACTTCAGGAGTTTGGTCTAGTTAGAGGACATAGGTCACTGGGGCTGCCCCTTTGGAAGGTTATTCATGTTCCATTGTCCCTACTCTGTTTTCTCTCACCTGTGAGGTGAAGCCTCTCCTCTTCCCTGTGCGCCTATGGCCATGGTATCGTGTCCAAATGGATGTGGCTAGCCAGCTGTGGGTGGGGTCTTCTGAAATCTCCTCCCTCCCTTAGGTGCCTTCCCTCCGGTATTTTGCCACAGTGTTGAGAAAAGTAACTAACTCTCTCTGTAAATATTATGGGCTCTTAATTATTACTGTTATTATTCACAGGATCTCATGACTGGCCTTGCTGACTGGTCATTGGTATCTCAAGAAGCATGGAGATTAGATTAGAAGTTTTGACATCAACAAGTATCAAGCAGAAAAAACCCTGGCCCAGAGTTTCCTGGTTGGGTCAAGTGAGTTTTTCTTTATTCATATATTAATGGTTTTACAGATGCTAAATGTGTTTTTCCTGTAAGATTTAGGAATATTCTGTGACATTAAACTCCCACAAACAACAACACACACACACACACACACACACAAACCTCAAAAGAACACATCATATTCAGAAGATCACCTGTCCCCTAGAGAGGGTTGGTTGTGTGTGTGCTAAGTTATAATATACAAGTTAGCATTTATAGAGCATTGAGTCATCTGTCTAGGTAAAAGGTTTTGTTTTCAGCTTTTTCCCTTTATAACATGTTTAAAGGGAGAGTTTAATGTCCTACATGAGCCTACCAAAACAGCAGAGTATTTCCTAATAGTGTATCTTTAAAGTAGCCTCAGGGCAAAAAACAAGTAGCCTCAGGGCTAGAACAGGATAGGGGCCTTAAGGCATTAATGATCCAGAATGTCATTCATGAGCCGGGCAGTGGTGGCGCACGCCTTTAATCCCAGCACTCGGGAGGCAGAGGCAGGCGGATCTCTGTGAGTTCGAGACCAGCCTGGTCTACAGAGCTAGTTCCAGGACAGGCTCCAAAGCCACAGAGAAACCCTGTCTCGAAAAAACAAAAAAACAAAAACAGAATGTCATTCATGATATGTGGTATAGCCTTCACACCTTAGAGTGGGCAAGCCTACAGAAACCCTTTTAATTTACAGTGATTGGTGACTCAAATTTCAGTGAGAAGTTCTACCCTTATCTTACATGTAACAGGAATTCGCTACTGTTTTTCTTTCAAATTTTTTTTATCCTCTGTGTATGAGTGGTTTCCTTTCGTGTATGTAAGTACACTACATGCATGCATGCATGGTCAATTCACACAGGCCAGAAGAGGATGTCAGAGCTCCTGGCACATGGGTGCTGGGAATCAGACCCAGGTTAACCACTGAGCCATCCTCCAGCCCAGGAGTTTTCAAATTTTACACACATCCAAATCATTTGGACAGGTGAAATTTACTCAGCCGTAAAAAAAATTTTGAAATATAGTTTGTGGAACTAGAGATAATCTTGTTAAACAAAAAAGCCTGATACAGAAGGGAGAATGCTGCATGCTTTTGCTCAAAATTAAAGAAATATGCATTTAAAAGTAAGTACATATAGGATTCGAAAGGAGACGTGGAGCACGTGAGGGGAGAAAGGGTCCAGTGGGAGGTGGACAGGACAGAAGAGGACAATTGGCAGAGAAAGAAAGATAAATATGGTGGGTTTTTTTTCTCATGTTCCATCTTGACATTGTATGTGTGTGTATACATGAATAAAGCAGAAGGGGCGTTCTTGGAGGTAGGAAAGGGACAATATGAGCAAGATATGTGATTAATATGTTTGAAAATATTATAATGAGGGCTGGAGAGATGGCTCAGAGGTTAAGAGCATTGCCTGCTCTTCCAAAGGTCCTGAGTTCAATTCCCAGCAACCACAAGGTGGCTCACAACCATCTGTAATGGGGTCTGGTGCCCTCTTCTGGTGTGCAGACATGCACACAGACAGAATATTGTATGCATAAAAATAAATAAATAAATATTTTAAAAAAAGAAAATATTATAATGAAACCCTTGCATTGTACACTAGCTAAAATAATAATAAAAAACAGATTAATGATTTCCATACTGACTTCCATAGTAAGTCTAGGCTGGGTAATTTATGATTTCTGTTTGTTTTTTTAAGGTTTAGAATGTTTCAAAACATTGCTTATATTTTTTATGTATGAGTGTTTTGATCAGATTCCATGAAAATCCCATGAGACTACATTTATAGATAGTTGTGAATCATCATGTGAGTGTTAAAAATTGACTCAGGACCTCAGGAAGAGCAGTCAGTGCTTTTAAGTACTGAGCCATCTCTCCAGCCCTGGTAATTTGTGTGTTTAGCAGCTTCTGAGGGGTGGCTGCTTCTGGCTCCACAAACTTCATCCAAAATACCTTACTTTTTGTAGGAAAAAAAAAATCTATCTGAGTCAAGAGCTTATGGATTTCCAAAACCATATTCATTTTAATCTAAGACAGTATGTATAAAAACTTGTCCAGCTGGGCATTGGTGGTGCAGGCCTTTAATCCCAGGACTTGGGAGTCAGAGGCAGGCGGATCTCTGAGTTCGAGGCCAGCCTTGTCTACAGAGGGAGTTCCAGTACAGCCGGGGCTACACAGAGAAGCCCTGTCTTGAAAAAACAACACCAAAGAAAAAGCTTGTCCATACAGATGCTCACACGAGTAGGACTTTAAGTAATTCTAGCTTGCCAAAGTGGCCAATGGCCCTAGAATATTAGCCTTTAAAGTGCTTTAAATACAGCTGTTTGATCACCTTACCCTGTAACTTTAACTTTATTATTATTTCCTGTTTTCATAGTGCTAGATATGGAATATATAGGTACAGAATCAGGACCTCACTGCTAGACAGGCACTCTATCCCTGAGTAACACCCTACCCCAAGTATTATTTAAAACAGAATAAAAAATGTTTAGGCTATGGGTTTAATGTTTACTTTAGACTTGTGGTATAAGTTATTCTTGTTCTTAAATGTTATTTTGGTTTCCTTTCTATGGTAAATTATGTAGAGAAGATTGAATTAACTGTTGGAGCCACATAAGTCCTTCACGTGTTTTTCTCTCTCAGGAGAATGAAGCTGTTTTTCTGTTGGATGAGAAATTCATAAATGAGATTAATTTGCTGTCAGGAAGAACAAAGAAGAAGATTCCGAGTCTGCAGCCTTTGTTGAAGGATGTTTTTTTTCTGGCAACATCCAGGAATGGTTAAGTATTGCTGATATGTTCAAAAGGCTAGCTTACTACAATTTTTCAAGAAAAAAAGTCAGCGATAGTGTGTTAAAAGTTGCATTTCGCTTTTGAACAGATATGTGGCTGTCAGGGGTCCTCACTACAGGAGAGCTTTTCCTGTGGAACAAAGATCAAGATTGTTTGAAATTGATACAGGTGACGGAAAAGCCTAAAGAAGTTGTTAAAGCTACAGTAGGTAGGCACTTTTTAAATTTTCTTTGAGACAAGACTGAAGTTTTTTTCATATTACTATTTGATAATGTATCTCTTTGTGTGCATATGCAAATTGTTTCTGTCTATATAATATTCTGAAATTTGATTGGTACTTTTTTGCACCTTATTTAACTTGAAGAAGCAAACCTGGCCTGCATGTCATTGCTCTGATGACAGGTTTCTAGTGTTACATAGCAGTGCAGGTTTTGTGGTGCACGTCTGTAATCCAAACAGTTCAGGAGACCGGGGCAGAAGGACCAGAAGCTTGAGTATTGCTTGGACTGCAGATTGAGCTGAAGGTTGGCTTGAGTGGCCCAGTGTAACCCTGTCTCAAAATAAAAAGTAAAAAGGATGCTAGGAGTGGGTCTCAGTGTTAGAGCCCTTGCCTAGGCTGCACAATGCCGTCGGTTCAATCCCTCCTACATTATTAGTGCTGGGCACTCGGGAAGCGGAGTCAGGCAGATCTCTGTGAGTTAGAGGCCAAGAGTGGTTCCAGGACAAGCAGAGCTGCTGAGAAAATTCCTCAAAAAACAAACAAGCAAAGTAGTAAATGTTATTGTTGTTTGTACTTTTATTATTAATGCTTTAGTTTTAGCATTCTAAGTGATAACACAGCTTGAGTTTCTTACTGCAAGGGTAGCTAACTTGCCTGGCAAACATTTGGATGCTGAGGTAGGAGGATCGCAGAGAGACCTTATTTCATACAAGCCAAAAAGGAAAAGAAAATTATGTACTTTCATGAAAAATTCAGATTTTGAAAGTTTAACTTTTTTGTTTTTTTTTTTTCTTTCTGTTAATTAGCAAGCTCTTCAAGACTATACTTATATGTAGCTGAAAATGGAAAAAGAGTTCTGCTTATTACATCTTCTGGCTGCATACTTCTGTGGGAATATTTGGAATTGAATATTTTATCTTCTAAAAGCCTCCCATTGGTTGGTCAGTGGTCCCAAATCATACCCGAAGAGGCAGTTTTATTGCCTTCCACTCAAGATAAAGAAGCTGTAGTGGATGCTGTTTTTGTCAGAAATGAGGTAAAATCCACACGAGAAACTATGAAGTAGAGTTCTTAGGCTTTAAGAACGGCCCAATCTGAGAAACGTTAGTCAGGGGAATAGCACACCTGTTTGTCACTAGTCAGAGTAGTTGTAAAACTGCTGTTTGGAAGAGGTGATTTTAAGAATAGTTTCAAATTAAAACTTTTTTCCCTTAGTATAATATGACTCGTAGTGAGCCTGGTAGTGAGCATGATGGTGCATACCTGCAACCCAAGTGAGGCAGATGTGCAAGAGCTAACCAAAGTTCAAGACCAGCCTGGTTACATATTGAGCTCCAGGCTGTCTTGGCTATATAGCAAGGCTTTGTCTTGAACAACCAAGTTAAAATCAAATGTTTTATAAGTTAACAAACTAGAACTAGTGGTGTTCCATAAGTTATTAAATTCTCAGGATATAACAGATGCATTGTTTAAGTAAAAATTTTAAATAACTTTATGTAGTCTCTGTGTATGAACTTTCATCTGTTACATAGTCCACTTTTCTTAGAAATTGTATTTTGAAGTTAGGCGTGGTGGTACATACCAATCTCAGCACTATGGAAATAGAGACAAGATGGTCAGTTCAGACCAGCCTGGCTGCTCTTTAAAAAAAAAAAAAAATCTCCGGGTCCTTTAGTTCCAGCATTGGGGAGGCAGAGTCGGGTCTCTGTGAGTTTGAGGCCAGCCTAGTCTACAGAGAGAGTTCCAGAACAGCTAGGACTGTTACACAGAGAAATCCTGTCATGAACCCCACTCCCCCCACAAAAAAAAACTGCATTTTGAAATTTTATTGATTCTTCCCAGTATGGTGATATTCTAATATAGATAATATAAAACTATAAAAGAAGAGAATTTTACAGGAAGTTTCCCAGCAACAATAAATAGTATATTTTTATACTAATATTTGAACATATTAATGAAGTGGCATATAGTAGTTTTATACATTTGTATATTATAGTCAAGTCAGGGTAACAAGCATTTTCATGTCCTGAGCATTAAATACATGTTGGGAATTTTATTCTCTTTGAGTTATTTTGATAATATTTTTGTTACCTTATTTTTTTTCAAAGATTTTTTTTATTTTATGTCTGCATGTATGACTTTTAGCCAGAAGAGGGCGTAAGATCCAAGTATAGAGAGTGTGAGCCACCATGTGAGTGGTGGGAATTGACTCAGGGCCTCTGGAGGAGCAGCCAGTGCTCTTAACTGCTGGGGCATCTCTCCAGCCCCTTTTATGTTTTATCTTATATTTTATATCATCAATTGTAATCTAACATGGTCTGCAGTTACCCTGTGGTGCTATACGAATACCAATACGTGTCCCTTGTTCTACTTGATTGTAAAGAGGATGCCGAAGGTCCCGAAAGAACTCCTCTGTGTCCTTAGGCTGATTTTCCATTTGGGCCTTGTATCTGGCAAATAAAAAATTACATAGCCTTTAGCTTACTATGAAGAATGAAAATAGGAGCAGGGTCCCAATAGACTGTATTTATATGAGACATATCAGTTTATTTTCAGATTAATTGTATACTAAACTATTAAATTTATCTGCAGTTACTTGGCGACTGCTGCCTGTGTTCTTTTACTTTCTATTCTGGAGAATGCTTGAAGTTAGCATTTCTGGTCATTCAGTGGTCAGAGAATGTACTGACGTCTGTAAGGTGAGGTAAATATTTCCCTTTCTCTTCTTTCCAACTTTTAAACAAGCATTGTCATTTGTCATTGACAGTTTGTATTTAAGATTTTCAGGTCTTAATTTCAGTTTTTAAAACTTTGTAGACCTTCCCTTCTACCTTTCACTTTTAAACATTAAATCTAGAAAGGTTCTCTTGTTTTTATTTTCCTAGAAGGGAAAACATGTATGAGATAGCATAGCTTGTGGAGTATTTTTCTTTTTACCTTGGTCCTGCCTCAGGTGATGTGACGGACTTTGTTGACTCTCATGGGAGGCCTCACCCTCTCTGAGGAGTGGATGGGGAGTGGGGTGGGAGGAAAGAAGGGGGAGGCGGGAGGGAAAGGGAAATGAGATTGGTATGTAAAATAAAGAAAATTAAAAAAAATAAAAATAATAATAAAAATTACTTTTAGATGAATTGAACTTTAAAGAGGGCAAGAATATTTGGATTTACTACTGTTGTGCCTTCAAATGCTCAACTGTTTTGTTTTGTGTATTTGAACAAGGTCTCACTATGTAGCCCTGACTATCCTAGAACTCTGTGTGATCTTGCTGGTCTTGTACCCAAGAGATATTCTTGTCTCTGTATCCCAAATGCTGGAGCCACCAGAACTATCCTCAAGTAGTTTTTGTTTGTCCATTTGTTTTTTAATAGTAAAATAGTTTGCAATCAGCCTCATAAAATAGAGCAAAATATATTAAAAGCTTATAAAACTTAAGTATAGTTTAGGAAAATAATGTGTTGTGAATAATCCTCTTGTACACTGTAGAGATTTGTCTCTTGAATTGGTTTAATCAAGTGTTGATTGGCCAGTAACCAGGCAAGAAGTATTGGTGGAGTGACCAAACTAAGGATGATGGAAAGGAGAAGGGCAGAGAAAATAGACCCAGTCAGCTGCTAAGCAAGTAGGACATGTGGGAAATGAGGTAACAAGCCTTGAACCACGTGTCAAAGCATAAATAGAAATATGGGTTAGTTTAAATGTAAGAGTTAGCTAGAAATAAGCCTGAGCTATCGTCCAAGCATTTACAATTAGTATAAGCCTCCAAGTGTTTATTTGGGACTAGGTGGTCAGGACAAAAGCCTCCATTTACATATGGTGCCCAACATGGGTACCAGGTAAAGAGGGGTTCAAGTCAGGTTTGTTTGTTTGTTTATATTTTATGTGGTACATTGGCGTTTTGTCTGTATATGTGAGGATGCGATCCCCTGGAACTAGAATTACAGGCAGTTGTGAGCTGCCATGTGGATGTTGGGGATTGAACCTGGGTCCTCTGGAAGAGCAGCCGGTGCTCTTAACTGTTGAGCTGGCTCTCCAGCCCCCTCAAGTCAGGTTTATTAACAGGTGCAAACAATACAGTGCACTCATGATACAGAATGAAGCTGCAACGTCACTGCTAATTCCGCTGCTGCTCCTCTCATTCCAAAGATGGGCCATGTGAAAGGTTCGAGGAAGGTCACCAAGCTGTGACTTCAGCAAGCCCTCCACTGTCCAAGAGAGTGTGCTAAGGAAGAGGCTCACTTGAGTTCAGGAGTTCAAGGCCAGTGTAAGTCATATGTTGAGACCTCATCTAAAAAAACATATACATACATCAAAAATAAGTAAATAAAATCATTAAACCTTGCTGGGCATTTGTGGTATATTCCATTGATTCCAGCACTTGGGAGGCAGAGGCAGGCGGATCTCTGAGTTTGAGGCCAGCCTGGTCTACAGAGTTAGTTCCAGGACAGCCAGGTCTGTTACACAGAAAAACCCTGTTGAGCGGGGCGATGGTGGCGCACGCCTTTAATCCCAGCACTCGGGAGGCAGAGGCAGGCGGATCTCTGTGAGTTCGATACCAGCCTGGTCTACAGAGCAAGTTCCAGGTCAGGCTCCAAAGCCACAGAGAAACCCTGTCTCGAAAAGCAAAAACAAAAAAACAAAAACCCTGTTGAACCTTCCTTTCATAATTCCATGACTTTCTTAGGTCATTGCCTTTCCGTGTTCACTGGGCACAGCAGGAATGTGTCCTGTGCAGTCTGACTCCCAAGTGTGAGGCAGTGAAGTCAAGAGGAGCTCTGATCTCGGCCTTCTCAAGAGATGGTCTTACCTTGGCAGTGACTCTTAATCAGAAAGACCCAAAGGTCAGTTAACAAGCGCCTGTCCTTACTACTACTGTATGTTCCTTAAAGTGACCTTTTTAGCCCATCGTGGTTTGGTAAAGTTATAAAAATCAACTGTCATAATTTTCAAAAGCTGTTTTGAAGAGCTGTAAAATTAAAAAGCTTATCTTGGTGGCAAATGCCTGTAATCCCAGCACTCTGCACACTGGGGCAGGAGGATTTGAGGTCAAGGCCAGCCTGGGCTACATAGGAAAACCCCGTCTCAAACACAATAAAACAAAGTAACAAGTGAAAGGGTGAAGGAGGAGGGCATGCGTGCTAACCCAGCTGTTGGCAGGGCTGGGGCCGGAGGATTTCAAGTGTAAGGCTACTCTGAACAACTTTAGAGTCAAGAACTGTCAGTACTTGGCTAAGACTACTTACTTGGTATAATAACAGCTCTCTCTGCCTCCAGTAGTAATACACACAGAAGATATCGTCATTGCTTATGTCATGTTTTCCCCCTTCTAGGCAACTCGGGTATTGTTTATAAACACACTGAATTTTGTTACTCTCTGTGGTGACCTTAAAGGATGCAGTAATAAGAATCCTGTGGTCCCTGCTACACTTATCAGGTAAGAATACATGTGCTTATTTCTAAGGAGGGCTTTTGAAGTTTGAAGCTCTAGTAAGTCCACAAATAACATTTAGATTAAAGAATGTGACTTACCTTTATACTTGGTAATTGTAAAAGTTGCTTTATATAAAGAAACTCTCAGATACTTTTAAAGAAAGGGTAGTGTAGAAAATACACTTGTATTTTCTTTTTCATTGTTTTTCCCATCTTCTCAGGAATGGGGCTGTGAGTAGGTCGAGCAATCTGAGGCTTTGTTAGGGAGGGTAAGATAAAAATTCAAGAGCAGAGACCACCATTCATTCAGGTAGGCTAGAGTGTTCATGGATTTTTAAACACTTACATTCATTCATGGTGATTTTGGGATAACACATGAGCTATAAGGCATATACAAGTTAGGTGTGCTGACATACACCTTTAATTCCAGCACTCCAGAAGCAGAGGCAGGGGAATCTCTGAGACTTTGAGGCCAACCTGTGTACATAGCAAGTTCTAGAACAGCCAAGAGAGATCCTGTCTTCAAAAAATAAAAGGAAAAGACCTGTACAAGATTGGAGTACAAAGATTTCTTTCTTGAGCACCTAGCCTCTTGTTTCTGAACACTTTCTATGCCTTTCTCTGAATTTCCAGAGAGGTCAGATCATCTAGCTGCTTTTCTTTGTTGCCCCCCCCTTCCTTTCCAAGAGCAGCGTTGGTCTCAGCTCAGTGGTCCCTTTGACTATGGTCTTGTCAGATGGGAGGGGAGCTGCCCCTTGTTCTGGTGATACATTGATGCTGCCAAGGAGTAGTAGTAGTAAGGAGTAAGGAACAGCTTTGGGAAGAGGAGGTGTGCTGTGTGGGGACAGAATCTGTCATCAGTTGTGGTTATAGAGATTACGGTTCATTCTGATTAAAAGACAATGAAGCCAGGTGTGGTGGTGCACACTTTTAATCCCAACACTCAGAAGACAGAGTCAGGCAGATCTCTGAGTTTGAGGCCAGCCTGTATAGCAAGTTCCAGGACAACCAAGGCTGTTATACAGAGAAACCCTGTCTCAGACCCCTCCCCGCCAAAAATGACTTGACTAATTGGCTCAACTTGGGTAATATTTTCATTTCTGAATTACTTATGATTTCTAATGGAATATTGTTAGAGTCGATATATGTAAGCCTTTTTTCCCTACAAAGTAAAATTAACAAAATTTATGTGACAGTAGCCTACTATCCAGTCCTTTCTAAAACTTATTTATCTTTCTAGGTCATACTGGGTAGGTGACATCAGCTGGACACATGACAGTCTTTTTCTGGCTTGTGTGTTAAAACGTGGATCCCTGATTTTATTGACCTGCCTAGGTGAATTGCTGACATTAGTTACACTTGGTTGCTCTATAGAATTTGGGCCAGCTGAATTTATTCCTCTTCATCCACTGATAACATATAGGTGAGATATTTGAATTGTTTTGTTTTTCAGAACTTATTTTCTTTGGTAGTTAATTTTATTATGCATTTTTACAAAAACAATTTCATCCCCAAATTTGTGTTTTTCTTCTGTGAGTCTATCATGTCAATATCTGTTTCTTATCTGTTCCTAATTATTTATAGTTTTCTTCCTATTTCTTTTTGTGGCTTAATCCTGGTGAAAATTTGCCATTGTGACTATGTAAGTATAAAGTTATTTAAATATTTAATAGTACTGAGAGCATATCTTTACTATAAAAGATAATAAAACATGATACTATTTTAAAAGTGGAGCACTGAAATAATTTAGTAGCTCACAATTAACATATTGAAGGACAGAAACAGTAATAGACTGCAGGGTTTGGCCATATTTGGATTTTAGTTGTGAAAGAAGGTAGCGGTTTGACTCCATAGTCAGATAAATCAAGTTCCAATTCTTAGTTTTTTCTATTTCCCGGTTGTGTACGAGAATAAATTGTTCCTTAAGCCTCAATTTCTTTTCTTGGGAAACGAGTGACAGTAATTGTCTTACAGTGTTGAGGGAATGAAATGAGAGTCTGCGTTAGTATATGGGGTTCTCATGTCAGATAAGTGCTGGGTAACCGTTTGCTGTGCATAGCTAGATGTGTTTAGAGAGCGATTTTAAAAATTAATTTGTCTTAAAAATTGTGTGGAGGTCGCTGCAATGTCAGTGGCGACCTCAGATGCCCGGGAGCTGGAGGTTGTGACTGACGTGGTTGCTGGGAATAAGACCCCCGTCTTCTCACAGAGCGGAGAAGTTCTTAACTGCTGAGTCATCTCTCCAGCACTAAGAGCTATTTTTTCATAGAAAAATTGGAAATGACTTTTGAAATTTCGTAGGAAGGAAACTGACATGGGCACATCCTTGATTATGTTTAGCAAAAAAAAAAAAAAAAGCTTAATGTTTAGTGACAGATTAGTGCCAGGAGAAAACTGTCAATTCTTGTGAATCTTTTGGGTTTTTTTTAACCTTAATTCTTTATTTTACTTTATTTTTTATGTGTATGGGTTTTTTGCCTGCATGTTGTCTGAACTCTGTTTTCAGTGCCCAAGAGGCCAGTTGAGGGTTAGATCCTCTGGGACTGGAGTTACACAGAGAGTCGTGAACCTCCATGTGGAGGCTGAGGCTGGAACTTGGGCTCTTAATTTGTATTGACTGGAATTTCCTCACAATCGCCTTTAAAGTTACCTTTTTAAGGCTTTTCAAATTGATGGCTTTTTTCTAATAGATATTCATTATTTGAAAAAAATAAAATTTGAAAATCACAACATATTATTAAATAGTAAAAATTGGTTCTTACAATGCTAGTCCTCAGAGCTAACAATGGACACCTTAGGGTATCATCTTCTAAACATTAAAGGTACTCATATTGCATTTATAATAATAGAAGTATGTTAGTTTCGACATATGATAAATTGCATAAAATGTGTTTGTTTTTTAACTATTTTTTAATTTTAATTTAATTTTATGTGTATTTTTTGGTTTTTTGATTTTTCAAGACATGGTTTCCCTATGTAACAGCCCTAGCTGTCCTGGAATTCGTTCTGTAGACTAGGCTTGCCTCTGATTCACGGATGCTGGGATTAAAGGCGCCACCACCACCCCACCCAGCATCCTCACTTGTTTGTGCAGTGCTAGAGATCAGACTCAGAGCCGTGCACACAGTAGGCAACTGCTGCATCAGCAGGCCTCCCAATCTGTGTTAATAGTTCTCTAGTCTGAAAAGTTACCATATATTAATAAGTCTCCTTTTATATTTATAAAACATTAAAAGCAATAAGCAGCTGTATTGTGTAATCAGGGTCCATCTCTCTCTCTCTCTCTCTCTCTCTCTCTCTCTCTCTCTCTCTCACACACACACACACACACACACACACACACACACACACGACTCATTTAATTTTAAACTCATAGAATGTTACTCACCAGTATATTCTAATTCTTTTTTTTCTTTTTTTTTTTTTTTTTTGGTTTTTCGAGACAGGGTTTCTCTCTGGTTTTGGAGCCTGTCCTGGAACTAGCTCTTGTAGACCAGGCAGGTCTCGAACTCACAGAGATCCGCCTGCCTCTCTAATTCTTTTTTTGTTCTTAATAACAATTGTACTAATTATCATTCTTGTAATTCTGTTCTTATATTTACATATTTTAGAAGGAAAGCCAGCTACTTAACTCTTTAATAATAAAAGTGAAATGTCATAATTCTTAACCAAGTTGAATACAGTTTAAAAAAACCAAAGCATAATAAATGCCACAAAATTCTGAAAAAAATTGGAAACATGTAAAGACATATATTTGGTCACTGTTATTTTTCCTGGAAGACAATTATACAGATTTTATACTTCTGTGTCTGTTCATCTGCTTGCATTCTCATCATTCATGATGTTTATTTGCCATTTTTGAATAATATGATTACTTCCTTTAAGATCCTTCTCTTGCTGATTCTTGACTTTTCATATGTGTTTGCTAGACCACAACAGTTTACATTTCAAGATTCAAATAATCCTGTAGATTCATCAGCTTCTGACAGTGACCCCCTGAGACAGAGGTTTTCTGTAAAAGCACATTCACGACTACCCTACCTTATTATTTCTGATGGATACATGGTCACGACCCTTCGGTTTCTTGATAACCAGTCTCCAACAGCGCTCATGAGGTCGTTGCTAATTGATTCAACCCAGAGGCTTGAGAAAGCATGCCAAAGTATGATGCTATCTAAGGTACAGTGCCTTCTGGTATCTGTGGTAAAAGTGCCTTCTTGTTTCTTTCAAAGTTAAAACACTAGAAGTTTAAATTGCTTTAGAATTACAGATAAAGTTTTGCGTTTAGAAATCATTTGTCTTTTTTTCCATAGCCAAAGGACAAAGGGCTGAACTTGCGATCACTGGATTCCTTAAGGTCTAGCCTGTTGAAGCATCAAGGAAAGGAGGGCTTAGTTCATGGCACCGTCCCTAGGTTTCTGCAAGCAGAAGAAACAGTGAAGTTAAGTGAAACTACTGATGTTCAGGTACTTATTAGTATCTACTGACTTTATTCTAAGAAATTTATTGGTTTTGTTGTTGTTGTTGTTAAAGGAAATAGAAATTTGAGAACAACACAGCGATCCTATGCATTAGGCTTGAATGGGATTTAATATAATTTTCCCCTTGTGTTTAGGATTCTGAAGGAGAAGAAGCTAATGAAGTTGAACAATTTCCAAACAACTCATTGCCTTTTTGTAACCAAAGAAAAGATCTACGGTTTAGCATTATCAAGGAAGGAAGATTGGAATTTGCATCTATGTTTGATACAGTTCATGCAAAGGATGATTCCAAGGAGACAGACAGAGCCATCGCAGAACTGCATTGTATACAGAAAAAACTACTTGCAGCGTGGACTATAGGCATTTCAAAAAATGTAGCAGAGAAACACTTAATGTTAAGTTACACAGTACTCTGCCTCACTCATTTCTTCTATGTTCTCCAGTTTATAAAGTGCCCTTTGCCTAAGTTTGACCTGTTTGTAAATAAGAATGTGAAGCATAATGCATGGGTACTTTGTATCTTTCAACTTTTCCATCAGTGTTTATCAGTCCACTATTGGGATATGAGATACAGACAAGATATTGGCCATTTGATAAAGCTGACCTCAAATACTGTAAAGCTTTTACTGACTCATCAAGAAAAAAACGGGCTCTTCTCAGAGAAGCTTTTAGCCTGCCTTTCTTTACTCCGAATGGTAGCTGCCCATGTAAATGGTGTCTGCAGTCTTCAGCCCGAGGCCCTTTCAGCATCAGCTGGTGAAAGAACAGCTGAGCTGGACTCATTAGTAGTCCCTATTTGTCAAGCTTCTAAGGAAAGTTGGTCCTGGGACTCATCTTTAAATATTCATCCTCAAGTCACAAATCTTGCTCAAAAGCCAGGTCACAGGTATGAATACTAATTTTATTACTGAAACACTATGGATTTCTTATGATGTAGTAAGAAGTGTGTAATTGGTAGTTTTTAGTATGTTTATAAGATTTTAAACTGTTAGTACTAATCCCAGAGTAGTTTTTCACTCCAGAAGTTACAGGCAGAGCTGCCAGGTGTGGGTACTGAGATGTAAACTCAAGTTTTCTGGAAGACCAGCAGATCCTCTTAATCCCTGAGGTGTCTCTCCCGTCTCTCTATATAAATTGTATTTGTCAGCCAAAGATTGTTTCAATTTTTTTTTAGCGAACATTAAGGACATTTATTTTTAAATCTTGGGCAGCCATAATGATCTTGAAAATATAAAATAAAAGTTAAGTATATAATGGAAAATGTATATAGGTGCATAAAACGTTTGTGAAAATCTTGTGGTCCTTATGTGCATTGGCCCCTGGACCATGATCATTAGCTTGGTCAGTGTGTTCTGTTGCATTTGTGAAGAAATCAAGCAAGACACTGCCTGCAAAGGGAGCTAAACTTGTTTTCATTACTCTTGAAATTTGGTTTTGACAATCTTATTTCCTGTACAGATTGGTTGCTCTTTGGAGGCTGTTGTACAAAAAAACTTTATGGTATCAAGCACAATTAAGCCAAAGAATTCCTGAAGGTGACAGACAGTTACCTGAAAATGTAACACATGAAGTATCTTTTGTCAAGACTCTGTTATGTCATCTCCAAACTAACCTGCAGATGGCCGGGGATAGCTTGCCTCAAGCCTTGGAACTTACACCTATCAGTGGTCAGTATCTTATAAACAGTTTCTACCTCCTTGGATATGTGAAGTGATTAAGTAGGTTTTTGTTTTTCAAAATGATTTTTAGAATAATTTCAGGCTGGATATGTAGCTACTGAATTTTAAAGCAAAATAAACATTTAAAAGTTATGTAATCAACTGTAACTAACTGTTTGGTAAAATCATTCTTAGGTGAAGAGTGCTTTCTGTTAGGATCCTATGAAAGATCAGTTCATCTGTGGAAGAAGGCTCTACAAGAAACACAAGAGAAAGGTAAGGGACATTTTTTTTTTTTTAAAAGGTAGCACTGTATTGGTAAGAATATAGTTTAACTTTCTGCAGAATTTAAAAATATTAAGGCTCAGAGTGTTCACACCTTGTTACTATTCAAGTAAGATGCAGATTGGAGGGAACTTGGGTATCAGAAATACTGTACTGTATTTTAAATTATTTTTAAAATCTTCAATGCTCTCTAGTTGTTTCCTGCCCACCCCACCCCCACCTTATTTAATGATAAAACCTGCAGTTGAATGTTAATGGAAAATAAATTAGATTTATATCCTAAACCTGTTCTTCCTTTTATAGACTCCCTAAATGGGAAACTATCCATCAGATACTCTGCCACACTCCTACAGACATTGAGAGAACCATGGAGCTAAGCCTTCTGGCCTTTAAGAGATTAGAGAGTTTCAGGTTGAACAGAGAGTTGGAGTTAAGTATGATTTGCATGGGGCTTTTGTAATAACATAGGATTCTACGTTCCAGAAACTGATGGTGTCTTTGAAGGTGTGACAGAGTTGATAAAAGTTCCTAAGTGGCAGCTCTGTACCTGGCCTGAGTGTAGCTGCTGCCTGGGCACAGCGCCAGGCTTTACATTATTTCCTGACAGCGTTAGCTTCACACACTTCCCTTCTACATCTGTGTAGTGTTCTCAGTGCTTGCTGTAGCCCAGCTCTGCACAAGGCAGTAGAGATACCAGAAGCTTACCTTTGTTACTGTCACTCATGTGGGCCGGGAGCACAAGGAGAGCACCCCACAGTCTGAAGGTATGGTCAGCTCCAGGGAACCGTGGAGGGGCTGATGTTTAAAGCTGAGTTGAAATTGGATAGTGAAAATGGTAGGATCGAGCTGAATGGTGGTGGCGCATGTCTTTAATCTCAGTACTTGAGAGCAGAGGCAGGTGGATCTTTGTGAATTCGAGGACAGCCAGGGCTACACAGAGAAATACTATCTTGAAAAACAAACAAACAAAGCTGGTAGGATGGTTTAACAGAGGAGGTACATTTGACATGAATTTAGAGCCTAGATAAGTTAGGTCAACTGAGTCACACCTTTATCCCTGCATCATTCTGGGATCTAGAGAAACCAAAAGCCTGAGAAAGTATAAGAATTTGGCAAAGTGCAAATGTGATTTATGCATGCAATATTAGTGGCAGGTCAGTAGTGGGTTAAGGAAGAGTAGTGAAGGAAGGTCTTATGTGGGTGGAGTGCTAAGAAAAGACAGTAGGATCAGATAAGATTTACACAAACAAAAAACAAAAGCAACAACAGCAAAAACCCATGGTCTCACCTTGCAGCTCTGACTGGTCTGGTACTTACTATGAAGACCAGGCTGCCCTTGAACTCAGTGATCTGCCTACCTCTGCCTCCTGAGTCCTGGGATTTTAGGCCAATGTTTTAAATTACATTTATTTATTTGTGTGGAGGGATACACATTTGCTTCAGCGTACCTGTGGAACTCAGAGAATGACTTGTAGGAATTGGTTCTCACCCTCCATGTGGAGACTGGGGCTCAAATTCAGGTTATCAGGCTTGATGGCAAGCACCTTTGCCTATAGAGCTACCTAACTGACCAAGACACATTTTGTAAGGAAAAGACTGTTCAGATAAATATACAAAGTCCCTGATTTATGATAGTTTAACTTAAACTTTTAAACTTTGCCATGGTATGAAATCCATGTGTATTCATGTTTTGCTGAGCCAGAAGTAATTCTATGTGAGGTATGTGTCTTGGGCTTCTATTGCTGTGAAGAGACACCATGACCACGGCAACTCTTAGAAAGGAAAACATTTAACTGGGGCTGACTTACAGTTCAGAGGTTCAGTCCATGCTCATCATGGTGGCATGGTAGTATACAGGCAGACATGGTGCTGGAGAAGGAGCTTTGAGTTCTACATCTTGATCCACAGGCAGCAAAAGGAGACTGTGTACCACACTTGGCATAGCCTGAGCGTATCAGACCTCAAAGCCTGCCCCCACAGTAACAAACTTCCTCCAACAAGGCCATATCTCTTAATAGCACCTCTCCCTCTGGGCCAAACATTCAAATACATGAGTCTTTGGGGGCCATTCCTACTCCCACCCCCACAGTATGCAATGCTGAAGAACAGCAGTGAATCTCAGCTTCAGTCAGTCAGCTGCATGACCACAAGGGTAGCAGCGGATACTCCGTGGTGTACTGTGTTGTACATAGGTCAGTTATAGAATTGCATTTTTAAATGATTTATTTATTTTTTGTTTAATGTATATGAGTGTTTTGCATGTATGTTTGTGCACTATGTATGTGTCTGATACCTTTAGTGGTCAGATGTGTATTAGATCCCATGGAACTAGAGTTACAGAGGGTTCTGAGGTTCCATGCGGGTGATAGGAACCCATCCAATGGCTCTTTGCAAGAGCAGAAAGTGCTCCTTAATACTGGTCTATCTTTCCAGCTCACATACATCCTTTGATTTATGAGCTCTTCTGTTTATGATGGGTTTGTTGGGAAATAGCCCTGTTATACATCAGGGCTCTTTTATAGTTCATTTAGGAAGGTCACTTTGATGCATTTGTGGATGGAAGAGTGAGTTGCACATAGAAGCAAGCTTATTATTCAGCTGGGAAGACTGAACCAAAGCCACATCAGTGTTCATGGAATGTAGTTCATATTTAACAGGTACATAGCAAGTTTGATCAATGGAAATTGTGATCGAGTAGATTCTCATTTTTGAGAACTGGTTAACCGGATAAAGGAGAGGAATTCAGTAAATTAGGAAGTTTTAGATGAAAACAGCTTTCTTAATGAGTCCACTAAGAGCATTTTGTTTACAACTGTACCCATGGGTGTGGTTTCTAAGAGTGGGTGCTCACATGAGCAGTAGCCTCAAAGAGAGTGCCTTAGGATAGACTAGAGGCGGGCAGACTCAGCTGATGTGGTGTTTCTGTGGACACCTACAAGGACTGGGCTCCTTTAGCATATCTGCTCTATTAGTAGTAAGGCTGTTTTGTGGGCCTGTGTCCCAGCCATCACATCCATGCGACTGGCCGCTGGTGGGGGAAAGGTGCACCGCCTGACTGAGTTAACTCCTGTAGGGGAGTCTGTAATATGTGCTTAGTATTATGTCCTGGATCACACGAGTGTTTGTAGTAATCCCAAACAAGATTGAGATTCTTTCACTCAGAACTTGAGATAGCAATCAGCAGACCTTCATGCTCTGATGGTGACAATTTGCGTCTCTTCAGGTAAGAGGGCCTCTCATTTGAGGGCCCACTGAAAGAACTTCAGATGAAAAGACCAGGGTATTGTTGACTTGTTTTTATTTATTATTATTATTATTATTTATTTGAGGTCAGATCTCACTTTGTAGCCCTGTCTAGCCTAGAACTCTGTGTAGACAAGGTTGGACTCAACTTGAGAAATCCTGAATCTTCCTCTGGGTACTGGGATTCAAGGCTGCACAGCCATGTTCATGCTGCCCTGATTTTTAGATAAGTTATTGAAGTATAAAACAGATGCAGAAAACATCCATGTCGTGATTGTGTAATGATGCATTTTCACAATTACCGCATTTCTGTCTACATTGCACTAGCCGGAGAGCACTCACCTGGTACCACACTTGTCAGTGAATTCTGTTCTGTTTTAGGAGGAAGAAGAACGAGCTTTCTTCAGTCACGGTACTATCTCTCTCTCCTGTACTGCCACCTCTACTGCTATAATTTGAACGATGCTCAAGGATTATGTGATCACCTAGTAAGAGACATACTCAGCTGGTCCCAGTTACCTGTAAAAGAAAGTAAAGATTGCTCAGGTATACTTTTTAAAATTCAGTATATTCTCTCTTTCTCTCATTTATTTATTTACTTATCTATCTATCTACCTATTTATTTATTGTGGCTTTCTGAGACAGGGTTTCTTTGTGTAACAGCCCTAGCTGTCCTGGAATTCACTTTGTAGACCAGACTGACTTTGAATTCAACAGAGATCCGCTTGCCTCTGGCTCCCAGGTGCCAGGATTAAAGATGTGTGCTACCACCACCCGCCTTCTACTTTGAAACAGGGTCTTGCTGTATTTCTCTCTGACTTTCTTGGTACTCATGTAACCAGCCCCATGCTGGTCTGAGCATCATGAGTGCTGGGATTATAGGCATGTGCCATCCCATTAGTTTAATAGTTTAATAGCGTTAATTTTTATTTATGGGTTTAGAGAAAAATAGTTTATACATAGAAATTCTCCTGCCTTTACAGTGACTGTTATTGACTGTTATTCTGTGTGGATTTTGGATCATCAGCTTCTCAGTGGAGTATAGCACAGCTGTTCTTTGGATTTATTGAAGAACTCATGAAAGTTGCTTCTCTCGAGGAGTCACGATATGTTCACTTGCTCCTGAATTCCTTGCAAAGGTTATCCGTCTCCCACTTTGTCTCCCACTTCTTCCTCACTCACTTGATTGTTTCATTTGCTATGTAGAGGCTTTTCAGTTTCTGAAATTTCAATTACCAATTATTAACTTTAATTCCTGAGAAAATGAAATCGTACTGAGAGAGTTCTTCCCTGCACCCGTGTCCTGCAGACATTGCCATGTTTCCTTTCATCCAGCAGTTTCAGGTCCCACATTGAGGTCTGTAAGCCAGTTGAGCAGAATGATAAGGTAGAGGTTTAATTTCATCTTTCTACACGTGGACATCCAGTTTTCCCAGCATTATTTGTCTTAGTTTGTTTTCTGTTTCTGCGATAAAACCCTGATCAAAAATCCCAGCTTTCTGGAGGCAGAAGTTCAAAGCCATCCTGGCCCACACAGTGAGTTTCAGGAGCCAAGAAACCCTGTCTCTAACCAATTCAAAAGTAACCCCAGCAAACACACCAATCCCCACAACACAGACCAAAAGAAACTTGTGTTTATTGTGAAGGGAAACCGGGGCAGGAACTAAAGGCAGCGACTGAAGCAGAGGCCCTGGAGGGCCTCCTTACTGCCTTGCTCAGCATACTTTCTTTTGTATGACTCTGTCCCAAGGTGGCTCTGTCCACAGTTACCTGCGTCCTCCTCCATCAGTCTTTAGCCAAGAAAAGGCCCCACAGACATGCCCATAGGCAATCTGATGGATGCATTTTTCTTAATTGAGATTTCTTTTCCTAGATAACTCTAACTTGTATTAAAACAACAACAACAACAAACTAATTAGAATACAGCATTTACTGAAGGTGATGTCTTTCCTCAAGTTGTATTTTTGGCATCTCTGTTAAATATTGGTTGGTTGTAATGTAGTACTTAGGTTTGGGTATCCTGTCCTGTTTTGTTGTTCTACTTGTCTTCTTTGTGTTGTTTTTATTACTATAACTGCAATACAGCTTGAAGTTTGATATGGCAATATTTCCAGCATTGTTTTTGCTCATGATTTCTATTTCTATCTGAGGTCTTATTATTGTGTGTCTATATGAATTTTAGTGCTTTTTTTCTTCTCTATTTTTGTAAAGAACATTATGACTATTTTGATTGAGATTGTGTTTTTACAATATTTTACCAATACCGTGGACATGGGCGATCTTTCTGTCTTCTAACATCCCTTTCAGCTTCTTTCCCTTCTTGGTTAGGTTTGTCATATCTATATACTTTGAGGTTATTGTGAATGAGAGTGTGTCTATGACTGCTGTATTGTAATCGATGCATAAAAAGGCTACTTTTTTTTTAAAGGGGAAAATGAGAATTTAATTTCTGAAATAACAGCAATTTACCCATTGTACCTACTGATGTATTATGCAGATCAACCTTTTGGAAAATTTAGACAAGAAGGGAACTGTCTAGTTCAGTTTTCCCTCTGGAGAGATCAACAGCTTTTGGCTCTTAAGTCTTTGATAAAAGGCATACACAATTCTTGTGTCTACTGTATAGACTACTGCTGCTAGCTGGGCTTCCAAATTTGAGTCTCTAACACTCTTGTAATCCAGACAGGGTTCAATCCTCCACCTTGCACGCCTGTGTTAGAGGATTTAAACACACAATCCAGGAATTCCTTACACTAATTTATACATTTTAATTGGTTGCATATATTAACATGTACTATAAATTCTTTTCTAAGAAGCATTACATAGTAAATGGATACTGTAAAAAGATCTGACTAGTTAAAAGTAACAAGTATTAATGGATACATACAAAACAGCCTGTTCAGAATGGAACGTGGGCACCAGCCTTCCCACAGGACCTTCAAGGAGGGGTGGGGGTAAAGACCACAAGACCATTAAAAAAAAATCAGATAATTAGACACAGATGAACTGTGAACAGTTCTCTCACTCTCCAGTGGACAAAAAGAGTAAGCTTTCCATACCCACTGCACCCCACAGTACCCGGGGTCTCCGCCATATGCCTGCCATACACAGGCTCATGGTGGACAACTGCCCCAAGAGCCCGCCAGGCACAGGCTAGAGTCTGCTCTCTGTGTGTGTGTGTGTGTGTGTGGTGGCTGACTGTGTTTGGTGTTTTCTTTTGGCAGCTGGATGTGAGAGATCACGTTCTGTTCTGTTTAGAGGAGGAGGGACGCATATTGAAGACCTATGCTGTGCGTATTCTTGGTCTGTGAAAGACTCTGTGCTCTGAGCTCACTGCCCCTTCAACAGCTGAAGCTCTCTGCGGAAGCCTTGGCCCGTCATTCTTGTCTAGCTTGATGGGTTCAGGGAATTCATTGTATAACTCCACTTCTGTTTCCGGTTTAAGGGCATTCCGAGCTATTGTCTGGAAGGTCTGCTCCACACTGATGGCCTCCTTGGCACTGGTCTCGAAGTAGGGAATATTGTTTTTGCCTGTAGCACCAAGCCTGTGCTCTCTTTGTGGCCACTTGTCTGTTTTCAAGGTCAATCTTGTTTCCCAGCACAACTAAAGGGAAGTTCTCAGGATCCCTGGGTCTGGCCTGGATAAGAAACTCCTCTCTCCAGCTGTCAAGGGTTTTGAATGTCCTGGGGGCAGTCACATCAAACACCAGAATACTGCATTCTGCACCTCTGTAGAAGGCCACACCACGAGACTGGAACCGTTCTTGACCAGCTGTGTCCCAGATCTGCTTTGTGACAAGTCTGTCAACCACCATCACCTCCTTGGTCAGAAAGTCTGCTCCTATTGTGGCTTTGTACTGGTCACTGAACTTCTTATTCACATATTGGTTCATGAGCAGTATCTTTCCAACAGCAGAATCTCCCACGATGATGACCTTCAGCAACACTTTCTTCCTAGAGGTCATCCTTTAAGTGAATCCGCCAAGGAAGAGACACAACGCAGACAGCTGCTGCGTGGGAGTCTGACTCCGGCTCCAGCAGGCTCCTTGGAGCTGCCCAGCCCCAAACACCCAAGGCTACTTTTTTTATAAGTTGATTTTGTGTGTGTGTTTTCTCCCACTTTTCTAAACATATTGTTTCCAGAAGTTTTCTGGTAAAATTTTTGGTATTTTTATATATACATATATAATATTATATATTGCACATTATATATACATTACATATTATATTATATGTAATAAATATAATGTATTACATACTATATAATATATATTATCTTCTACAAATAGGGATAATTTGGCTTCTGTTCGTATTAGTGTCCCTTTAATTCCCTCCTCTTGTCTTAATGCTTGCTCTATGGCTTCAAGCACTGCATTGAAAGGCACTGAACTACCAGTATATCACCAGCACTGTTGAAAAGGAGTGGGATAGTGCACAGCAGCTCCAGCTGGGCCTGGGCCAGGGTGCTGAGGCCCCCCACCCAGCTGGATGCGCTAGGGTGTGATTCTGGATGGGCCTGAGTGTGCAGGGGCAGTTTTGGGGGCAGGGCTTGGAGATTCCAGTGTGACACTGGATGGGCCTGAGAATGGGGGTTGTCTCAAATAATTTTTATGGTTTGCTCTGTTCCTTAGATTCTGAGAAGTCTCCTTGTGAGTTTGGAGTGACCAGGAATGTACATCCGGAGGCCGCAGTCAGAGTTGTCCAGTGCATGGCCCGTTTCATGGCTGCATATTTCACCAATGAACCACTCTGCATCCTGCCGCCTCACAGCGTGAATGTTCTTCCTCCACTTCATATTAAAACAGGTAAAATATGTAAACAAATATTCTCTTGCCTTGGCTTTTACACATGGTATCTAAAATCAGTATCCTATGGAGATTGCACTGTTTTTAGTTGTTACTCAAGCTTGCCTCTGTTCTTGAACCCACCGTTACTTGTCTTAACCTCCCGACTAGCTGAGATTGTAGGTGTGAGCTGCTACTCAGAGCTCACATTAGCTTACCTTCCTTTCATCTTCATTCCTTGTTTACTTCATTCACTCTGACAGTAGGTATTGAAGCCTCATGCGTGTTTGGCAAGTGCTTGTCAACCTCTTTTCTGTCGTTGCTGTTGAAATACACCAAATAGAGTGGATTGGTGGCCCCACAACTCAGCACAACGTATCTATGCTGTCTCACTTCAGAGATTACAAGCACACACAAGCATGCCTGCTTTTTTTTTTTTTTTTTTTTTTTTTTAATGTGGGTTCTGGAACTCAAACTTAGGTCTCCATCTTTTATAGGGCAAACACTTTTTTGACTAAACACTCTCCCCAGATCCCATCCTTTTTTAAAATGAAAACTTCTCTATTAAGCATTTTATGTGTTTTAAATATTTTTTCTGAAACTAAAAAAAAAAAAAAACCAACTTTTTTGGCTCTTTGGATAATGTAAAATGAGATAAATCTGTTGTCCAGATTGTATAATCCGCTATGAAAGTCAGAACATATTTTTGAATGGTTCTGAATAAGTTTTTTAAATGTATTTTATGTTTAGTTGTATATATGTGTATATTTGTGTGGTATGTGCATGCGAGCACAGTACCCAGGGAGGCCAGAAGAGGGCGTTAGGTCCCTTGGAACTGGAGTTACAGATGATTGTGAGCTGCTGGTCATGGGTGCTGGCAGCTGAACCCTGCTCTGATAGAATAGTCTGTGCTCTTAACCACTGAGCCCTCTCTGTAGCCCCTGATCGGGTTCACATGTGTGCACATTTTATCGAACTCACAGAACTCACCTTTATTCTGTTTAAGGCACTCATTCTGTTTCTGCTGTGTTTCTTCTTTTTTAAAGAATGTTTGTAGTTTATGCATAGCCCATTTAAGGAAGCACATATTTCAATCTTAACAAAACTGTTCTAGAGGGCATTATTTTATTTCATTCTTTGTGTCTCTTTATTGTCGTGTTGGAAAATATTAACTAAAGAGACTTGATTCTGTGAGGAGGCCTGAGCGGGAGTCCACGTATGCAGCTGTGATATCGTTTTCTCTGATTCACTCACAGAGCACTCCCTACGACTTATTCCTCTACAACACTCGAAGGTGGCCAGTTTTGTTAGAGATCAGAATCTCTCAAATGTGTGGACAGTTGAATATGCCCTTGAATTATTATTTATTGGTGGCCTGATTCCAGAGGCTGTATGGTTGGCACATAAACTTGGAGACTGGAAGACATCTGTATCCATTGGTGTGGCCTTCCAAGTTTTCTATAAACATGGTCGCAATTTTGTGAGGTATGAATTCTTAAACTTTACTTATTTATTCTGTGTGTGTTTGGGTGCACACATATGATGATGCCTGTGTGGAATTGGGAGGACGAGTTGTGGGAACCACGTGTTTCGGGGACTGAAGTCAGGTCGTCAGGCTCGGCAGCAGGTGCTCTACCTGCGAAGTCCTCTACCAGCCCAAGGTGTGGGCTTCTGGATGAGCTTCAGGTACTGCATAACAATGTCATCTTAAGCAAAGTTCATTTTTCTTCTTGTTGATACGTGGAATATGTGCAATCCTTCTTTCTGCATTATCTTATAGAAACTCTTCCTAATATTTTTGTCTTTGCTGCATAGTATGGGAGTGCCTACCTACTTTGGAAATGTGGCTAGTCGCTGGGCAATGGTGGCTCTGTAATCCCAGCAGAGGCAGGCGGATCTCTGTGAGTTCAAGGTTAGCCTGGTCTACAGAGTGAGTTCCAGGACAGCCAAAATTACACAGGGAAACTCTCAAAAATAAATAAACAAAAAACAAGAAAAGTGACTAGTGACCAAGGAGTTGACTTTTCAGTTTCCAGTTGAAGAGGTGACTATCGGCTGCAGTGATTACTGTGTCAATAGTGGCTTCGTGGTTTACTTATTTTGCTGAAGCATTCACTTAGCATATTTATGTTAGAAATATCCTAAAAGGGCAATTAGGTAGTTGAGGAGTTTATCCCAAATAGAATTTGGAGGTTGCCTTTTCTTTCCCTTCCTGCCCTTTCTTTTACTTTTTTCTCCTTCTGCCTTCCCTCTGTCTCTCCATCCCTGTGTTGCGATTTCTCACTCTCCTCTTTCTGGATAGGATCGTGCTGCGTAGTCAAGGCTGGTCTCAAACTCACTTCAGCCTCTTGAATGCTGGAATTTAGGCGTGCAGTACCACAGTGGGTGGGGATTTGAATTTAGGCTAAGTAAACTAATCTCTAATTTTATTTGTTTGGTTTTTGTCGTTGTTTTTCAAGCCGGGTTCTTTTGTTCTGTCAGTCTTTGTGTAGTTTAGCCAATGATCCAGCGTGTATTTGTTAAGTAACTGATCAGCACAAAGCTTTGTGACAGGTATTTTTAACAGATAGAAACTTTTTCTTTTTTTCTTTTTTTTTGCTTTTTTCGAGACAGGGTTTCTCTGTGGTTTCGGAGCCTGTCTTGGAACTAGCTCTTGTAGACCAGGCTGGTCTCGAACTCACAGAGATCCTCCTGCCTCTGCCTCCCAAGTGCTGGGATTAAAGGCGTGCGCCACCACCGCCCGGCCAGATAGAAACTTTTTAAGGTGTTAGACTCTATCATAAATAGGACAAAACATAAAATCTGCATAGTGTGTGAGACAGTTCCAGTAGCATGGTGAGGAGAATGGGAATGCAGGTGAGGGAAGGCGGAAATGTTCCGTGCAGGAGGTGCCCTGTCAGGTGCACACTGAAGGGTGGGTAGCGCTCGGTGAGCTGAGTAGCTAAGGAGCGAGAACATCGGAAGTGTGAGCAAAGGCATTTGGCAAATAGTTGTGGGTTATTTGGGGCAGAGTACTTAGGAGGGTGGCAGTGAGAGTGGAGAACCTTTAAAGTAGTGTTTCCTTTCTGTGAGTAGGGTGTACAGAGCAAGTGACTCCATATTTTCTTAAATACATTTATATTCTTGATTAAATACTTCTTGATGTAAAGTCTTTTCTTTTCCCCAAAATTTTATTTCTCTTAATTTGATATCTTTTCAGGTCCAAGAAAAAGGGTATGGACCTACCATTAAATATGATACCAGCACAGATTTTCCAGGAAAAACTGCAGTGTTTTTTAGGTCAGCCAGTCTCTCTGGAAGCAAAAAATGAAAAGGGCTTAAAATATAAGCTATTTACAGGTGTGTTACCTACATATGTTCTAAGTGTATCAGGTTAATATAAACCCTTACTATTACAAAACCTTACGAATATTTAGAAATATGAACACTGTAACAAAATTATCAGAAATTTGAGAATATTTATACTTAGTAACGGAGCATCCAAAACTGATGCCAGAGGAGCTGGAGTGGTGCTCGGTGGCACCTGCCCGGTCTGTGCTTTGCTCAGGTCTGATCCTGAGCTCTGCAAGGAGGGAGAAAACTGATGTCAGGTAAAAATGTATTGTGGGCCGGGATACAACTCAGTAGTGGAACACTTGACTGACATGTAAGAGGCCCTAGATTCGATCTTCAGCATTGCCAAAAACAAAACAACCACACTCAAATTATATTGTTTGTTTCATACATACATTTATGCTTACTTTTATCTTGGAGATGGGGTCTTGTTACCTCCTTCCTCCTGCCTCGGGCTCCAGAGTGCTAGGACTGCAGTCACAGGCTACCATACCTGGCTAATGTTACCTTGTTTCATGTTTGGTAGATCCCATTGAAGAAGAAGATGCTAATCTGCTGTTTGGGTCTGTGCAAGAAGTACTGAAAGCATCAGTCATGGCTGATGCGGATATTGTTTCAGGGACTCTGCAGCTATTGATGGACTCTGCAAAGGACTTCAGTAAGAAGCTGTGGGGCCTAGTGCCTGTGGACTTGTATCTCCCAGCACCTCCATTGTATTGCCCCCAGCCAGCTGTTCTCAGTGAAGTAAGCTCAGTGCAGTCTTCTCCTAGTTAAAGTTGGTTTTGTTTCTCTGTAGCTTTGGAGCCTCTTCTGGAACTAGCTCTTGTAGATCAGGCTGGCCTCGAACTCACAGAGATCCACCTGCCTCTGCCTCCCAAGTGCTGGGATTAAAGGCGTGCGCCACCACTGCCTGGCTGGTTTTGTCTACTTTTAAAACTAACCTGACAATAGTGATCTTGTAACAAATGCAAGACCTGGAGATAAACTTCTGGTTCCCAGCATAGTGTGTACTTAGGTAGCATACCAAACAGCTGCTTAAGTAATAGATATCTGTTCTGTTGTCCTCAGGAACATGGTGACAATCTTCTTTTAAAAGCTGAAAAAGATAATCGCCAAAAGCTGTCTGGAATCCTGCAGCGAGTTCTCTTGCTTTTCCGGGCGGCTCGATGCTCTTTTTCTGTAGCGCAGTGGTACATCTTGCAGCTGAGGTGGGCAAGAAAAGTCATGCAGAAGGTATGGACCGTCTTAATCGTTCAGGTGCTGTGTCAGGCCTCCGAGATGTGTTCACGTCCACTCCAGGTGCTTTCCTAAGGATTCCTGGCCTTTGAGTCTACAAATCTTGGGCTTATTTGCATAAGCAACTCAGGCAAGATTTTTCTGGCTGAGAGATGACACTGTGCAGTGAGTCTCTGGGTTAGCTCGCCCTGCAGCAATAGAAAGTGTCTCCATACAGCAGGTTCTTCCAGACTGTACCTGCTCTTTTTACCCTAAATCATGGGAGGTTTTTTCTCATTAGGACTCCTCCTCCCCCACTCGCTCCGGAGGTTAAGATCAGGGTTTTGTGGCAACCTCAGTGGTTCCAAGTGTTGATAATTAGGAGGGAATTCTTTCTTTCTTTCTTTCTTTCTTTCTTTCTTTCTTTCTTTCTTTCTTTCTTTCTTTCTTTCTTTATTTATTTATTTATTTATTATGTATACAATATTCTGTCTCTGTGTGTCTGCAGACCAGAAGAGGGCAGCAGATCTCATTACAGATGGTTGTGAGCAACCATGTGGTTGCCGGGAATTGAACTCATGACCTTTGGAAGAGCAGGCAATGCTCTTAACCACTGAGCCATCTCTCCAGCCCTAGGAGGGAATTCTTGGCTGTTTATTATCAGGAGTCTTTTTCACTGGCTAGGACTTCTTTGCTGTTTTCTGAGATGTGCAGTTTGATTCTGGGCCTTCCAGGCCCTTCCATCCTCTCTTCTACGGACTCGCCTGTCCTCAAGCTGAGTAGGTATTGGGCATGCTTCAGTATCCAGGTACAAATTCTTGTTTTTGAAAAAAAAAAGTAGGCTTTTTAAAATTTCATTTTATTGATATTTATTGAGCCCTCATTTTTCTCTGCTCCCCTCTCTGCCTCTCCCCTCTCCCCTTCAATCCTCCCCAAGGTCCCCATGCTCCCAATTTACTCAGGAGATCTTGTCTTATTCTACTTTGTACTTCCCATGTAGATTATATCTATGTAAGTCTCTCTTAGTGTCTGCATTGTTTCTGAGTTCTCTGGGATTGTGGTTTGTAGGCTGGTTTTCTTTGCTTTATGTCTAAAAACCACCTATGAGTGAGCACACGTGAGCAGATGGATGGTGGAGGTGAGGGTAATGTGGGGAGGTAATGGGAGGAGAGGAGGGTACTAGTATTGGTATGGTGGAGGTGAGGGTAATGGGAGGAGAGAAGGAGGGAACTGCTATTGGTATGGTAACAAAAAAAAAAAAAAGGCATGCACCACCACTGCCTTTTTTTAAGATAGGACAAAAATCATTGTATAGCCCAGGCTAGCCTTTAACTCAGGCTTCTGAGTGTGCTAGTATTCACTGAAGCAGTCATGCACCACCATGCTTGACCAAAATTAGCTTTAAAAAAGCTTTATATATGTATGACATATATGTCTGCACATGGTGTGTGCATGCCACAGTGTGTGTGGGAGGGTCCAAGGACACCTCAGGTATCGGTCCTCATCTTCCTGATTTATGACAATGTGCACTGCATAGCTAGGCCAGCTGGCCCCCAGGCTCCCAGCACTTCTGTCCCCGCCGTCATCTTGCCTAGGAGCACTGGGATTACAAGCTCATGCTTTGTCCTGCTTAGTGTGGATCCTGGAGATATGAATTCAGGTCCTGTCATTCACATGGAAACACTTTATCAGTTGAGCCATTGCCTTAGCCTCAAATAACTATGTGGAGCAGACCAGCCTCCAGCTCACAGAGGTCCACCTGCTTCTGCTTCCTGAGCACTGAGATTTAAAGGTGTTCACGATGATGCCTGGCCAAGCAAGCTTTTTAAAATGAAAAATGAGGTTTAAAAATTCACCTCCCATAAAAATATGTTAAAATGGTGTTCATTGTAATTACAATGGAGACAAAGTAGACAGTGGTTTCCAAGATCGGGAGAAAGGGGAAGCAGAAAGTGATGACTCCTAAAGGGGGGAGGTGTTAATGAAAGAGTTCTTAATTAGACAGTTATTAATATAGCAATATTAATATAGTTTTGAATATAGCAAAACCAGCTAGGTAGTTGTCACTTACAAAGATGAACTTTATGAAGGTCTTTAAATTTTAATTCCAATTAAAAAAAAGATACCAAATTAAATATCTGCACCATATTAGTTTTCTATTTCATTCCAGCAAATAGCCCAAATTTCATGACTTAAAACCATGCCCACTTGTCTGACGTTTCTGTTCATCAGAAGTCCTGTGAGCTAAGCTGCTTCTAGCGCAGAACCGTTCAAGGGTAACAGCAGAGCTGTGCCCTTCTCGTGTCTTGGCAGGAGAACCCATTTCCAGATGTACAGGTTGTTGACAGTTCAGGTCATGTGGCCACAGGGCTGAGTTCCCAATTCCTTGCTGGCCTATCACTTAGTACTATCCTGCTAGTAAAGTGTTTTATGGAAGGTTGCCATTAGCATGCTAATAGCACATTTGATCAGATCGTCTTTCCTGAAGTGTCAGGTAGAAGAGGCTATAACCTTACTGCTCATCTTTTCTCTTGATATCTATAACAGCAACCCTCTTTTGAAAAAAAGTCCCTTGATATGTTAGAGAAGCAGCATGATTGTTCTACATGTGTGATTATTTCTTCATCTAATGTCATTTAGCTTGTTCATTCCATTTATTTCCTGGAAACTGGTCCTTAATATCCACCCATTGAAGTACAGAGATTTGAGTATAGTCAGGCTCAGATCTTAGAACATTTGTAACTATTGTGTGCTTCGCTGTGACCTCACAGGGTTTTTGGGGGGTGGGGGTGGGGGGATTTCGAAACAGGGTTTCTCTGTAGTATTGGGGCCTGTCCTGGAACTAGCTCTTGTAGACCAGGCTGGCCTCGAACTCACAGAGATCCGCCTGCCTCTGCCTCCTGAGTGCTGGGATTAAAGGCGTGCACCACCACTGCCCGGCTGACCCCACATTTTAAGATAGCTCAAGGAATTTGGGACATGTCAGACCCCGTATCGAGTTCCCCATCAACCCACTAACTTCTTTACCAGCTTAACATTTTGTCAATAGTCCTTTCCTAGAGTCATTGCTCCTTTAGGAATTGCTGTTGGCTTTCCATTTCTGTCATTTATAGATTCACTTTTTAAATCCGGGCTGCTCATCAGACTTGAGAGGGAGGGGGAGAGGGGTGGGGGAGGGGAGAGGGGGGGGGAGAGGGAGAGGGCGGGGGGAGGGGGGGGGGGGGGGGGAGGGGGAAAGGGGGGGGAGGGGAAGGAGGGGGAGGGAAATGGGAGGCGGGGAGGAGACGGAAATTTTTTCAACAAAAAATAAATGAATAAAATAAAGTCATATATATAGGTAAGGTTTTTTTATTTGTTTTGTTTTTTGGGGTTTGTTTGATTTTGAGACATGATTTCTCTGTGTTCCCTGACTGTTCTGGAACTCACTTTTTGTAGACCAGGCTGACCTCAAACTCACAGAGATTGGCTTGCCTCTGCTGGGACTAAAGGCGTTGTCACTGCCACCCAGTTTGTTTGTTTTAGGTCCTGCACAGTAAATTTCAGATGAGATTTAAATATTTTCTTTCTCAGACTAGGAAAGACAAATGAGTATAGGGAACTGAGTGTCAAGAGAATGCATGGTTTAGTGTCTTTCTTTTCGAGCAGAATGTAGTGAGTGGCTGATTTGGGAGCTGAGTCTCTGAGAGTGCAGCTCACTGCAGGCTGCTTATGCTGTAGCAGAGGCTCTGCTGCTTCTGTTCCCTATAAAGCTTGTTTGCTACTGATGATTAACGTATTCTATCGTTCTTTTCAGATTCGAGTGAAAGGGTCCCTTCCTTTGCTTGGTTCTTTCCCCGAATCCTTACTTAACTACTGTAAAGGAGGGATAGCATTCTTTAGACCTGGAGCTGCCGGAGACCACAAGCTCGATGAAGTTTCCACCAAAGTACTAGGTGTGTCAGAGATGAGCTGCTCGGTTAGAACTCAGCTGCATATGAACTGCAATGCATTTTTCATTTTGTTTGGGAAAGTTTCTTAACTATTGACTCTAGTTTGCTTTTGATATTCTACTTAGGGGTATACACTTAGATGCTGTGACATGTATGTATATAGATGCTTTATAGATATGGTAGTAAATTAAAATTGTTATATAAAACAAACTGTGCCAACTGTGACACTTGTTGCTTCCTTGTTTAAATTTGGAATTTTAGCACTCAAGAGTAACTTTCTTGTAGTCGTTTATTTGCAGTGAAGATATACTTACTGCCACACTGTTAAGTGGGCAGGCTTTGAACCTGTCTATATAGATGAACCAATTTTGTGTTCTGTTCTCTTGATTTAACCTATTCTACCTAGATTTTTCCCCTATCTTATATAAATTAGTATGAATTCATTTTTGTGGCTTTTATTAGCAGACATTAAGTTGTCTCTGGCATATCAATTCTCTTTTGTATTTAAAATGTTTTCTTAGATAGAGTCTCAGACGTGTAATTTCTGAGTTAATGAATTTAGTTATCTCTTATCTCTTGAAATAATATGGCAGATTTTACTTGGTGCCAAAAGGCTGTCAGCTGTATGTAGGACACCCTTGTTTTTGAGGTAGCATCTCCCTCAGATAGTTTTGTTTCGATATGTTTTTGTTTGATTTTGTGTTTTGAGATAGACTCTTTATGCCCTATATCCCAGGCTAGCCTGAGCTCATGATCCTCTTGAGGTACACACGTGAAACCATGCCAGGCAAATCAAGATGTCTTTTTTTTTTTTTCCTGAGATGGTTTCTCTAGCTTCGGACCCTGTCCTAGAACTTGCTCTTGTGGACCAGGCAGGCCTCATAAACTCCCAGAGATCCACCTGCCTCTGCCTCACAAGTGCTGGGATTAAAGGTGTGCGCTACCACCGCCTGGCAAGATGCCTTTCTTATGACTAATTATAGTGTCCATTTAGTTCTTTATTTACGTTTTCTTTTATACATTAATTTCCATTTTATAATTTGTGTCCAGTTATAGGTTTGACAGGTTTAAAAGGTTAGTAAAACTTTGGAAGACAGACAGACAGACAGACAGACAGACAGGGGAGAAAAGAGGGAGAGAGAAAGTATGTGTGTATTTGTGTCGTGTGTGTGTGTGTACACGTGTTACAGCATTAGGAGTAAAACTCAGGGCCAGGTCTGTAACCAGAGCCATGCCGTCCTCAGGCCCTATGACATATTACTATCAGGTTAAGGTGCTTGCAGCCTCATCTGATAACCTAAATTCAGTTTCTGGAGCCCACATGGTAGGAAGAAAACTGACTGTTGCGTGTTGTGCGCTGATGTCCACATGAAAGCCTGAGGGACATGCACAAACATACAAACTCAGAAACTAGAAATTTGCGTGCTGGGTATGAGGCCCTGGGTTCAATTCCCAGTGCCATAAAAATAAGCCGTATTCTGAGTGATATGCAATATAGAGTTTGCATTGAAATTGAAAAATATTTACAATGTACTTGAATTTATAAGGCAAGTAAATCAGAAGTAAGTAGATTAAATCCGTTTTGTGAATTTGTTTTCATATCATGTAATTATATATATTTATATATGTATATATACATATATATATATTAAAATTCTAGAAGGACCTTCATGACTTTTACATAAGGTTCTTACAATAAATACATTTTTGTTTTTTGTTGTTTTAGCGTGTGAATGTATATTCATATTTACATGTTTGTGTGTGTGTATGCATATGGAAGCTAAATATTGACAACAGGCATCTTTCTTGATCACTATTCACCTGATATTTTGAGGTGCCTCAATTGATCCAGAGTTCATTGATTTGGTTAGTCTAGCTTACCCTGGGGATCCTCTATCCCCACCTCTTTTTTTTCTTTCCAGACAGGGTTTCTCAGTGCTGCCCTGGCTGTCCTCAAACTCAGAGATCTACTTGCCAATGCCTCCCAAGTGCTGGAGTTAAAGGCCTGTGCCACCCCTGCCCAGAACTCACACGGGAGGCTGGGGCCCAGACTCTCCCCTCCACTCACTCGCAGAGCAGCAGGCTCTTTGCTCATTGAACTACCACCTAGCCCTCACGTCTTTCTTTCATAATCGTCAGAATAAAGACATTTATTCCAAAAGCACATAACCCGCAGGTGTAATATGTAATTTTCTTTCATGTTTGTGTTTTTAGGTTGCTTCAGAGAACTTTGTGCTTTGTGCTGGATGTTGCATGTCCGGGATAAATTATCGTACAGTTGCAGGCAGTATCAGAAGGCAAGAGAAAATGTGAAGGTAGAAAAGGTACTTATCAACTCAAGAGCAGAAAATAAACGTTATGTGGAAAGCTACTTTAATAGAAGAGTTTACTCGTTGTTGTACAGTATTCTTTTGAACGCATTCTGCTCTGTCGTTTTCACGTCCACATAGGACCTCAAAGTGGAATTTGATTCTTGTGTGGTTGAGCACTGTTTTCGTGCACTGGAGTGGGCCTATAGAATGCTACCATTCTCTCGTTTTTTTAATATGGAAGAACTTATTCAGGATATAATTTTGAGCCTTATTGGAGAACTACCACCAATCAAGAAGGTAATATGTTGGTAAAAATTAACTAAATCTGAATCATAGATCCTAAGGGATTTCTGTTTTCGTTAGGGATGGTTTTGCCTTTTCCCGTCTGACTGATTGCACTTTGTATAGTATCCTCCAGGTTCAGAATGGCAAGTATGATCTCACAGGTGGACCAAAGCTCATGGAAGCAGAGAGCAGAACGGTAGTTGCTAGGGTGGTGTGGAAACAGGGGTGTTAGAAGGATGGTAAAAAGAGGTCATGTCACCCCTCACGAAGTCATTATCCTTCTCTTCTTAAGCCTTCAGTAGATTGTTTCTTGGAACAACATTTCCATAGCCCCTTGAAGTTAATGGACTGATTTCGCTCAGATCCATTTCAGTGTAATTTTTGCCACAGATGGTATTTTTTTTTAATGTTGGTTCTAAGTACATAGAGAAAAATAAACTATTTCTTGATTTTTTTAAAGGGGGATTGAGGAAATGTTGAATTAAGGGTCCAAATTTGTATTTACAAGATAAATTTGTTCTAGGAGCTAGTGTTCAATGTGGTGACTGTGGGTAATGATATGAGGTGATTTACCTGAAGTTGATGATGCAGATCTTAGGTGTTCCTGCAGTGTGTGTGCACACATACAGTGGTCACTGTGTTTTGTAACTGACATGCTAATTTGGCTAAGATACTCAACATGCATTATATATCAGATCATCACATCCTATACCTTGAAAATACATAATTTGCCAAATACTTTATAATAAAAAGGGGAAAAAGAAAAGCCATGCACAATTCTGGTAGCTTGGTTGAATATCAAAAGATTATTAAGTAGGCATTTATGTTTTGACTTAAAGTGTTTGAAGAATTAAAAGAAAAAGAAAAAAAATGATGTTGCCAATAAAACGTTAATTTTTTTTTCTGAAGGTAGCAGAAATTTTTGTGAAAGCCTTTCCCAATCCTGAGGCCATAAGAGTTCCTTTAAGAGAAAAGTACCACTCTCTCCAGCAGAGACTCAGACATGGTGTTGTGAAAGGTATTTGCTGTTTCTCATGTTTATTCGATACAGTGTTGAAGATGCTCTTTTTTATTTCTGTGTGTATGACGTCTGTAAGTGCCTCTCCCTAATGATGGAGAGTGAGAAAGTGCAGAGCTAATTATGTCGGTCTGTTGCTAGATGGAGCTGACTTCACGTCATAGCTTTGTTGGTAATTGTGCCTTTGGCAAGTTGCTCAATCTCTCTAGGCCTCATTTCCTTATTTATAAGCAAAACGGTTATTCTGTTACCTAGTTGATCAATAAGTATCGAGAGAGGATTAAACAAGGTAAGAGACAGACACAAAGTGAGCAGATAGTTTAGGGTGCACTCCTCTGGGGAGGATCACTTGAGCCCATGCTTTCTACACCATCCTGGTCAACGCAGCAGGATTTCACCTGAAAAATTAAATAGAGCATATGATATGGCCTTTGTATACTTCATGTATTTATTGAAAACTTGTATTTTTCCTCTTTGCTTAAAGTTATTTATGTTTCTGATTTTATCCTGTACATTCAAGATGACCTTGTAAATTGTTTTTATTGTGGCAAAATACATAGAACATGAAACCTACTGTTTAACAGTTCTCCCTCTTTTCTTCCGTTTGCCTTGGTGGAGAACAGACCTGGGCCTCTTGGCGTCTTGCTCATGCTCTACTGCAAAACCACAGCGGCCATGGAAACCCTAAGTGTCGTCTTTCTTTTTTACAGTACACCTGCTGTGTGCTTTGAATTGTGTGCTGCACAATTATATTTGCATATTTCTTGAAGTTTTTTTGATTCTTCTAAAATATTATCTTTGTATTAAGAATGCTTACATTTTTAATAGACAATCTTGGAAACCTTAACCTTGCTATTCTCATTACTTGTAGTAAGAAAGCCTTAATTTTTGCTAAAAAAATTAATATTCTCACTTTTTCCTTTCATTGGGAATAGAAAATAATCTTTGTCATTTTTTATTCATAATTGTATCTCTTTTTTAAGAAAATGAGTCTGCTTTTGTTTCCTCATTTGTTGTCATTCTTTATTCATAATTGTATGTTTTAAGAAAATGAATCTGCTTTTGTTTCCTCATTTTCTGTCATTCTTTATTCATAATTGTATCTCTTTTAAGAAAATGAGTCTGCTTTTGTTTCCTCATTTGTTGCATTGAGGTACTTTTCAGTGACATCATTGTTCTAAGATTTTTTGCTGTTGTCCTTACCTACCACACAACTGCAACTGGTAATTTTATGGGGCTCTTCCTCTAAACTGGTTTTGCAGAGAATTAGCTATTCCTTAATTTCTTTTTGTTATCAACCTTAATTAGGCAATTTTATGCCTTGTACAAAGGGCCTCAACTGTCTTCTCATAATAGCTTCTCACGGAGGGATGCAAACTTAACAAGGATGGTCTTGGTACCTGTCTGTGGCTTTGGTAGCTTTGTGAGTTAGGTCATCAGAGCGTAGGAGTTCTTCAGAACCTTTTAGAAAGTCATAGTAACACCCATGACACCTGCATCATAAGTGCCTTCTTCAACTGTAGTGGGTTGCTTGATTGGTTGGTTGGTTGGTTGAATGGATGGCTGGTTTTTGGATGTGACTGACTTATAACCCTTCTGCCTTAGCCTCCTGAGTTGGTGTAACATGCGCAGGTACACATTTCTGTGCTTGAATTACCCAAAATTATTTTCCCTGATGATACACCTTTTAAAAAGGGGAGAGAGGAAATCCCGGTTCTCTGCCTTGTCTTGTTCTTTAATGGACCTTATTGAGTTTCTGCAATCCTGTTTTTGTTTCTTTGTTTTTGTTTTGAAATGGACCATAGCTTTCCAAAAAATACTAAAAAAATAATTTGTAAGAATATGGAAATAGGGCTTAGTTAGTTTGATTCCATGCCCCCTGGCAGAATTAAGTTCCTCTCTTCTTCCCTCTCTCATTCCCCTTCTGTTCATTCCTTTTACAGTCTTGCTATGTAGCTGTGGGTGGTCTGAAACTTAGTGTGTAGACAAGGCTGGCCAGAACCTGTTGTGATTGTCCTGACTCTGCCCCCTGAGTGCTGGGTTTACTGGCATGTACTAGTACTGTACCTGGCCTTACATCTTCAGTTGAAACATTTTAATGACCCCTACGGTCTTTGGTTCTTTTATCCCTAGGCCCTCAGACTGAGGAACTGATGTCTGTGGTCATGCGGTCTGTCCATAAAGTGAGGGTGAAAGCCCTGAAACGTGTGCAGAGGAACATAGGTGCTTCTGAGATGAACGTCTGGGAACCAGATGAAGAGGAAAAGCCAGATGCTGCTCCGGCTTCTGACAGGTTCTCCCTGGGGACTAGTTTGAGCAGAAGTACACTCACAGAACAGGGCAGTTCCCTGGTACACAGTGATGCAGACACATTCTCTGAAACCTTGTCTTTTGAAGAAAGAACGTGGATGCACTTCTACCAAAGGTACACCTGGGTGCTCCTAATGCAGGTGTCTACGCCTCTGGACGTCAGTGCAGTGATGCTGATTTCTAAACTTCAACCATATAAGAAGTAGATAAGTGCCAATCTCTATACTCACAAGGGAATTACAGATTTATATACTTGAGAATTTGGGACTGGAGAAGTGGCTCAGGAGTTAACATCACTGATTGCTCTTCCAGAGGACCCAGCTTCAATTTCCAGCAGCCACATGGCAACTCACAGCTGTCTGTAACTCCAATTCCAGGGAATCTGACACCTTACACAGATGTGTAGGCAAAATGCCAATGCACAAAAAAATACAAATAAATTTTAAAAAATTAAAAAAAAATAACCTTGAAAATTTATTGTAAATATTACTGAGATTATATAATGATTTTGACCTCTAAGATGACAATCAAATGAATAGACAAAATTCAATGGAAGACTTTGAGTTCTTCATTTTTTTAAAATAATCTTTAGACTCATTTAGTGTATGTTTATTTTGAGACAGGATTTTATTATGTAACTCTAACAGGCCTCTGCATCCTTAGTGCTGAGAATAGAGATCTGACCACCATACCTAGTTTAGTCTTTAGATTTAAATACAAGTTGAACATACTTAATTTGAAAACTTAAATTTTGAAATTTAGCTTAAAAATTCAGTAAAATACTGAGAGTTGAAAATTCTTGCCTGATTTCCCATGACAGGTCAAATTCAAAATGGAGGCACACCGAGAATACTGTATAGACTTTCCTTTGGGCCACTAAATATAAAAATTACAGATTATTTGAAACGTAAACAAATGTTGTGTTTGTTTTGTTTATAGTTCTGGAGATAGAACAGGCTCTTCACATTATAGATAATTGTTATGTCACTAAACTACCGTACTTGAACCGTAACCTAAGACATCTCACTACATATATGCAAATATCAGCCTCCTCCCCCCTCCAGCAAAAAAAAAAATCTCTTGCACACTCAAAATATTTCTGGTCCCAAGAATTTCAGGTCAGGGATACTCACCTGTCACCTGCCGTGATTGGGTTAGCCATACAGTGTTTGAGGACACAAAGGAGGGAATGTGTTCACTTATTTTAGTACTTCCTTGTATAAACCTGTAATTTAAGCCATTGGGTTTTGTTGGTTTTGATTAAAATTCTAGTAACTACAATGCAATATGTCCTTTTATGACTTAAAAACTAAATAATCAATAATAACTTTCATCTTAAATTATTGAATCTAGTCCAAACATACTTGAACCATATCTAATAATATTTTAAAAGATTTATTTATTCACGTATTTTATGTATATGAGCACTCTGTGTTCATGCACACCAGAAGGATCTGATCCCATTTCACATGGTTGTGAGCCATCATACATATGGTTGCTGGGAATTGAACTCAGGACCTCTGGAAGAGCAGTCAAGTGCTCTTAACCTCTGAGCCCCCTGTCCAGCCATCTAATAACATTTTAATAGTGTGGTTTAAATAAAACACCTGCACTTAAATACATAGCATGCTTTTCATGCTGCTTCTGTGCGTTCTAGGTAAGCAGGCATGCGTTCACCTGGGGCCCAGGCACTCCACAGCTTTTTTCTTACTGAGAGATCTGGGAATCTATTAATTGTGTTAAAAAGTCGCTTGACAATTGGGGCTGAAAGAAAAATAAGGTGCCTGCCACCAGTTTCATAGCAGCTGTTCGTTTTCATTGTTGTAGAAAGACCCCGAGAATCTGTGCAGGGGAACTTCAGAAACTGCTTTCTTCACACCGTGTGGGGTGGGGTTGACAGAGAAGCGTGGGACGCTAGATGCATTTTTGTTAGAGGACCAGTTTTCACTTCCGAATGAACATTTATGCTTTTCCTTTGTGTGTGTGTGTGTGTGGTATATGGTGACAAGCACATGTCATGCCATTCCTGTGGAGGTCCGAGGACAACTTGAGAGAATGAGTTCTCTCCTTCCACTCTGTGGATTTCAGACTCAGAACATGAGGTTTGGCAGCAAGTGCTTTTCCTCAAGGAGCCGTCTTCCTGGCCCTCCTGTTCTTTTTCTCTGGTGACCTTTAAGTGCATATACTTTAATTTCTTTTAATGCCTAGTTTCCCTTTGCATATTGTACTTTTAAAAATATTTATATTTTTCTTCATGTGTATGTATGTATATAATGTGTGTGCTTGGTTCCTTTGAGATAATAAAAAGGCATTTGATCTCCTGAAACTGAACTTATAAATAGTTTTGAGCTGCTCAACATGAGTGGTAGGAGCCCAACCTAGGTCCTTTAGAAGAGCAGAATGTGCTTTTAACTGTAGAGCCTTTTCTACAGCCCCGTCCTTTTGACCTTATATTTGAAGGATAGATAATTCAAACACAAAAAGATACATGACTTGATTAATACAGAAAATGTTTTTAAAATCTTTATAAGGTAAATTTTAATAAACATTGGTTAAATTTATCTTGTTCTTTTTTTTTTTTAACCATAGGCATGCCCCAAGTCATGGGGAGTTAACATTGGTTGGTAAGCCCAGTGATGAAAAGAAAGCTTGTCATCAGAAGAAAGGCTCGCAAAGGAAAGACAATCATGAACCATTAGGAAAAATAGCCCTTCCTACAGTTGGTGTTTGGGAATTTGAGCGTGATGATGATGAATATATTAACTTCCTTGAACTCTTCTTGAGTTATGTTCTTGAAAGAGACCTTTGTTCCAGTGATCCCGGCATTCCATTCTTGACAAGTTTTTCTGGGCACCTTAGAGAACATGAACTTAATTCTTTACTTTTTGATGTGCATACAACATTAAAACAACGCCAGAGTAAAACCAGAAGCGAGAATGTATATAGAGCTGGTTCTTGCTTTGCCGTCATTCCTGAGTCACATGAATGTGAAAAACTGTTCTCTCTAAACAGTACGTGTGCCCAAAATTTAGAATGCCAGGCACTTTCTTCTCCAGAACTAGTTAACCAGTCAGCAAGCACTTCAGAGAACCCTCTTTCTGAAGTCGTGAAAAATGAAAGAAAGGTGGGATTGTTTGGCTTAAAACAAAAGCCAATTTATAGAATTCAGGATGACAAGCGAGGGAATCCTCTAATGCAGAGACCATCAACCCACTCCTTTTGGATTCCCAAGTCCGTTCAAAATGGAGGGTTCCGTTTCCGAGCATTTCAGTGTAGTGCTGCCAGCCTTCAGGAAGGCCTTCCTCTGCCGCTTGAGAACATCTTCGGCCAGGTTGGGAGACTGGTGGAGTGGATGGTACGGTGGTCTGACCGAAGACTCCTCTGTGACTCTGGAGTTGCTCAGTCGTCCTGTAAATACAGCCCCGTAATTCGTGTAAAGACCTCGACAGCTGCCATTCTTACCTCTCTATGGCTCCTGGAGCAACCCTATTGTGCTGCATATAAGACGAAAAACAGCATCATTAAGGTAATTACATCATCCACTTCCTACAAATGAAGAAAGGACCGTTTTAGTTTAAAACTTGTTTATACTTTAAAGAATCTATTACAGTAATAGAAAATTGATAACTGTGTTGATTATATGCTGAATCACCTGGTGTGATACTCTGTGTACTGTGATACCCAGTATGATACAGAGTATTTTTTTTTTAAAGAGATTCCTTTCATTCCTTAATAAAATTACAGTGGCCCAGTCACACACACCTTTAACTCCAGCAGCACTCAGGAGGCAGAAGCAGGCAGATCTCTGAGTTTGAGGCCAGTCTGGTCTACAGGGAGAGTTCCAGGACAGCCAGTGCTACAAAGAGAAACCCTGTCTCAAAAACAAAACCATCAAAACAACAACAGCAACAAAGGAAAGTCACAGTGAAAGTTCCTTTAGGGTGGCTGTGAAGGTTTTACGTTTTATCTTGTTTGTAGACAACAGAAAGGAAGAAAATGATTTGGTGACTTTATAAATGCTGTGGCTGAAGGAGACCCCTGAACAGTGGGGGCTTCCTCCCAGGACCCAGACCAGATGCAAACCACGCCCAAACACCTGTCTTCACAGAGACCCTTTATTAAGTGAGGAAGAAAAGTTAAAGTGGCTGCTTTTACTTAAGCAGAAAACAGCAGCAAATGACCTTGCAGGTATAATTTTTAAAAGAAGAGGGAGGGTCTGTGTTAGAATGGGCTAGGATGTGGTGGTAAAGGAGATAGAAGATGAGAGACAAGAGAAAGGGACAAGGGAAAGGGTTAGGGATATTTGTCCCAGAGGGACAAAGGACTGCCTCTGGGCAGAGGGGAGACAGACATGGCATGTGGGTAAATGCCAGTTTATAAAGGTAAAGGGGGGAAACTCGTGTTAGGATGAGGTGTTTAATTTTATTATTATTATTATTATTATTATTATTATTATTATTATTATTATTTTGGGGGGGGGTTTCAAGACACCGTTTCTCTGTGGTTTTGGAGCCTGTCCTGGAACTAGCTCTTGTAGACCAGGCTGGTCTCGAACTTACAGAGATCTGCCTGCCTCTGCCTCCCGAGTGCTGGGATTAAAGGCGTGCGCCACACCACCACCTGGCAGGTGTTTAATTTTAATTGGGCATGTTAATTAGGTGAACCAAAGGGGGTTTCTGATTCCTGGACTTTGGTAGTCAGCCCCAGGAGAAGGAAGTGGCCAAATAAGGGAATAAACGTTGGTGGCTAATGTAATCTTATGGTTTTTAGCCAGGCAGAGGGAGTAGGTGCGAAGGGCAAGGCCTGCCAGAGCCATGTTTGCCATGCTCAAGCTGACCAGACTCCCCTCAATTACATTGTACTTTTTCCTTTTAAGTTTCATGTGTTGTTGATATAATGGGCCAGGTTAGCCAGTATTTATTACTGAAGTTTTCATCAAATGCATTAGGGATGTTTTTACTTTACATTCTTGAGACATAAAAAGTTGAAAAAACTGACCCAGAAAACATATGTGTAGAGGAGCAATGTTGATCAGTTCTTTTCGCTTGATAATGGAAAATCCTTCATTCTAAAACAGTGCTGAAGAAATGTGTGTGTGTGAACATTAATTTTTGTGTTCATGTGTGTACATTAACTAGTGTTTTCAATGGATTTCTTCCTTTTCCTTTTTAATGGCAGTTTCTGTTATTTTAAGGTATGAATTTTATGTGAAATGAGGGTACTTGTTTCTTGCAACTTGTATTTCTAGGTAAGACACATCTGAGTTAGACAAAAATAAATACATTGCTTTATTGTTTTACATTTTTCTTTTTCTTGTACGTGTATGGCTGTTTTGCCTGCATATATGCCTGTGCACCACACTCATGCAGCTCCTAGGGAGACCAACAGGTGGATCCTCTGAACTGCAGTTGTAGATGGGTGTGAGCCATCAGATGGGTGCTGGGGACAATCGAGGCCTTCTGAAGAGCAGCCGTGCTCTTAACTCAGCCATCTCCCCAGCCCAGCACGTGTGTTTTTAACACCGTGTAATTAGGAAATATCTTTTAGCCTCTGTGTGTGTGTGTGCACGTGTGCGCGCAGAGGCCTGGGTCACTTTAGATGTCATTTCTCAAGCGCTGTCCACCCAGTTTTTTCAGACAGGGTCTCTCACTGGCCTAGAACTTGCTGGAAAGATTGACTGGCTGACCAGTGAACCCAGGGATTTTCTCTGCTTGTCCACCGCAGGGATTACAGCTGTGCATCATCACACCTGGCTTTGTTACATGAGTTCTAGGGATCAAACTTGGATCCTTGTGCTTACCTGGTAAGGGACCTGTGGACAGAGCTGTCTCTCTCCCCAGTTTGCAGATGTCATCATAATGGCAAACAGAGAGATGCGTACTTCCCATTTTTACTACTGTTGTTTTATGGCCCGAAAACAGAGTTACTGTCACTTAAATATGTGGAAGAATAGTTGCTTTTTTTTGTTTTGTTTTATTTTCGAGACAGGGTTTTTCTATGTAGCTCTGGCTGTCCAGGAACTCATTGTAGCCCAGGCTGACCTTCAACTCAGAGATCCAGAGACCCACCTCCCAAGTACTAGGATTAAAGGTGAGCACTACCATTGCCCAACTGGAGAATGGTTTATGTGCTTTATTTAGGAAGTCAAATTTACCTTTTCCAGGTAGACTATAGAGAACTGACCACTGCTTCCAGAAACAAATATAATTGGCTGTACAAATGCAGTAAATAGATACTTAATGAGTATATCAGAGAACAGTTCTATAAAACATTATTTAAAAGTACACTTTAAAAAGTGGATCAGTACTCCATTCAGAATTCTGTAATTGATTTTCTTTAGGTGCTGGAGAGTCATTACCCTGAGTCTCAAGTAGCCGCCGAGGAGGAGGGCAATGCTAATGTTGACTCCCCAGTTGCTGTAGCAGCTCAGGCTGGAGCTGAGGAGAGAAGTGAGCAGAATGAATGCTGTCAGAGCGTCCAGAAGTAAGTTGCTTCTCAATTTCAATAAAGCTGTTGGTTAAGAGGAAGATTCGAGCGCTTCAAAATGATAGGAATGAGCATTTCAGCAGTTTTCTGTCACAAAGATAAATGTGAGGTAGCCAGCTTGCAGAGAAAGGGTTTGTCTTAGCCTGCGGTGTTAGAGGTCCCCTCCCCCCCATGGTTGGGGTGGCCTTAGTGCTTTAGGTCTGTGGCACATCATGATGGACGTGCATGGTAGAGAAAACCCACCCACTTCTTGGCCAGGTCTCAAGCCCCTCTTCAAAAGCATGTATTCAGTGACCTGTGAATGTCCCCATAGGCCTGGCCTCTCAGCTTTGTCCACCTCCCAGGAGTGCTGCTCCATTAGCTAAGCCTTGGACAGCAGCCTTGGAGAGACAGGAACCTGCCTGTGAGGAATACCATAGCAAAAGCCCTATAACGTGAAGACTCCTTTGTGGGGCTCTAATTTTAGATAAGCTGGATTTACTCTAGTATTTTGAGCAAATGAAAACTAGGACCTACCATGTATCAGAAATGTAAGATACATTTTTTAAAAAAGACATAGAAAATATGAAAATGGAGTTTGTTCATTGCTGAAAAGAACAAATTAAATGAAAGGAAGCTGTTTGTCTCCAAGAATGGGTTGTAATTTTCATTTCTACATTTTGTTAGCAGAATGCCAGCTGAAGCAGAAAATCCTGAAGTGAAAGGAATTGAAGATGAGGTTATTCCCGTCACTCATGAGACTGAGAAAGAATTCGTAGGTGTTGACAGGAATCATGCAGAAGTAGAAACGTTTACACATGATGAAGTGGATATTCTCATCTCAGACTGTGACGGTCAGTTCCTGCAGATCATAATTTCCCTTGCTGTTACTAATTCATAAAGTTAATAACATTCAAAATAACTCTTTCATTCTTACATATGTTTGCCATTACTTACACCTAAAATATATATATTTTTTTAACTTTTTGAGACAGGGTTTCTCTGTGTAAGAACCCTGGCTGTCTTGGAACTAGCTCCATAGAACAGGCCGAACTCTGACTCACAGAGATCCACCTGCCTCTGCCTCCATAATGCGCCACCACGCCCGGCTAGAACTAAAACTTATAGCAGTATTTTTTGAAATGCTGAGCATATTAACTTGTACCTTGGTTTTCAGATAAAACCCAAGAATATGCAAGACATTTTTTGTTAGATTTCTGAGTTGAATCTCTTGCCATGCCCAGGTAGTAGTTTAGCCTCTTGATTCCTGTGAACCAACTGAACCTCTCCCAGCTGTGAGCCTCTTCCCATTTGTGAGCTTCTCTTGGAAAGAACCCCGGGAGCTTTGCTGGACTTACTCAAACTGATGCAAGGTCTCTCGGGGCTCTACTGGGATCTATTGATGAAGAAGAAGTAGTCTTTAGGTGTTTTTTGAAATGTACTTGTATCGGGTTAGACAGTATTTCTGTTATATAGTTTCCTGTAATATCCCTAAACCTTAGAGAGAGAAAGAAGAAGTAAAAGATTATCTCTAAAAGTTGGCATTCCCTTCATTTCTAATCCTAGAAGGACCTGTTGGGAGTCTCAGAGGTTCCAGTGCTGCCATCTGCATGCCAGCGTCACAGCTCTTACTAGAGGTAAGTCAGCGAACAGCATACAAGAGCATGCAACTTCAGCCTCGTGTGCTTACCCCATTGTACAGTATGTTAAGGCAAAGCTGCTGTCTGCTATAGCTGTGCTGACCTGTCGTCTATATGCTGAATTTATTTCTGAGATTGTATTACGCGTCTGTTTCCTGAGTACTCGAACGAGTTAGTCCAGAGTGGTGAAGGGGTCCTTGTTTATGAAGCATGGGTCAGTGGTTTGCAGTTTCTGTGTACTGTTCGTTTTCCCACAACCAATTTCCATGCGGAACATAGGTCTTCTCTGTTACTTTAACGTTTGTTTCAAAAAGCATCAGTTTCCCATCATTTTGTAGTGGTTTTCACAGGTTTCATGTAATTTATAAAACTTCAGTCTATAGCAATGCCTCATCTACTTTAACAGACTCAGTAGCTAATACTGATGGCTAAAGGCAGTATGAGGACCTGGTCAGAGCAGGATTGAACCTTTTAAGGTTCATTTTGTCACTTGCTTTTTAGACTGATATTTAATGTGAAATTCAAAATACCAGCGGTCATGCCTATGTGTTTCACCTGTTTTCATTGATTTTTATAGCATAACACAGAAGAAGCTCAGTGTCCCAGGAAAGAACCACTGGAGACGAATGTGGATACAAAATTGACAGAACAGAGAGGGTAAGGAAAAGAAAGATGGTACGTGTCTTTGTCATTGTTCTGTTGCTGTGAAGGTATGTTGTGACCAAGGCAACTCTTATTAAAACAAAACATTGAGTTGGATGTTTGCTTTCAGTTTCAGAGTCCATGATCATCATGGCACTAGCTGAGATCCATGCTTTGCATCCTGATCCACAGGCAGCAGGCAGAGAGAGAGTCAGTGGGTCTGGTGTGGGCTTTTAAAACCTCAAAGCATGCCCCAAATGACACACCTTCTCCAACACAACCACACCTCCTTACAGTTCCACTAACAGGACACAAAGCATTCAAACATAGGAGCCTGTGGCAACCATTCTCATTCAAATCACGAAAACGTGATTATTGCCTTTAAAAAAAATCTTAGACATTTTTCATAATTTATAATATATATTTTATGTTGGTATTATAACTTGAATTTGTAATGGCAGGGAGTTGTTTTGGTAAATGTTATATTTTCATAGAAGTAATCTTTTCTTTTTTTACTTTTGTCCTCTTATTACTGTCAGCCTTATCAAAATCAATTGTACCTGTAAATAGGCCAGTTTATTCAGCTGCTAATTAAGGAACTGTCTGTCCACACTGATTTTATTCTTATTGAATTCAGACACATTGTGCATCTGAATGCACACAACCTTCACTGTTGGGTTGTAGTCACCGTATTCTGTCCGTTAGGCACAGGCGTGCAGACTGCTGCTGTTTGTTTCAGGGAGAGGTGAAAGCAGTAGCAATTTTCATAAGTAGCAATTTGAACATGACTTTTAAATTTTTAGAATTTTTTAAAATTTAGGGGCTTGAGGGTAAGCTGCTTATCGTATAAGCACAGGACCTGAATTTCATCCCTAGGGCCCATGTGAAAAGCAGGGTATGGTAGAGCTCACTTACAACTCCAGTGCTGGCTAAATAGGCAGATCCCCAAACCTAATTGTTGAGACTCTGTCCCAAAACCAGAAGGAACACCCCCTGAGGAATGACACCCACGGTTGACTGTTGGCCTCCATACATACCCATGCTCACACATACCATGCTGTACAAACTACACTCACACAAAGAATTGTAGGATTGCCTTAATGTCTCTGTCTTTCTGTGTGTGTTTCTCTGTGTGTGTGTCTGTCTGGTGTTCTCTCTCTCTCTCTCTCTCTCTCTCTCTCTCTCTCTCTCTCTCTCTCTCTCTCTCCTCACAAGCCATAGTTATCTGGGAAAAGGAACTTCAGTTTCGAAAACTTACCAGATTGCTTGTAAGGTGTGGGGCATTTTATTGATAAATGATTGGTGTGGGAAGGTCTAGATTACTGGTGGGGGTGGGAATGGGGACATTTGGCCCTGGGTTATACAAGAAAGCAAACTGAGCAAGCCAGTAGGAGCACGCCAGTGAGTTGTCTCACTCCATAGTGTCTGCTTCAGTTCCTGCCTCCAGATTCCTGCCCTGACTTTCTTCTATGACGAACTATAGCCCTGTGAGGTGAATAAACCTCTTCCTTCTCTTCCTTACCAAGTTGGTTTTATTTCTATTTTGTTTTTTTGTTTGAGACAGGGTTTCTCTGTGTAACAGCCCTGGCTTGTAGACCAGGCTGGCCTCAAACTCAGAGTTCCACCTGTCTGTGCCTCCCAAGTGCTGGAATTAAGAGAGTGCATTACCACCACCTGGCTTATTTCTATTTTGAATAGTTAATACAAAACTTTTTGCTTTTGAGACAGGGCCTCACTATGTAGACCTGGATTTCCTAGAACTTTGTTGTGTTCTAGCTAGCCTCAAATTCATACTCTTCCTGCTTCTTCCTCTTGAATGCTGGGATTAAAGACATATGCCACCACACCCAGCTAAAATAGTTTCCCTTTGAGGTGCTAAGGATTGTTTCTAGAGCCTCTCACATACTGGAAAAACACTTTACATATGAGCTGTATTTCCTGTCCACTAAAGAATTAATTGAATGTCCCATGATGACATTATAAAGTATTAGAAATATGATATTCTTAAACAGTAATCTTTACAGTTTCAAATATATCAGTCGATTCTTTGGTCCGAGTAAAGTGCCATTATTCTGCAGAAAGATGGGTCATAGATAACCTTGTGTCCCCTAGGTTTAGATTACATTTTCATTGCTGAGCAATCAGTGCTGCCCGAGTTGTGTATTAAGTCATGGAGTCTTTGCTGCTGTTTTGAATCTGTGACTAATTGCTATGGAGACCAGTGTAAACAGATTGTGATTATGAGCTCAGCATCGCAGCACTATTAGAGGACTGGATTCGTAGGTGGCAGAGCTGTAGTTGTGTGCACCTTAGAAATGGGACGAGTATCTTGCTCCTAATCACTTATTTTCATTTGTAGTGTGATTGAAGCCTTGTCAAATTCTGAACATACCATTCCTCATTCACATTGTATAGATGCAAATTCAGAAACTTCTAGGTAAGATTTTTTTTTATTTCCTATTCCATTTTGAAACCATGCTTTAAAAATAAGAGAATGAATTGATACCTACTGTGCCAGTCTGAAATAATTGCTAAGTGTTTGTACTAAAAGCCAAGGAAATAAGCAAAGAGCTGCATAGGCGTACTGTTTTGACATCTCAATTATTTATTAAATATTTATTTATTTGTTATGTATACAATATTCTGTCTGTGTGTATGCCTGCAGGCCAGAAGAGGACACCAGACCTCATTACAGATGGTTGTGAGCCACCATGTGGTTGCTGGGAATTGAACTCAGGACCTTTGGAAGAGCAGGCAATGCGCTTAACCTCTGAGCCATCTCTCCAGCCCCATCTCAATTATTTATAGGTTTTCCTATACCATCTGTGTTTTGAAGACATGTGGAACTATGTTGGGACAATCATTTCAAGTACAACAGAAATCTGTATTTTATATATATATTATTGAAATATTATTGTTCCCATTCATCTTCTGACCCCTAATAGCATAAGAAATGCTTTTAGCTCATTTTAGTATTCTGTCCCTCATTTTGCACTACTGGGCGTTTAACCTAGAGCCTCAAGCAGGCTAGATAAGCTGTCTGCCACTGAGCTATGTCCTTAGCCCAGTTCTCTGGGCCAACCCAGATGAGCTTCTGAGATCAGGTCAGAGAGATCAGGCTGCAGTGGCTGAAAAGTTAATTCTCTTTAGGTTTTCCAGTTTTTGTCTTTTTAATTTTCCTACAAAGGTTAAACTGAGTGCTTGGAAATTTTGCTGAGTTAGAAGGAAAATTCAGTACAGTTTTGCTAAAGGAAAAAGTTCACGTAATTAGAATGGATCCCCTTGCTAGTGTTGGAAGTACAGCCCAATGAAGCTGTGTTGAATTGTCACGTCAGTTGTCATAGATCTGTCATATAAATGCAGTTTGTTTTTAAGCATGTTCATTGCACAACAAAGGAAAAACGCTGGTGCTGAAGGGAATGAGTATAAGTTCAAATCTACATGCAATTTTGTATGTTCTGTTTGTAAACAAGTACTAATTTATTTGAATATTATACTTACTTATTCCCTTAATTAGTTTATAAACTTTATTTGCTTAGAAAATACTGGGAAGGTTGGGTGTGGTGGCGCATGCTTTTAATCCTAATACTTGGGGGGCAGTTTGTAAGTTCCAGGTCAGCAGGGCTACACAGAGAGGCTCCATTGAAAGAAAGGAGAGACATGGGGGGAGCCAGGGAGGGGGGAAGGGAGGTAAACAGAACGAAAGAGAATAAAATGAAACACTAGAGACTTATGGTTAAGGAACCATTTCCTAATAATTGTTTTGTCCAAAAGAGATCAAAGAACTTGCTTTGGTCTTTAATTTTTAGTTTTGATAAGTATTTTTATGGTTAATTACAAATGGAAACTGGTTTGTTTGAAATGTTCACAGTTCTGTGGTTTCATGCTTAATAATAATCATGTCATTTGTGCTGATAATCTTGGAATTAAATGTTTTTTTCCATTTTGTTTTAACTCTGTTTTCTTTCTTTTAATAATTTAACTTTTTTTTTTATATGCATTGGTATAAAGGTGTCAGATGCCTTGGAACTGGAGTTAAAAGACAATTGTGAGCTTCCATGTGGGTGTTGGGAATTGAACCCAGGTCCTCTGGAAGAGCAGCCAGTGCTCTTGACTGCTGAACCGTCTCTCCAGCCCCTTAAGTCTCTTTTCAGGTGTTAATTTTAGTTAGCATTTCAATCCTAGGTCTCTATGGTTAAAGAGGATGTTGGTGCAGGTCTCAGGCTCGAAGGACACCTGCAGACATTCAGGTGATGGGGAGAGCCCTGAATCACCTGAGTAACCTTCAGACCCAAAGAAAAATAGTGTCTAAATATTTAGGTCATTGTATCTAATTGTTTGGGGATTTCTGTTGTTGATTAATGTATTTTTTATTTGAATGTTTTCCCACAGTGCACAGATTTCTGAACTTAAAGAGAGATCTTCCTCAGTTCCACCACTCATGTCTAGCGGAGCCCATGGTGCTTCACAAACCCCTGTCCCCACACCTCAGGAGACTCAGAGACACGAGCACAGGGTGCACTTACCAGATTCTTCTGATTCTGTTAGGCAGATGCTCCAGGAAGAGATGTTTAAATTAGTTCAGGTGAGCATTTGACTATGTAAATAAATATACACATGATACAGCTTAAAATGAGCAAACTAGTAGAAATGGACTAGCCAAAGTGAATTCCATGCCTTTCTCTGCTCTTACAACTCCTCCTCTGGACCTGTAGTCTAGATATGTGTGACTTATTTTTCTGGGTATTTTGGGTGAGGTGTCAGGTAGATCAAATCAGATCTACAAAGAAATGCCAAATGTATTTTCTATACAAGCTTTTGGACCTAATTTTGTCTTGGGCCAAAAGTGTCTGGCATTTCAAAAGACTGTTCGCTTTGACTTTCTTTCCCCCCTAAGCACATTGTTTTCTTTCAACCAATAGATTTATTTATGTTTATTGTTTTTTATTTTTAATTATGTGTATCTCTGTAGAAGATGGGCATGTGAATGTAGTTGCCAGAAGAGATCGCCAGATCCCTTGGGTTATAGGTCAGCTGTGAGCTGTCTGACGTGAGTGCTGGGAGCCCACTCAGGTCTTCTGCAAGAACAGCATATGCTCTTAGCCACTGAGTCATCTCTCTGGCCCCCATTTTTCCTCTTACCTCATAATTTCCCTCATACCTAATCCTCTACTCATGTCTATGTTTAGGTATCTTATATTTTTGTTTGTTTGTTTTTGTTAAGTTTTTCGAGACACAGTTTCTCTGTGTAATACCCCTGGTTGTTCTGGAACTAGCTCTTGTAGACCAGGCTGGCCTTGAACTCACAGAGATCCACCTGCCTCTGCCTCCCAAGTGCTGGGATTAAAGGCATGCGCCACCACCGCCTGGCCAGTATGTTTATGTCTTATATTCCATTTTATATTAGTGATTCGTGGCACTGATCTCTCACCGAACGTAGGAGTCCTGGTGAGATACTCTTTCAGGATGTCCACAGTCCCAGGAATCTGACTTTGTCTCCTCCTTCTCCCCAGTTCCTTCCTACCCCTCTTAGAGGAATGCTACCTGGCTCCCAGCTTGAAGTGGGAAAAGTGTCTCCAACTGTTGTGTGAATTGCTGGGGTTCTACCTGCTCAGTGCTCTGTACATTTAACACGTTCACTGTTTTACTGTGCAGGGTTGAGCGTGGCTGCGTTGTTTTGCTTTCTCCATTACTCGCTCATTTTCACTATGTCCCTTTGTCGCCACCTCCCCACTCTGATTTTGTTGTTGTTTTTGTTATTATTTAGACAAAATCTTGGTATGTTTACTGTGTCCCCTTGATTGTTTGGCCCCATATATTATATGTGACTGTTGTAGGCAGAGTTTTTCATCAAGACCACTGGCTCCCCGTAACCACACAGACACTTAATATTAGTTATATACTTGGCTGATAGCTTAGGCTTGCTACTTAAATTAATCTGTATTTCTTATCTATGCTCTACCACTTGGCCATACTTTTTTTTTTTTTTTTTTTTTTTTTTAGCACGGTGTGTTCATAAAGCTTCTCTCCATGTTTCCTGGTGACTTCACCTTCTTCTACCTTACCCCCTTTTTGTCCACAAATCCTATTTAACTTTTTCTTGCCTAGCTATAGGCCAGTTGGCTCTTCATTAGCCAGTGATAGTAATACATGTTCACAGTGTACAAAGGTTGTTCCACAGCAGACTGTAGTCTCTTATGCCACCTTGACTTTTGCCACCACTTCCCGGCCTTTTCATTGTGTTTAAGGCATTATTTTGTTTTATTCTAGCTGCAGCAGATCAATTTCCTGAGCCTGATGCAAATAGTAGGACCGTCCGTTGCTAATCTCCCAGACATGCATCGGCTTCTCCAGCAGGTTCATCCTGTACATGCTGGGGAAAGCCCAGCATCAAAGCCCACAAGGAGTGGTTGTGCTTCTGAGGTCAATAGCAGACAGAGATTTTTCGCTCACCCAGAGTCCGTGGGAGAATGTAGCTGGGAGCCTGACAAGAACAGCCCACCAGACCATGGAGGAGTCAGCCAAACTGATCAGGACAGTAATGGAAATGCAGAGGTAATTCACACAAAGATACCATTAGAACAGAAAAGACAGTTCAATTGGCAGAAGTTCATGTCTGAGGTTTTGAATGTTTGAAGTTCATTCCCCAGAACCAGTGTTAAAGAAAAGTCAGTCATGGTGCACACCCAGTCCCAGTGCTGGGGAGGTAGTGACAGATCCCTGGGCTCACCTCAAGCTTGTCTAACCTGTTTGGTGAGTTCTTGGCCAATTAGAGACCCTGTTTTAAAATAATAAAAACCAAAACAACAACAACAATGGATGGTACCTGATGACACCCAAGATGGTCCTATGGTCTCTACCTGCACATGGACCCTCAAGCATTCTATTCTGGTTTTATTTCTGTTCCTTTCATAAAATAATCTGAAAAAAAGAAACTTGGGGGAGAAAGGGTTTATCTATCTCACTTTGCAGTTCCAGGGTATAGTTCATTGTAGGTCAAAGCAGAAGGAACTTGAAGTATCTTGTCATAGCCCATCCACAGTCAAGAGTAAAGAGGGACGAAAACATGCCTTACTTGCTTGTGCCTAGGGAATGGTGCCGCCCACTGTGGCCTGGGTCTTCCCATGTGAGTTATCTTAGAGAATCTTCCACAGACATATTCATAGGACAACCCACTGTAGACAGTCTCTTATTGAAACTGTTTTCCCTCATGATTCTAGGTTGTGTCAGGTGAACAATTAAGGCTAATCATCACAGATGTGCACGTGCACTCATGCACACACACACACACACACACACACACACACACACACACACAGAGTAAGTAGCATTTGTGTCCTATTCGATTAATCATTGGCTTTTTGTTATTGGAATAAATGTATTTTTTAGCAATTTTTCTAACATGCTATCCATTCACATCATACTGGATATTATTTACAAAAAATTGTAATAAACTGTAAATTTATATATTATTTTTCTCTCAGAACATTGCACATGGGAGTATTCCTTTGTGTCAATTAGATGGCCAGCCTAAGATGAGAGGACAGACTGGAGCATCTCGAAGCTTGGAACCCACTTCATTTTCTCACACTCCTGCTGGAGACACTGGCCTCCAGCTCCTGTTCACCCCTGCTGCTGTCCAGAGGGCACCACAGCTGATCCCGCCGGCCAGAGCAGTTCCTCCTGGGAGTGGTTTTCCCCTGCTTCATTTTCAGCCCAAGCGTGAATTCAAGCCCCTCTCCTTACCTCTAGGAAGAATTCCAGAGGTTCCTTTGAGACCTCAGGCCCAACCAAAAGAGGCTTGGGGATTATCTGATTCTTGCCAGCCTCCTCTGTCTCAGAGAATAGTGCAACCTACCGCACCATGCCACTCAAATCCAAGCCACTACAGCGCGGAAGCCATGAACAAGGCGGATGCTGTCCTCAGAGACACCCCTCAGCATGCGAACTTGGATCAGTATGTTGGACAGCACTTGACACCTCGGCAGGCTTCTTCAGTATTTATAAAACCAGAAAGTGTGTTTGATGTTAAAGCAGGGCTCCCTGAGACAGCTCCTCAGAATTCTTTTGGACTTCCTTTATTACACCTGCAGTTCAAGCCACCTTGTATATTCTCATCACCATCGAGACTGCCCTCGGTACCTACCAAATGTGACCCAGAAAGAAAACAAAATCCACAGCTATCATTGCTTCATTCATGCTTGCCCCCGGAGAACACGGTAATGACACGGTGGTGATTGACAAGCTGTTGTGTTTTCCCATGCTGCAAACTCTGTATGTTCTGTGAGCGCTCAAGAACATGTTTTAACGTCTATTTATATATATATATATAATGTCTTAGTTAGGACTACTATTGCTGGCATGAAACACCATGACCAAAAGCAATTCATGGAGGAAAGGGTTTATTTGGCTTACACCACCTCATCACTTAAAGTTCACCATTGAAGGAAGTCTGGACAGGAACTCAAACAGGGCAGGAACCTGGAAGCAGGAGCTGAGCTGAGTTGAGGCCATGGAGAGGTGCTCTTATTACTGGGTTGCTCAGTCTGCTTTTTTGTAGAACCCTGGACCACCAGGCCAAGATTGGTACTACACACAATGGACTGGGGCCTCTCCCATTGATCACTGATTAAGAAAATGCTCTCCAGGGCCTACAGCCCAGTCTTATGGAGGCATTCTCTCTCTCTCTCTCTCTCTCTCTCTCTCTCTCTCTCTCTCTCTCTCTCTCTCCCTCCCTCCCTCCCTCCCTCCCTCCCTCCCTCCCTCCCTTCCTTCCTTCCTTCCTTCCTTCCTTTTGAGAGGGGGTTTCTCTTCCTTCCTTCCTTTTGAGAGGGGGTTTCTCTGTGTAACAGCCCTGGCTATCCTGGAACTAGCTCCTGTACACCAGGCTGGCCTCGAACTCACAGAGATCCGCCTGCCTCTGCCTCCGGAGTGCTAGGATTAAAGGCGTGCGCCACCACTGCCAGGCCCTTGGAGGCATTTTCTTAATTGAGGTTCCCTCCTCTCAGGACAATTTTATACTGGGTCATGTTGACACAGAGCTATGCAGCACAGTGTGCATACATGTGTACACAGTCGAATGTTAGAGGACAGCTTGCATGGACTGGTTGTCCACTACCTTGTGGGTTCTGGGGAACAGAATTGGTCAATGCTCATCAGCAAGTGCTTTACCTACTTCTTTGTTGTTGTTGTTTATTGCGACAGGGTTTCTCTGTGTAACAGTCCTGGGTACCCTGGAACTGGCTTTATAGACCAAGCTGGCCTCGAACTCACAGAGATCCACCTGCCTCTGCCTTCCAAGTGCTGGAATTAAAAGCATTTGCTACCACCACCCGGCTTTATCAGCCTATTTCTTAAAATAATTCTTCTGTTACAGACAGTAGCATAGAATTCAGGTTTTAAATTATTTTACATCTTAAATATTTTTGGTTCTTTATATAAATACCAGAATTTACACTCTTTTATGTATATTTTTGCATACATAAGATATAAATAAAATAAGCCGGATAGTGGTGGCACACGCCTTTAATCCCAGCACTCGGGAGGCAGAGGCAGGTGGATCTCTGTGAGTTCGGCCAGCCCGGTCTACAAGAGCTAGTTCCAGGACAGGCTTCAAGCTACAGAGGAACCCTGTCTCGAAATATAAACAACAACAACAAAAAAAAGATATAAGTAAAATACAATTAACCAGAGAGAGTGAGAGAGTGTGTGTAGTAAGTGCACTTGGTGTTCTTGAAGTTCTTAGCAGTTGTGATACCATCATCTTCAAATTAGTTTCAGATAAAAGTTTTTAAGCACATGGCAGTTTTTCAGTAGCTTTCCAGCAATGAGACAGTAGCTTTATAAACATACCAAGTCCTCTTCAAAGACACTGTCTTTGACTTAGGACCTTACGATGGTTGAGCTTCTGACTTGTATTAGGGCAGCGATTGAGTGACTTGTTCTCAGGTTCACTTTACCACCACAGGTACTGCTACAGAAAGTAAGGGTTATTCAATAGAGGAAGTATCAGCCACGCCTCCTGTTCTGAACATACTATAAACAGAAGAGGACATTAAAGATTTTTGAGAACAGTTTTAAAAAAAAAAAAAGATTTATTTATTATGTATACAACTTTCTGCCTCCATTTATACTCACACGCCAGAGGAGGGCGCCAGATCTCTCTCTTTACAGATGGTTTGGAGCCACCATGTGGTTGCTGGGAATTGAACTCAGGACCTCTGGAAGAGCAGCCATTGCTCTTAACCACTGAGCCATCTCTCCAGCCCCTGAGAACAGTTTTATTATTACCTCAAGTTAGGGCTATCAGCATATGCCGATATGCTCCCTCCATCTATAGTCTCCAAGCCACTTCATCCTGCCTCTTGTATTTACAGTCACTATATATTTATAATATAGCCCTACATATATTTCCCTCACAGGGAGGAATATTTTATATGGAAATGCAATTTAGAAGAGGGGGACCTTACTTCTGAAACAAGATGGCTCAGTCGAGGGCAAAGGATGCCGCTGAGTGGTCTTTCGAGCCCTGGCTCAGCATCCTCAAGGCCCTGAGCCAGTCTCCAGGAGAGGAAGTAAAAAAGACCTATATGAAACTTAACGACCCTCTCTAATTGTCTAAAATGCGGATATTCATTCTTCCTGTCCAAGTCAGTGTTCTGTCTCTTATGTGTCTTAGTTTAATTTAAACATATGTTTTCTTTGTTTTTTTCAACATAATTGTGTATTTGAGTTGTTATGCTTTCTTTCTGTAGTACAAGAAGCCGCAACTTATCCCACTTGAAAACCTCATGGCATTTAAAAGGAGCCAGCAAAAACTAGCACATAATGTGTTTGAACAAGGTGATTCTGGGCATCTTCAGCTTCTAAAGGTCAACATGGAACCATCTAAAATAACACAAGGAAAGAAGAGGCGAGTTCTGCATGAAACGTTACCTGATGTGTTGTATGCCTGGATCCTAACAATGGTCCCGCTTTCGTTCCTTCACAGGAATGTAGTTTGTAGTGTCAGCTAATCTCGCGGTGAGGGAAGATTTCCCCCCTCTCCATTTTTCTTTCTTTCTTTTCATGGGGTGGAGCGCTTTTCTCCATGTTTCTGTGACAGCATGAACAGGTATGTTCTGTAGTACTAATTTTTGGGATCAAGTACAATTCCGTGAACAGTTAGCTCTTTGAATCAATATTTATCTTTCCTCGCTTCACCATGTATCCCCCAAAGTGTTAGAAGGTGCAGGAGAGTCGGTGATGGTAGGAGAGTGCTTCCCAAGTTGAACTGACGAGAGCCCATGACAGCCTTGGACCTGCAGCGGGTGTTGAAGACGTGTTGATTAGTATGTTATAAGTACAGAACACGTGTTCAAATTTACCAGTGCTGGTTCTTCCAGTGCTGAGCTCTCCTTGCTGAGGTTTTTACTTAGCCTCCTCAAGGAGCTTAGAGGAGGTTTCCATAGGGCTTTCGCCACCAGCTTCTACCATGCAAGAGAGAGGGTTTGAAAGTTGCTCCAGAGGTGTACACCTGTTTCCACATGTTAGTGACCAAGTCAGAGTGCTCAACTCAGGGTCACCCGTGACCGTGTATTCCCGCGGAGTGTCTCGCTAGTTTAGTTAAGCCTTAGTGAGATGGATTTTCAGCAGTTGTTTTCAAGTGTAAAGACACAAATGAGAACCTGAAGTTACTGTGAGGGAAACCATGTTCTGTGCTGTTGTCTCCGTCAGGCGGAACAGACGAGCTGAAAGAGAGCTACGGGAAGGAAGAACTCAGAAGCCGAGAGGAAAACCAAGTGTTAGTTTCCGACCAGAGGAGTCCCTCATTAGTAAGGGCTCTGAAGTCATCACGGAGCCCAAGGTACAGAGCAGCTGCAGTAATCCATCCCTAACTTGCATGGAATTCTTTGGTATTTCTTTGTGGCTGTATAGCCTGGTTGCTGGAAGGTTCTGGCTGTGGTTTGAAGGGTCTGGCCATCATTATACACCTGAGCTCTACTGATTCCCTCCACACACAGACACACTCAGTGTGAACATGAGAAACAACTGGACAGCAAACTGAAAACGGCAGCTTAGCACATCTGCCTGGTGACGCTGTGTAGAAGTCACTCTGGGGGTGGGGGCTGGAGAGATGGCTCAGAGGTTAAGAGCACTGACTGTACCTCCAAAGGTCCTGAGTTTAGTTCCCAGCAACCACATGGTGGCTTACAACCATCTATAAATGATATCTGGTACCCTCTTCTGGTGTGCAGGCAGAACACTGTATACACAATAAATCTTTTTTAAAAAGCCACTCTGGGTTTTGGTCTGTGATCTGCCTGGTGACTGCTGTGTAGAAGTCACTCTGGGTTTTGGTCTGTGATCTGCCTGGTGACTGCTGTGTAGAAGTCACTCTGGGTTTTCCTCTGTTTTGTGCTCATGATGTATGATGTTATCATTTCTCTTGGAGGCTGAGAAGCCTCCAGGCTTATCCAGGTACATTTGCTATATGACCTATTTTATAAGTCAATTCTCTTTAAGCATTCATTCTGAATTTGGAAAAAAAACATTAAAGAGATATAATTTCAATCATGTATGTTTTAAAGCCTTGCTTTTTCATCGAGTCCTCATGACCATGGACACAGATACTAAATATCTTTCGAGTCTATTGAAGAGTTTAGTAGGATAGAGGTACAGTTTGGGTGTCAAGTCTGCTCTGCTGTGGAGACCTGTACATGGTAATTAGTAAGTTGGTATTAAATTGATAATACTGTTTTATTACTTGACAAATGGATTTTATGAACTCTTAGACACTTGTTTTGACAGAGTAAACAGTTAGGCCTAAAATAATGGAAATTAAATCTGTAACTTTGAATTCAATTTTTATAGCTCTTAGATGGACTTTTTTCCAAAATAATAAATGCCTTTGAGTTATTAATACATTGTTTGGCTCTGTTTAGGAACAACTAGGACATGGTGATTCTCAGCCTTTGGAAAAATTTGACATTCCTTTCGGTATGTATATACATGATTATGTAATGTCTAAGTTTAATGTTAAGTCAGCTTTTTAGAAATAAACATAATAAGGCTGGGTGGTGGTAGCACACACCTTTAATTCCAGCACTTAGGAGGCAAAGGCAGGTGGATCTCCGAGTTAGAGGCCAGCCTGGTCTATAAATCAAGATCCAAAACAGCCAGAGCTACACAGAGAAACTTTTTTGGGGTGGGAGAGGGAAGGAATAAATGTAATATAAAACAGACTAAGTTACTATCTTAGTCAGTGTTCTGTTTGCTGTGAAGAGACACCATGACCACAGGATTCTTTTTTCCCCCCTTGTTTTGCTTGCTTTTGTTTTTTTGTTTTTTGAGGCGGACTGTCCTGGAACTGGCTCTGTAGACTAGGCTGGCCTCGAAATAAGTAATCTACTTGCCTCTGCCTCTGTCTCCCAAGTGCTGGGATTATAGGCATGCCCCCCTCCCCAGCAAAGCAGCTCTTGTAAGAAAAAGAAAAAGAAAAGCCCACTCTTATTTAAGAACTTCTAAGTTGAGAACTGCCTGAAACTAAGAGCAACTAATAACCAACTACGTGTTTATATACTCAATTGTTTTATGTCTATATTATTATACCTAATTTATTATGTGTAATTGTTAGTCTCTGTCTCTGTCTGTCTCTCTCTTTTTCCTAGACAGGGTTTGTCTGTAGCTTTGGAACCTGTCCCGGAGCTAGCTGTTGTAGACCAGGCTGGCCTCGAACTCACAGAGATCCACCTGCCTTTGCCTCCCAAGTGCTGGGATTAAAGGTGTGTGCCACCACTGCCCAGTATTATTCTCTTATTCCATCTAGTCTTTGTAGGCCATCTCCTTGTAGAATCTCAGTCTAACTCGGCCTGCCATAATATACTTGGTACTTGGATTCTACTTCTGCCAAGCTTCTCTGCTCGGGGAAAGACCACTTGTAACTCGTGAAGTCAGATTTCATTTTCTTTTCCTGCCCAACTGCTTTTTTTCCCCTTGCTATGTTCTCTGTCTCCATTTATATTAATACCAACCAAATGACAACCCCCAAATTCTACCTTTTACTTTTCCTTCCTACTCAGCCAGCCAGTCTCAGCCTTTCTTACCTCCCTTGTAACAAGGCTGCAGAAGCCTTATCTGATTGTTTCTGGTTTTATTCGTTCAACTCTGCCTTACTCTGGTGGGGTGGGTTTTTCCAGTAGCCATCTGATCACATTGCTTTCACTGGATCTTCATTAACTAGAGGAGAAGGCTCTAGGCTTCTGGGCCCGACCACTGTGTCCTCTCCAAGTGTGGGTTCGGACTGTGTCTCTAAGATGTAGTTATACAGCACCACATGTAGAAAATGTACTTTGATATCATCCCAACACACACCTCCGATTACTGTGCTTCCAATAATATGCTGGCTCTCAGTGATTGCTTTCAGTATTTTGTTACATTTAAGAAATGTTAGAAGATGATGTTCATACTTCAGCTGGACTGCATTTCATGGCCTCTGTACGGAAGAAAGTTGTGGGAAGTCAGGATGCAAGTACAAACACAGACCCAGGTAAATACTTTAAATGTTTGAAAAGTTCATGTATAGCAGGAGACCTAGCTTAGTGGTTAAGAGCACTTGATATCTTCCAGACTGACTTCAGTTTCTAGCATCTGTGTTGGGAAGTTCACAAGTGACTGTAATTCCAGCTGCAGAGGATCTGATGTAGTCTTCTGGCCTCTGTGGGTATCTCTACTTAGCCAACATACATAGTCACACATACACGTGATTAAAAAATAATGTCTTTTAAACTTTGGTAGATATTTATACATTTTCTTTAAGGCAGTAATTTAAAGGGAATTTTAAATTATGTAATATTAGTTACTTATCCCAAGTTATTCTCCTTAATTTTCTTGGAAAAATTATAAATAGCATTTATGATAACCTGAAATAGCATTATGATAACCTGAACTTACAATTTAAGTAAAACATAAAATAGATATTTTCATAAAATAGATATTGCAAGCCTGTTAAAGAGCTCAAGTGAGTATAAAGAATGTTCAGATTAGACACCCTAGGTCAGGAGTTTCCTTCACTGGTCATGTGGACCTAGGGTGAGAGGCTTGGGGCTCTGGCTAGTGAAGTTGGCATGAGAATAAGATTAGTCTGTGGCTAGGCTGAGAGGGCAAGTGGCTTGTCCATAGGCAGAAGTGTGCAGAACCTTTCCAAATATTTATTACACCTCGGACTTGGTCTCCTTATAAAATGCTTAAGTACTCGTTGATATAATAATATAGCAAGCCATGTCAAATATGAAATCATACATTTCATATAGCTAGGTGCAGAGCAGAGCAAAAGTGTCCTTTCATAGTATCTGAACTCCTGGTCCCTGGGTATTCCCATATTCCTAGCTTTTCCCTGAGAATTTAACTATCATGTCCCATTCCCAGCTACCTTTAGACACTCATAGAGCATCTTAGCATGGTGTTCCTTTGTGCTATGTTTACATCACAGTACATTTGCAGCATTGTGGAAGGTGACACACGTGTGTTCAATATTATTGCATAGTTTGTGCATACTAATAAAATAGATACTAGTGAAGTGGTATTTAAAATATATAATAATTCTTAATATGTTGTTACTTAGTTGTTTAAGTCTGAGGAAATTGGATGACATGGAATACCTTTTTTTGTCATGTAAAATGTTATTTTCACCTTATATCTGAAAATTGCCAGCTAGCTTATTTTCAGGTTTATTTATGTCTTTTTCATTTCCTTTCCTTTCTATTTACTTTAAACATTTCCTTCTATTGCATGAGTATTTTATAAGCATATTCCTTTTGCAGTTGCGCAAAGGAATATTTAACCAGCTTCTGTTGTTGAGTACATTGATGTGTTAATGTGTTAGATAGTTTTTAGGGTTTTTTCTTCTCCCTTCTTTTCTTTGAGTTGGGGAAAATTAAGCCAGGGTCATACTATATTAATTAAGCTGGCAATCTATTTTCACCACCACCTTTTCCATACACTAACTATCTGTTTTTATATATTTAATTTTCCTGTGTTTGTGAAATTATTTTTCTTTTTTCTTTTTCCCTCATATATTTGAATTTACTACAAGATAAGGAAGGTACTTCCCAAGAAGTTGGTTCTGATAGTGGTAAAAATCAACAAGTCGTTTCTGCTACCTCAGGTGTGAGTTCTTTGTTCTCTGAGATTAAGTTTGACTTATTAAAGCTATGTCTGCATAGTGCGAAAGCCAAAGTTACTCCCTTAGAAAACAGTTTCCCCAAGCAAGTGGCTTCATAGAGATAGGGTGACAATTTAAATGGTTTTGTTTTTTTTTCCCTCAGATCTTAAAGCTAACCTGTGATTTAAGATTCAAGCTTTATTAGCAGTTTTTCAGTAAAGTTGATATGTCATGAATTGTATTTTATTTACATATGAATTGCCAAGTAATATTTTATTAAAAATAAAATGCTAGAAAAGTAGATTTGAGTCCTAGAACAAAAGCAGGGTTCAACTGTCAGCTTACCTCTGTAGTGGAGAACCTCTGTTTACTGTTGAATAAGAGGAAAATAACTAATGAAATTCAGCTGTTAGAATGATTTATTTATTTATAACTTTAAAAAATGATTTTATTCTTATTTTATGTGCATTGGTCTTTTGCCTGCATGTATGTCTGTATGAGGGTGTCAGATCCCCTGAAACTGGAGTTACAGACAGTTGTGAGCTACCATGTGGGTGCTGGGAATTGACTCCTGGATTAACAGTCAGTGTTCGCTCTTACCTGCTAAGCCATCTCTCCAGCCCCGAACAGTTGAAACTATAAAAGTTAGCAGTGAGCCTGTGATTAGCCTAAATCCATTTTAAGAATAAGAATGTTAAGAATAAGCATGATTTAACTATTGAAAGTTTTTAAAATGTAGCTGATATGTATATTTCTCTTAAGTAAAATAATTTAATATTATTTAATATTATTAAATATTAAATAAATATTTAAGATAGAATTAAGAAATTATAACCTTTTTTATAAAATTTAGATACCTTATTTTCCATGTATGTATTTTCATAAAAGAAGAGTACTCCTTTGTCTTTGATTATAAATTTCCTTATAGAAAATCAACTCTTAGACTAGAATTGGTTGGATTTTATATTTATACCTAGGAAACATGTATAAGAAATACACATTTTATATTGTTTTGCTGTAATCTTGTTCTTAGAAAGTTAATGACTATAGACATATTTAACATCTTTAATTTTCTTTCTTTAATTTCCAGGCCATGAACCTTTGAATGTTCCTCAACTCTTGATTCCAGATGTCTGTCTGAATGTCAGACTTCCCACGGGAATACCAGAGAAGCCTTTGTCTCCTTCCCCACCTCACTTGGTAATAGCCTTGGTGTCTGCATTGAATTTTAACAATAACCTTGTCTCACACTTACTGTGGCCATCCATACAATACCCCATTTTGTAGACAAAATGAGTATAAAGATGTGCACAGCTCTGAAAGAAGGGCCAGAAGTGTCTGAAGTGTTATGCCCTATACTGCTCCAACTAGAAAAGCTCAAACATATTGCTGCTTTCTGCAAGTTAGGCATGCAGATGCTTGCTTGTTAGTGGTAAGAAGGATGACACACTAACATCACCACCCGTTTGGTAGTCATCTACAATTAAAAATAAATGTTACTATGTGTTTAACTCAGGCTAGACACACGTACATAGATGTGATTGACATTGGAGCTGAGGACCTTTTGGGATTACCTGCCAGTGAAGAGCCTTCAGATGACAATGTTATCCAGCCACAGAGCCATCCTCCAGAGGGCCCATTGTCTGCAGAGCTGCATTGTATGGCAGCTTCAGTTGTCAACGCTGTCCCCCCTCATGCTTTCGAGAGTCAAGGTATTTTCCCACACTAAGATGTATTAGCCCTGTTACGTCACCCAAATCTCCTAGACCCCAGACCCAATGCTTGTGCTGACGTTGGACTGGAAATTTACGATCAGTGTTTGTCTGTCTTTTATGTTCTAATCGAGCTTTAATTTCTGAACCCGCAAAAGGGACTGCATCTTCTCTGGATGGGAAAAACTTGAAAGCAAATGTTGTGGACGTGAAGGAGCCGGGGATTCTCTCAGTGATCCCGTCAGACAGGCAGCAGGACAGAGGTAAACGGCCAGCGTGTACTGCACGGCCCCTCCCTCGATTCCTGTGACGTTAGAAGTGTTGCTCCTTGGTCATTTCTAAGGCACTTGAAAGAGAAAGGGATAAGGTATGTAAATGAGGTACAACCGCGGCTGTAAGTCTGGGACCCACGGTAGTTTGCAAGAAGACCATATCTCTTGTGCACGTGTTTCCCCAGGTAATAAGGTGGAAATAAGCATCTTGTCTGAGCCCTTTAGCATTCTGATGTTTAAAAGAAGGGAAACTCGGCCAGGGAAAGCACTTTCACTCTTACGCCTGATAGCCCAAATTCAGTCCCAGCTCCCTGAAATTGTCCTCTGACCTCCACACTCACATGGTGGCACACACACTCGTCCTGCCCGTCACACACAGATGAAAGTGTATGTGCAGGAAATTTGTAATAGCACCTAGTAAATGCATGGGCATGGTAGCCAACTAATAACTCGGGGTGTTTGTTTACTTTGCTTTTGAGATATAATTATATGATTTTTCTTCCTATCCCTTTTTTCCTTCCAAATACTCTTATATACCCTTCTTTGCAAATTTATGACCTCTTTTTTTAACTAATTGTTCATGCTTGTGTATATGTATGAGCATATGACAGCCTGCTTCCTCTCTTACTTTCTCCTCTATCTCTGCTTGGAATTCCCACCTTATTGAATTCTGCCCTGGGATAGGCCTAAGCAGCTTCTTTATTCATTAACCAAACACATTCACAGCATACATAGGGGAATCCCACATCATTGTACACCAGATCTTCCCTGAGGGTGATTCAAGGAGACACTTCAGGCTGCTGAGAAACAGGACCAGTAGTCAGCTGATGGAGAAATGTGAGAGTAAACTGAGACAGGGTGAGACAGTGTCAGCACTGATACCATCTTCTCCTGTGAAGGCTAGCCAGGACTAGGACCAGAAACTCTCAAACTCTCATCTTTCAGAGACTTTGTTGTATAACTTGACCTTCATAAAATTCCTATGAGCTAAGTACAGTAGGCAAAATAAGCTGTTTTTGATGGATTTCTCATTCCATAAACATGTAGGGACCAGATACTAGGAGTGGAAAAAGTACCTGCAGGTTGTCAGCCTGTGGGCAGTGACTGTGGGGAAAGGAAGACTGGAATCAGGATTATTAGATTCAGGTTGGAAGTGCTGCGCGGGCTGGGTGACTGAGCAGGACAGCATCTAATCTCCTTGAGGTTGGTGTCTTGAGGGCAGAGACACCAACAGTGGTTGTTAAAGGGGCTCAGATGAAGGGAGAAAGTGGACTAGACTGAGGCTTGACTGCAGGAGTGCAGTTTTGTGGCACCTGCTGGGTTTGGGAAGTTGGGATTTGTTGAAAGCAGGAGCAAGAGCTGAAGCTTTGGTGGTGGAGGGAAGGCTGTGCCATTGTTAGACATACTGAGACATTTAGACCATTAAGGTTAGGCGTTAGAGACACATGGAAAGGTTTTGCGGGGGAAAGTAACAATATCAAATTTGTGTTTTTAATTTGTCCAGTTAGGCATTGTGGAAGATAGACTACACAGGAGAAAAGTAGGATGTTATTTGAGGTCTGTGTTCTGAGCACACCAATAAAGCAGTGTAGCGATGGAGCCGTGGAGGAGGGAGAGCCAATACTTGATGTCACTTTGGACTATGAAGGAGAGCAACCCTCGCTTATTCTTAGGCCTGTGACTTGGGGAACATGGTGAATAGTGGTGTTTCCTGAGCTGGGGACCAGGGAAGAGGCAGCCAGCTAGAAGAGAAGCAATGTGTTGGTCTTCGAATGTTTTCTGCTTGGCTCACATTCTGCATGGTAGCCAACACTGAATTAGCTTTTACTGTGTAATGCTGTTGGTTTTCAGTAGTTATTTGTACGAAGGGATTGTTATGTGTGCAAAGCCATGTGTGCTACATTGTTTAGATCTATAATCCACTACAGGCTTACATCTCGCAGTCCAGAAAGTGAAATAAGTTTGTAAGTTTCTTAACTAATAAGAGATTTGGAAACTAATGGCCTAAATGAGATTATCCTTATCTTCTTTTCCCTTAAGTAAGATTAATGCTGGTTTTTCTTTGATTAATGTTAGATCTGCTAGAACCAAACTTCCAGTTCAAGGAACAGAGCTCGAAATTGGACTCTGGAGAACAATCTCTGCTTTGGACCCTGCTACAGGATGTCCCTGCTGCTTGTCCCATTCCACACCGAGCTGCTCAGAAGTTAGAACATCTTACTGCCAAGCTTCAGAAGCTCGACGAGCAACTGTTAACAGTGCAGACCATTGTGGAAAATATAGAGCAGGATTTCCCTGCACCAGAAGTACTGAATCTACACTGGGAAAAGGTATCTATTCTTGTTTCCTAATGCTTTGTTTATTGTCTTTGTGTGTGTGTGTGTGTGTGTGTGTGTGTGTGTGTGCGCGTGCCTATGGTGATGGCTCCCAGTCATTAAATACATAGTATTGTTAAGTATTTTTTCTTAACTGACCAAACCTCTCTGCCGACACACATAATCCCAATCAGACCAAATCAGACCTGATTAGAAGATGCCCATGTTTAATGGCTGCCAGCACTCCCAGGTGGCCCCCAGGAAAACACAGAGAGGGAAAGAGGGAAAAGGGGAGACCATGTGTTTATTTTCAGGGTGGTGGGGGGGCAGTTTAAATAGCCTGTGGGCGTGGTCTTGACCACCATTTGGCATGCTTTCTCGGAGGTGGAGTTTGGACTGAGGCAACTCCCAGGGGAGGTAGCTTTGAAATGGAACTTTCTGCCCAACATTCCAAAAATGGATGCCAGGGGGCTGGGGTAAAGCCCCCTAACTAAATAAGTATGATCAATATGATATAATTTTAGATATCTGACTTTGTTAAATAATGGAGAAAAACTTAAGCTAGAATTTTTAAACTCTGCACTATTGACAGGCTAGATCAGCAATTCTCAACCTGTGGGCTAGGACCTTTTGGGGGATCAAATGACCCACCCTTTCACAGGGCTCTCCTAAGACCATTGGAAAACAAATATTTACATTATGATATAATGTAGCAATAAAATGTTTTGGTTGGGGTCACCACAGCACGAAGAACTATATTAAAGCTTTGCAGCATTAGGAAGGTTGAGAACCACTGGGCAAGATAATTGTTTTTCTTTTGTGGTTCTGAGGTCATTCACATACTAGGCAGGTGCTCTACCAGTGAGCCCCACTCCCAGCTCCAGGTAATTCTGTCTTCCCACGTTTACAGCATCCAGGTCTTCACTCACTAGGTGCTGCTAGCACAACCCGAGTAATAACAGTCAGCCATTGTTTCCCTGACACCGTCACATAACACTCAGTCACCCCAGCTGAGAACAACTGCCAGAAGCTTTTATGTGGGAGCCGGTGCTCCAGCGCGGAAGGAACTCTGTGAGCTGCAAACCAGAATGTGACTTGAAATCTCTGCAGTCAATGGCATTTTCCTCTCAGAGACTTTTTTTTGTTTTTTTGTTTTTGTGTTTTGAGACAGGGTTTCTCTGCACAGTCCTGGTTGTCCATGAACTCATTTTGTAGATCAGACTGGCCTTGAACTCAGAGATCTGCTTGCTTCTGCCTGCTGAGTCCTGGGATCAGATGTGTGTGCCAACACCTTGCAGCTAATGTTGTCTTATGGTTTTTTTGTTTGTTTGTTTGTTTGTTTTTTTGGATTTTTCGAGACAGGGTTTCTCTGTGGCTTTGGAGCCTGTCCTGGAACTAGCTCTTGTAGACTAGGCTGGCCTCAAACTCACAGAGATCCACCAGCCTCTGCCTCCCGAGTGCTGGGATTAAAGGCTTGCGCCACCACTGCCCCTGCTCGGTTTTGTTTTCTGTTTTTTTTTTTTTTTTTAACCACAAACTTGGAAGTGGCCAAATGAACCTTGAGCATCAGAGTAGTCCTTGGAGGCCTTTTCTTCAAAGACCCCCTTGAAATGGCCTTCTGAACTAGTAGTAATGCAAATGTAAAGCCAGATACATATATGTGTATTCTCTCTCTCTCTCCCTCTCCACCCACACATTCTTAAGTAAGCTTATGAAAGGTTTCTTTAGGACTTTTTCAAGTATCCGTACCTATATCCCCTTCCTCACTCCCCACATGTTCTGCCCTTCCTTCTTCACCTCCAGTTTCCAACACTTTCACTCGCCAAGTTTAATAGAACAGTTGGCAGGCCTAGAGACAGGACCACCAGGACACTATGAACAAGTACTAACTTGGAAGCTTAAGAACTAGAGTTTCCTATCACTGCGGAAATTGCTCACCCTCTGGGCCTCGTTTCCACATCTGGATGTAGAAGACTTTGTCAGGATGGTAGCTGACTTTCTCCCTAGCTACAGAGCCATATGAAGGTGTTGCCTAGTCCTTGTGAGAAGCCATGTCAGTTTGGCTGCACGTGGTAAAAGCCTGCTGCTCTTCATGATCCCTGACAGTTAACACATAACTAGATTTTATCATGTTTCTTCCATTTTTGTTGTATTATTTAAAATACTTAAGATATACATAAATTATTCATGATATTTTGACATTATCAAAGAGTATAACATTTATAGCAGTTGTTTTGTTGTGTGTGTTTTCTTCTGTAGGTTGGACGGGTAGATCACATGGAATTGTCTTCTGGCCCTGGAATTGAAAAACCATTAGCTTCAAAAGCCATTAGCATTTCTGAAGAAGGTTTGTGTTGGGTACCTGGGCTGGTATTGAAGCCTGGCTTCGAAAAAGAGCTAGAAATACTTTTTTACATGTAAGCTGAAGCCATTGCTCCCCACCCTATTCCCAATGTTTTATTTTTCTTTTATTTTTTTATATTATACATGTGCTTTTCCTACATGTATATGTATGTACCACATGTGTGCACCTTGTATCTGTTTCCTTAAGGATTTCATTCCCCCTTCCATTATTAGTTCTTTTCAAGTCTGTCAGTGGTAAATCATCCTGGTAAGTAATCACTTAGCTGACTGCAGAATTCTCATGTCTTCTCCGATTCTAGTGTTTCCCTCGTCATTTGAAAGACACTCTCCCAGTATTTGCTGAGTTTACACTGCCTATATGCTGTTAGTCTAACTGATGTTTTAAAATCACTGGTTACTTTAAAAAATTTACTTTTTATTCCTTTTTCTTTTTTGATACAATATCAAGGTATGATGAATTTCTTACACCTCGATAGATTCTCCAGTTTAAAGTTTTACCGTTGGGAAGTGTGTGTTGGTTCCATCTCCCTTTCTCTCCCTCTGTTCTAAAAATGCCTGTTAAGTTTGCTTGGACCTTGTTAATTTAATAGTTTAAACTTGCATGTTTGTTTATTTGCTTGGGAAGCCAGTGAATGCCTGGAAGGCACAGGACAACTTGAGGGGGTTGGTTCTCCTCCTTTAGGTCAAACTGAGGTCAGGCTTGGCAGCAGAAATATCTGCTAAACCATCTCACCAGCCTCTGCTATGTTTTCCCGTTTGTTTCTGCGTGTGTGTTCAGTCTTTCATGCTTTCTTCATCTTAAGGCTCAGTGGTGTATTCATTAGTATTTCTTTCATTTTGTCTTCCTTGTTTTCAATCTGTTTCTGCTTTGCTTTCCTAGCTTTTCTTAAATGTAATTACTTTTTTCACTTTATATTTTTTATAGTTTTTTGTTTGTTTGGTTTTTCGAGACAGGGTTTCTCTGTCTATCTTTGGAGCCTGTCCTGGAACTAGCTCTGTAGTCCAGGCTGGCCTTGAGCTCAGAGATTTGCCTGCCTCTGCCTCCCGAGTGCTAGGATTAAAGGCGTGCGCCACCACTGCCTGGCCACTTTTTATTTTTTATTAAATTAATTCTCTGTACTGTAGAAAACTTTCAGAATGTACTGTGGGCTTCTAACACGTGAGTGTTTCATGTGGAAGCATGAGCACCTGCTACACTTTCCTTTGTGTTTCTTAATCGTATGTGTGTTTTGGATTAGTGTGTCTCCACACGCATGAGGATGTGGATGATCAAAATGATGCCGAGGAAACTTCAGAGACAGAAAATCATTCCAGCCAGAAAACCCACGCATGCCCTTCTGCGGGGTCGGCTCTCGGCTCTTCCGTGGACTTGGACTGGAGCGTCACTTCTCCTGGTACTCTCTTCAGTTCTTAGGGCTCCATGCTCTTGTGCTCTTTAGAGTGTTGCTGTGACTGCACCTGGGAGGGGTCCAGCTGTGAAGGTGTGAAGTAAATACACTTCAACCATGAATGACACCCTCTTTAACGGTTTACCATTGAATCTATACTAATTAGAATTCTCAATTTTTATAAAAATCAAATATAAATTTGAAATGCTAATTATTAGAATTTTAAAACTTAATCTGTAACAGTACTGTGGGTTATTAGTTGAGCCCCTGCTGTGTCCATTGCTGTATTTTATGCATGGGCCCTTTTTAAGGTTGACTGAGGTAGAACTTCATTATTCTCATTCCAGAGTTGAGGGTTAGTGCTGCTGTTTGAGTTGATTTCATGGAGATGCATTGTTATTACAAGTGCCATTCTTGGGTCCTGAGGGCACATTTAGTCATATGAACGATACGCATAGCATTTCTTGTGTAACCCTGGTAACATGAATAAATTGAAGTGTTTTCCCCTAGTATTTAATAGATGGTTTGTAAGATTGAAAAGAAATATTTTTTAAAACAAAATAAGAATTTTGATGCCATAAGTAAGACTCTCCTTCCAGGCTGGCTTCTTGGAAAGTGTATGTGTCATTGCCTTGCTTTTGTCGTCTTTTCTCCTCTACAACCTCCATCTCTTTTTATTTTTTTAAATATTTATTTATTTATTTATTATGTATACAATATTCTGTCTGTCTGTCTGTCCTGCTGGCCAGAAGAAGGCACCAGACCTCATTACAGATGGTTGTGAGCCACCATATGGTTGCTGGGAATTGAACTCCGTACCTTTGGAAGAGCAGGCAATGCTCTTAACCGCTGAGCCATCTCTCCAACCCCGCCTCCATCTCTTTTTAAAAAGTTACTGGCAAGTAGTTGATTGAGGTTGGATTTTAATTTTGGAAACAGCCATAAGATTCCTAGAGACTCTGCTTGTGCAGGAAGACGCCAAGCTGAATGTGACTGTTTCCCATGTGAATGGAGACTTACCCTAGCTAACTGCCGAGTTAGCTCTGAAGGCGGCCCAGAGGAAGAGTTCCAAAAACAGGGTTAGAGTAACAACTTTAAAGTGCTCTTTATGGGGCTGGATAGATGGCACTTGACGTCAGTCTCTACAAACACACAACATGAAAATACTGACCAAAGATTTTTAAAGGTATTTTTATTGAACAATTTTTCATGCAATATTTTTCATCATTAACCTAACCTAAATCTTTTCATTAACAATGTTTCTTTCTTTTAAGGTGTGAATAACGGCAATGAATTATTTGAAAGGTGAATCTTTAAGACTTCATGATTATAAATTTGTGTGTTAAAATTTGTATGTTAATATGTGTTATGGAAATTTTAATGCTCCTATGAATGTGAACTTTTATACTTTTTTTGTTTTGTGTCAGGGTTTGGTTTGTCTGTGTAGCTTTGGCTGTTCTGGAACTCACTCTCTAGACCAGGTTGGCCTAGAACTCAGAGATCCACCTACCTCTGCCTTCTTAGTGTTGGGATTAAAGGTGTGTGCCACCACATCCTCCTGGCTATATTACACTTTTTGTAGTTTAAAGAAGTCATTCCTGATGAGTATTTTAGGAAACTGGGGAGTGCTGCATCTTATTTTTTGGTGGTTTAGAATTAGGTAATTGGAATGTAATAGTAATGAGATTGCACTAGCTGCATCCTTAGGTTATAAGCTACAGCAGTTAAGACCTATACTATAGCTCCAGGGCTGGAGAGATGGCTCAGTGGTTAAGAGCACAGACTATTCTTCCAGAGAACTCTGGTTCCAGCACCCACATGGGAAAAAAACATTTAAAGACCTATAGCTCCTTGTAATAAAATAACAGCAATACCATGTGCCTTTGTATGAGCATGGCATTTCTATTATGACATGACATTCTTACCAAAACACGGCATGATTTTGATCATGAGTAGAATAGAGGCATACCAAAGAAAACTTTATAAAATGACCAGCTAAGATTTCTCAAAAGCATCAAAGTTATGAAAACAAACTACAAAAGTAGAAATTGTTTTGGATTTGAGAAGACAGATGTCATGACAGCAAATTTATAATACCCAAATGGATTCTGTGCAGAAAAAGAACATTAGTGGAACCATTAGAAAAATGATATTGTCTGTAAATTAGTTAATAATAGGTCAATTCCCCAGCTCTGGTTGATATAAGATTATGTCAGGTGATCACATTTGAGAAAGTAAGTAAGGGTATATTGGAGTTTTTCTACTTAAAAAACATTTTTTTAAAATTATGTGTGTGAATGTTTTGCCTGCATGTGTGTCTATGTACCAGTTGTGTGCCAGGTGCCCAAAGAAGGCATCAGATCCCCCGGAATTGGAGTTACAGATAGTTGTGAGCCACCATGTGGCTGCTGGGACTTGAACCCAGGTTCTCTGTGAGAGCAGCCAGTGCTCTTAACTGCTGAGCTATCTTTGCAGCACAAGTTTTGTTTTAATATGTGTCTGTGGGTATGTGGAGTTGAGTGCAGATGCCCGCTGAGGCCAGAGGCATTGGATCCCTAGGAACTGCTGTAGTTACTGTGGGTGCCCTTACCACTGACCCATCTCTCCAGCCCATTTTGCTTCTTTCTTAAAGTCTGGAACTATTTCAGATGAACTGTTTAAAAATGTTTTACTTGGGCTTAGAGCTAGTTTTCTGTGAAGTCATTGATAACCAGGCTTTTCTGCTGAGTGATCCCAGAATTTAGAAGTAGAAGACTAGGTGTCCCTCATTTATGTTCTAGAAAAAGTGTTACATACTCATTTCTGCTTAATGTGATTAAGTCATAGATAACAAACTTATTCATGAAATTTTATTTGCAAGTGTTTCAGAAGATCAGCTCCAGGTGACTGGATTGACTGATATTGCTGACATCATCGATGACCTTATAACCAAGAGTGGAGTCTCCAGTGAGGAGCTTGGCTTAACAGAAAAACAAGCTAGAAGTATATCCAGGTAATCATTGAAAGTGTATTGAAAGTGTGTGCATGCTAGGCATGGGGCCCTGGGTTCTGTATGTGTTTGAGACAAGATCTCAGGGCCTTGCTGGTACTAAGTACATATTCTACAACTGAATTAAATCCCAGCTTCAGAAGGATCTAATCCACTTAAAATAATGCAGGTTCAAAAATATTTAAAATTTTAATTTTAATTTAGTTTAATGATAGTAAATTTGATTTGAAGCTTAGAATAGATGTTTTCCTCATAAATGCTGTGTGGTGTCTTCTCTAACAGCATGCTCACTGTTGTATGTAACTGAGTATGTCTGTGTTCTGGATCTTTCCCCTGGACTCACTGTGGTAAACATATCATGAGGTCTGTTTCCTAGTAGACGTTATTAATGATTAACCCAGAGAAGCATAGTAGCATTCTGTGAAACATTAAAGTGTATTTTCCTCTCAGTCTTTCCTGTATGGAATCAAAGCTGACTATTCCATCCATGTTTTTCTTAATTTTATATACATCTAGGCTTAGTTATATAAAATAGGCAAGCCCGTCAGGTATGGTGGCATATAAAACCAGGGAAGTAGAGACAGGAGGATGTCCAGTTTGAGGTTAGTCTGGCCTACATAGAGAGACTTTATCACAAAGTAGAATTTAACTGAATTTCCTAGTTCAATTAAATTTCATTATTAACTTATTGAAAATCAAACTCAAAAAAGGTGGTACCAGAAAACAAAGCACAAAGAGACTTAAGTATTTTTAAATTTTTAAAATTTTGTGTGTGGAGATGAAGGGAGGGGAGTGAAGAAAAATGAATAGCTCAATAAAAACAATAAAAAATTATGTGTATTTGAGTCAGGGGTAGGGTATGTACATGTGTGTGCATCTGAGTCAGGGGTAGCATATATACATGTGTGCATGCAGGTGCCCAGAGCCTTCAAGTCCCTCTGGATTTAGAGTTACTGATGGCTGTGAACCTCCTGATCTGGGTGCCGCACGTCAAATTTGGGTCCTCTGCACTCTCTGTTAAGAGAATAAACCCCAACTTACTTAACTGCCTTCAGTTGTCCTTTTATCCCCTGAAGTTAATGAGTATGTTATGAACATCTCTTGTCAGTGGTCTACTAAATTAAAGATAGAATTTGATTTCTGGTCTTGAATGGTGAAATTATAGTACAGAGTTGTGTCAATTGTGCTGTGGGAGATCAAGGGAGGAAAGACAGTTTACTAAGGCAGCGTGAGCAAGTCCAGACCTGATCTGTATTTCAGAGGGCTACTGAGGTGTCCCTGCAGAACAGTGGCTTGAGATAGAAACCACTGGCACATGAACTTTGACTCCTCTGAAAAGCAGATGCCGAGATGCAATTTGCTAAGGGCATTCTCATAATTTTCTTTCTTTTTCTTGGGAGGGGGCAAGGTCCCACTACATAGGTTTGGCTAGTCTGGAACTCATTATGTAAACCACACTGGCTTCAACTTCTAGAAACTCACATACCTCTGCTTCCAAAAGGCAGATCCCCACTGTACTTGACTGTTGCTGACCTTTCTGAGAGCACAGCAGAGAGGGCTGACTTGAGTGTGTAGTGCGGTGCCTTCCGTCCAGAGCAGCAGCATTGGATAGGTTTCTTCTGCAGAGCATATCAAGAGTGATCTTGCTTATTTTTCAGGATTCAGCATCCTTCTGGCAGATGCCCCCAAAGAACTGAGAAGGAGAGAAGAGAGATTAAAATCTGGATGAAAAGAAAGCGAAAAGAGAGAATGGCGGAATACTTAAGACAGCTGGCAGAAAAGAGGGGACAGGAGCGTGACCCTTTCTGCCCCAGAAACAGCCCAGTAAGTCTGTAGTACCCCAGGAAAGGCGTTCTCACTGCGTATGTACAGGTTTTTGCTGACAGACGTTCACGGAAAAGGTTAATGTAATTTGGATGCCTTTTTTTATTGAGCAAGTGTTAATCAGTTATTTGAACAAAGTGTGTCAGGCTATTGTGCAAACTGCTCTATTTAATGAATCTAAATATGTTTTCTCTGTCAGGCTAATGAAGGCTCTGTCATAAACAGACGAGGAGGTTGAATGGGTGACCAGCTGGAATTGTTTCTTTCATTTTCAGTGAAACTCATTGGTAGCTGAAACAGCCATGTACATACTGAAGACATTTTTGAAGCTTAGTTTGGGAGGCTGGAGAATGGGTCAATGATTAGTCTATGTTCGGTTCTTGTAGAGTTGTCAGGCAGATCACAATCCCCTGTAACCCAGTCTAGGGGACCCAACACCCTTCTCTTCTGGACTCCTCTACACCCCTGTGTGCCCATTCACACAAATATACATAATAGGTATTCTTTAAACTTGATATTATAGATGTAAGCTACCTACAAAGAATTTTTTGAGCCCTGGTCCATAACTAGCCTAGAACTCTGTATGTAGCCCAGGCTGGCCTCAAACTCACAAGAGATCCTCCTGCCTCTTGTCTCCCGAGTGCTGGGACTAAAAGTGTTGCTTTTAATATGCTTACTACATCCAGCTTTACAAATAATATTATTATTTTTATCTGGAGATAGCAATTTATTAAGTTGCTCAGAATGCTAAATGCATTCAAGGAGCCAAGCTGAAAATAAATGGTTCATTCATGGAGACAGAATTAAAAGAAGGGTCTCTCGGCTGGTGCCATAAGCCAGGGGTATAGCTAGCTACCTGGGAGGCTAAGGCAGAAAGATTTCAAGCTCAAGGCCTCCCTTAGGATATCACGTAGGTTCAAACTCAGCCTAAGCAACCTAGTGAGGCCCTGCCTTGGAATAAGGTATAATATGAATAGGTACATAACTCAGAGCCTAACGTGCTTGAGTCCTCAGCTCAGTCATTCCTAATCACTGAAAAAAATAAGACTCACGTGTTACAAAGAACAGTGTGTGTTGCAGGGATAGTTTCTGCTGTCCTTTAGACAGTGTTAGTTTATAGAATCTTGAGTACTCAAAGTTCTTGTGTCTAGATCCAGGGGAATTTTTTGTTTCAAGAATAAGTAGGCTCAACCCCTAATAACACTTCACCAAATTAGAGCTTCAGAGGTGAAACAAATAGTATTGCCTTGATCATCCTATCACTGTGACTGTGAAAGCAACGTGTGGACTTAGGGTTTTGAGTACTAGATTTAGAGTATTGGAGTGTATAATCTATTACTCCTTTATAAGCCTAAATAAAATATAATTTAAAAGGATCATTATAAATATATTATTACATTGTGTAAGTGAATTTTTAAGATAAGATTGTCATATTTAAACTACATGCAGCAAAAGTCAGTGTAACTCTTACCTAAAATTTGTGATTTGGGTCAGCAGTATGACAAAGGTATTTTCTGGCACTTTGAATTTGCTCTCAAGAACATACATGATGGACAGAGAATCTCCATACATATTCCATGATGTGCACATATCCACAGACTCTTACAAATAAATAAAGTGTGTGCTTTACTTACCTGACTGGGGGAAAACCTGTAGCTGTAAGGTAGCACTTTCTTTTTTAAATTAGTTTATGTGTGTGACCATTTTGCCTGCATGTATGTCTGTGTATTGTGTATCGTGAGCATGCCTGGTGCCCACGGAGGCCAGAAGAGGGCTTTGTATCCTCTAGACCTTTGAAAGCTGCCATGTGGGTGCTGGGAGCAGCCACACCTGGATTTTCTGGAAGAGCAGTCAATGCTCTTAACACTGAGCCATCTCCAACCTACCAACACTTTCTTAGTGAACTTTCAAGTATTCAAGTACATAATGAGAATCTTGACATGTACAGGGATGTATGTGTGCATGTATGTGTTCTCTCTCCCGCTATGGGATAGCTATGCTCTAACATCACCTTCACTGTTCTCTCTCCATCAGAGGGTCCCAGGAACAAACTTGGGTCTTCAGATTTGGGCAGGAGGTGCCTTTCCTTGCTGTGCCATCTCACTGTTCCTAATCCATAAAATTTGAAAAATAAGTCATAATGAACTCATTGCACTAGGTTTTTAGAGACAAGGTCTCTCTTTTAGTTCAGGATAACGTGAAATTCATGATCCTCTTGCCTCAGCCACCTAAGCTGGGTTCATGGTGTTTTAATCTAAGATTATATTTTACACTAAGAGAGAAAACCTTCTGGTGTTTTGCACCTTTGTAAATGCCAGAAGAATGTCTGGTTCTTTAATTGTTTGGACTGAACAATAATGAACTAACTGGGTATTTTTCCTGTGCAGTTTTATATGACTTCAAGGCAGATCAGGCAAAGACAAAAGATGAAACATGAAAAAGATAGGTAAGTCTGGAGCTGGTACCCTCAACATGCTCTCTAGCTCGCTTGCACCTTGGGGATTACATAATAGCTTCCTGTTAGTAACAGAACGTCAAGGGAGATACCCCTTTATGAAAAGAAAAGCTGCTCAGGAATTTGCTTTCAAACCTTTCTTGTGTATTCACTCTTATTTCTGCTGCCCTCCCATATTAACCTGGATTCATCTGTATGCGTCTCAAATACCTCAGAAGCCAAACCACAAGCACCTTTATCATCAGCGTGCTGGTCCTTTGAGCCAGGATGTCAGTATGTCCCCAGGTCGGCCTCAAAGTAGCCATCTCTCTGCCTCCATCTCCCAAACTCAGTAATTATAAAGTGAGCCTGTAGCACCCTCCTCCAGGGGGCTGTAGTCATCCACTTTGCTGTCCAGTGACTGGGAGAAGTCTGAGAAGGTAGAAGGATTTGTAGAGCGTGTGCTCACTCTAGAAAGGAACAGGAAAGTGACATTTGGTTTCTAAATACAGATTGCTACTGTCTGACCACTATAGTCAGCGGCTCTCACAGGCATACTGCTTGATGAATGAACTGCTCTCTGACTCAGTGCAGCTAACAGCACCTGAAGGGAAACCCTTACCTGGCAGATCCCCCACCGCTCAGCACTGCAGACAGCAACGTTCCTCTTCTCCAAGGAGGTAAGACAAGTTTGGCCTGTCACCTGGCAAAATAATCTCAGAACCTACCATAGCATTGAGAGTTGCTTGCTTTCAGAGAGGGTTTCCTGTATCCCAGGTGGACCTTGAGCTTCCCTTCCTCCAGCCACTACCTCCTGAGGATTACAGGTGTGCACTACACACCCTGCTTATGCAGTGCTGGGCCTTGTGCACGCTGCCCGCCTAGCCACGCCCCTTCATCTTTGCTACCTCGAGTTATATAAAGTGAAAAAATTAGCGCCATAATTATGAACTCTTAGAAATTTAACACAATTTTTGCCTTTTCCTTGGTTATTCTATAAATTTCTAAGTAAGCTATGACAAAGCATTTTGGAATACCTGGAATAGGGTGTTTGTCTCTTCTGGAATTTGCCTCTTACTTCCTCTCCTCCCCGCCTGCTATTATCATCCAGGCCACCTCTCACGGTCTGCACGCCCCATTGTTACCCTCCCACTGTCCAGTCATGCCCATCCAGCTGCAGCTCAGCAGAGCTCTCCATAAATTAACCCCTGCAATCCAGTAGGCAAAAGTTTATTAAATAGAGACAGGTGTAAATATATGTTAGTGATTTATATAGTTCTTATTGAGAATATCAAAGGCACCTAAGAATTTTTCTTCAATAAAATAGAAGATTAAGTACATAAATAAACTGCCACATATATTGAGAAATTGAAATGGGTATATCCTTTATTATTATTAAAATTTTGCTTGTCAAAATTTAAATGTTTTGAAGAATAATGTGTTTGATGTCTGAGGTAACTGCAGCATAGCATAAGCAGCGTTGAGTTTTTAATAATCAAGTGATTCTCCTTTAGAGAAAATCCACATGGGCAGACTTTCCTAATAAACCGGCCTGGAGGAGGCAGACACATTTCCAGTCATCTCCAAAAGGAGAAACCCTTGGGACAGCTCCAAGGCTCATCTTGGCGGCAGCGAGGTAAGATTTGAAGCTCCCTTTTCTTTTGTGATTTGACTGTGTAATTGGGGTCTCCAAAGTTATTTTATTAGTAAGAAGAAACTCCAGTGGCATCGAGCAGCTTTTATTTATCCCAGGAGTTTGCTCTGTTGCTCTGCAATGCTGGTTCTCCTGCTTCACTGTCCCAGGTGCTAAGGTTAGTAACCTGAGCCGCCACTCCTACATCATGGCTTCTTGGAGTCCATGGAAAAACTGTTTATATTGGTCCCATTGTGAGCCATTGCTGTCACCTGCAGTAGCTCACACCCATACAGACTTCCTTCCAAACCTTCTCCACAGCCCCAGCCACCTTCCACAACTTCCCAGCCTTTTTGTACTCTCTCCCTTAGTGGAAATCATCCTTTACACCCTGAGTGTCTTTGAAGACATCCTTATCCATTTAAGATTGCGTCTTGCAGACTGGAGCGATGGCTCAGTGGTTAAGAGCACTGGCTATTCTTCCAGAGGTCCTGAGTTCAATTCCCAGCAACCACATGGTGGCTCACAACCATCTGTAATGAGATCTAGTACCCTCTTCTGACTTATAGGGATATATGCAGGTGGAATACTGTATACATAATAAGTAAATTTTTAAAAAGGATTGAGTCTTGCTATATATCTCAGAGAGACCTCAAGTTCAGTCTTGTACATCAGCCTTCTAAAAAGCTAGGGTTATAGACGGATGCCATTGCATGTGGCTTAGGCAGCCCGAATTGTAATCCTTTAGGGAATCTAATGTGACATGTTCAATTTTAAGTTTATATCCTCATTATGAATGGAAGCTAATACTTGCACAGTTGCTATGAAGAGGCTGTAATTAGTCTGATAGAGACCGTGAAAGTCCACAACTGACTGATTATAACAGCACTTTCTTCCTCATCTTTGCATTCCCCTCCATGGAGCCAATGAAATGCTTGAATAGCCAGCTAGGAAGTTAAACTCAGCTGTTGAGCTTTTTTCTTTATTTGCCTAAACACATGAAAACAGATTTTTTGTTTAATAATAACAGGAAAGTATTATAGCATATATATGTGTATATATGTATATCTGTGTGTGCATATACTACCACCAGATGCCTGGCCATTGTCTTTCTTTCAAACAGTCTAGGTTTTAGGATCTTCCAAACTCTGTACCTATTTTGAGCCTTCAGGTCTACTATTAACTCTCATACCTGGTGTGGAAGCATACGTGCAGAGTCCTAGTACTTGGAGATAGATAGGAAATGGAAGGATCAATAGTGTGCTTTAGGCTACTTGAGCTCTCCTGGTGAAGCACACATGAAGTCCTGCCTAGTGGGAGGTTAAGGCAAGAGGATTACTTGAGCCAGGAGTTCAAGACCAGTCTAGGCAACATACTGAGCAGGCTGCACCAGAGTTGCCTTTTGCTACATTGTGTGTGGTTAATTTTCCTTAGCACAAATGTCTCCTGGTGTAGACAGAGACAAAAATGATTACAGGGTCTCTTTTACACATGGATTCTCCAAACAAACTGGACAATGACACAGTCATCAGAGGAGAGAGGGAAATGTGGGCTCTAGGACGGAGGACACAAAGTAGCAAAGGGGACCTGGAGGAAATGTGGGCTGTAGGACACAAAGTAGCAAATGTGTAGACATATACCCCCAGAAAGTTGAGAAAAGCCCTAGGGCAGTTAATATAGTGTATTGTGTTCAGGAGTTTTGCTGAATGGTTAACTGTTACCTGGTGGAAATGTTAATTTATTACAACATATACCCATTTTACCATGTCTGTGTATTTCCATAATCAATGTAAAATTTATCAAAAATAAAGCTTTGTCCACACTGGAGGTAAGAAAACCCTACTTTGAATTTTTTTTTTTTTTACACAAAATGAATGTTGGACAGGCCGAGTAAGTCCGAAGGAAAGTCATGGTCCAAAGAGAACTACAGGGTCATCAAGGTTAAAGGCAGCTGGTACTCAAGTCAGTGGAGACACTGCTTGTATCATCTTTCTAGGTGTCAATAATTATGTTGATTTCATCGAACAAGACAGTTATGTCTAGACAAGAATTAATTGTACCAGAGGTTGGCATAGGGTGGGCAGGTGTTTGCAATCGCCTGGGTTGACCTCTGCTTGTATCCTGAGCACTTGAAGGACTGGCCTGGCCTCTCGCCTTCCCGCCCTCATGGTTAGGATATTGACTCTCCACTTGGTACCTTCTTTCCTTCCTTCTTTTCTTCTGTTCTTTTGAGACAGGCATTCTTGCTCTAGAGGTGAAATCACCATTACTTTCAAATCAGAAGATGTGGTAAGAACTGGTATTTGTGTGACATTGTTGTAACTCCTGTGGATCGAATCTTCGCTAGGGTACCTGGTTTGGCCTTAACAATAAGGTCACAATCAATGCATATTTGAATGAATTGGTTAGTTCCTGTGTGTTTCATTTTCCCTTTAAAGGTTCTAATACTCCATGTTGGAGCCTGCAGCATACGAAAAGCCATGAGACCGTTGGGGTGCCTCCTCCAGTGGAGCAGGGGTACATGGAGTATGACAGAGAAGAGGCGGTAGTGAGTCCCTGGACTCTGCCTTCAGAAATCCACAGGATTCTTCACGACAGGCCTCTGCTACAGGTGAGTGCTGCCCAGAGTTCTTCCGTGTTCCTGCTTTTTTGTAGGATTTGAAAATGATTATTACTGTGGTCATTTTGAAATCATCTGTCTCATCTTTCTTTCCTTCGTTGTGTGTATGTATTTACATATGTATGTTTTGTTTGAGATAGGACCTCATGTAGTTTCTACTGGTTTGTGTTTTTGTTTTATTTTTCATTTTCTTTGAACCCAATGATAAATTTCCAACATCTTCTAATGCTTTCCTCCCTCTCCCAAAGTATCTCGGTCCCTCTGTTGCTTTCTTTGCTGGCTCTCTAGACCGTCTGTATGTCTGATACCTCTGATCTATCACCATTTCAGGGAGTCTTTTCATTTTCCTCCTATGTTAGATACCCTCACACACCTTTTGTTTCTTCCTAGTTGTATGTGTGTTTGTGTATATCTGAGTTTGTTTGGTGTGTGTGCGGTACACATGCACAAGCCACCACTCCGTTCCCTTGAGAGGGTGGCTCTGCTGTATTGGCAGGCTAGCGAGTCCCTTTGGTCAGCCTTTCTCTGCTGGTTAAGAGTGCATGCAGCTTTCCTCCATGGGCTGGGGTCTAAGTACAGGTCCTCGTCCTTGAGGCAGGCACGCTTAGCTGTGGAGCCATCTCTCTGGCACTGGAGTCTACACCCTCCAGGCCCTTTGAGAAGTCCAGACTTGGTTCCAGCTCGATGTAAAGTTGAAATTATTCTTGAACTCCTGATCCTCCACTTCTAGAGTGCTGGAATTGTAGGCATGCCCATCTCCTAGGGTTTCAAACTCTGTCCTCCCATTTAGCTATCATAATTCTTTTTTGTTTTGTTTTGTGTGTGTTGTGTTTCAAGACAGGGTTTCTCTGTAGCTTTGGAGCTTGTCCTGGAAATAGCTCTTATAGAATAGGCTGGCTGCGAACTTAAAGAGATCCGCCTGCCTCAGCCTCCCAAGTGCTGGGATTAAAGGCGTGCGCCATCACCGCCCAGCGAGGATTCTTTCTTTTTAATTAGAACAGTAAAGAACAGATTACTGGGGATGGAGAGATGGCTCAGAGGTTAAGAGAACTGACTGCTGTTCCTGAGGTCCTGAGTTCAATTCCCACCAACCACATGATGGCTCACACCCATCTACAATGAGATCTGGTCTCCAGAACTCTATATACATAATAAATAAATTAAAAAGAACAGATTCCCTCGTCAGATCTGAGGCCCACAGTTGTGTTTGCATCTTGTCAGAGCAGACCTGCTCGGCAGCTCCCTTTACCACTGTCCTTCCAACTCCACAGGACATGTCGCCCACTGAAGAGGAAGAACCTGATTTGTCTTTCTTGGCGGGTGGCATGGACAGCGTGTCTGAGAGCACTGGCAGCATCCTCAGCAAGCTCGACTGGAGAGCCATTGAAGACATGGTGGCCAGCGTGGAGGATAAGAACGCAAATGTCCACTGGGCCTCAGACCAGTAGGGCCTGGCTAGCACTCTCTGTCAGCATCTCACTGATGTGCTTCTGAGAATCTGTGGGTCTAAGGCCAGAGATGGGACTTACAGCCTGGAGCCACAGGGTTCCCTGGGTTAGCCATTGCAAGAGGGAGAGTAAACATGTCTGTAATATTACTTTATGGGAAAGGTGGTTTAACTAGAGAAAAGTATTTTGTTTATCATTGATTCATCTTAAGATGATTTAAACAATACATACATATCAAGCCAGGTTTTCACAATATTTAAATTATTTTGAATAAAAAAAGTCTTGTATCTGCCTCCTCCTACTACCCTGTGTTTGTGGAGGATGTGACAGAGAGCCCTGTCGCTGGGGAAAGTCAGTCTCTGCATACAGCTGTTGGGCAGGCTCTGGCCGAGGACCAGCAGGAGCCGGCGACTTCATAGGAAATCCTGGCTGAACAACACTGAATTCTTGTGTTGTGTGTGCATGTGTGGAGGTCACAGAATAACATGCAGGAGTTGGTTCTCTCTGTTCTCTCTCCCATGTTAGCCCCGGCGCTCAAACTGGAGTCATCAGGCGTGGCAGGGCCTTTTGTCCGCTGAGCCGCCTCTCTAAGACGCTCATCTTAACCTTGTAAAAAGCAAAGGACAGCAGCCTCCTAGCTTTGGAGATCATTTTCAAAGAAATGGCTAAATCCCAAGAACCTCTAGTGCCTGTCACTTTGGGTCATTTTGGAAGGGTCCTTGTCTGAAAAGGCTGAAGCGTTCCGAGTGCCCGACTTTGTGACGTCAGATGTACTCCATGGTCTCCAACCAAAGCATCATTTAGCATTGGAGAGGTGCAGAATCGTCCGGTCATTGTATTCTCATGGTTTTCCAAAGTCTGTGTTGGGGGCCGAGAATGCAGTGCAGAAATAGTGTGTGCCTACTGTGCATGCCCTGGCTGTGATCGAGCTACCCTAAACTTTCTATGTGGTGGGGGATTAATCCAGGCGGTGTCAGAGGGATCTGAGGGCTGGCCGCTCAGCTCAGCACAGCTGGGTGAGCAGTTCACTCCCAGGGTGTTTGGTTCCTTTACTTAGTTCCCACTCTGGCATATGGTCTCCTGATGGCTCTGCTTTTGTTTGTATATTGCTCAGTTAGGTCTTGGGTGTTGTTTTTACTACACCTAGTTCTATTCCTCAATCACATCTCATATAAAACCCTTATTTCATCTTATTTCTCTCATTCCTGTTTCTTTTTGCTTCTTAATTAAAGCCTTCTATAGCTTTAACAATTCCTAAAATCTGAGGGTCCTAACCATGCCCCACTTTAACCATTTAGCTGTTTTACCCACTCAGTACTTAGCCAGCCTACTCATTCATCTATTTCCTCTCAGTTCTAACTCTGTTAGCTGAGATCTGCATATACATAATTCATAGAGAATACTGTGACAGAAAACACATACAATTGGACATGTAGCCAGAGAGTAACCTTATTGCAGCAGTAGTGGGTGATTTTGGCACTCCACCCTCACCAGATGACAGGCAGGTCTTCCCAACAGCAAATAGATAGAAATATGCTAATGAGGTAATGTCATAGAGCAAACACTTGGCAGCCAGCTACAGGACACGGCACCCAAACATATTTATAGCAGCCCATGCAGCTTTCTCCAGTGTAGAGCACATATTGGGATACAAGACAAGTATCAACAGATAGAGGAACGTGGAATTAATTCTTTGTATCTTATCTAGTTGAAATAAGATTCCAAATATATACCAAGAGAAACGCTAAAAAAAAAAAACCCACAAGCTCATAGAGATGAAACAATAAAACTTTGAATAGTTAATGAGTCCTTAAAGAAACCAAAAGTGAAATGATTTGTAGAATCTGAGAATGAAAACACACATCCTCAAATCTGTGGAATACACTGAAAGTATCCCAGTGCTTACGTTAGGAAAGTCAGTCTCAAATAAATGATATATGTTAGAGCTCTGGAAAAAAGAAGCAAACCCCAAATCAGTAGACAGAAATCATCGCGATCAGGGCAGAAATTAACGAAAGAGAAAAAAATATTTAAAGAACCAATGAGACAGAGTTGACTCTTTGGGAATATAAATGCATTGACAAATGTTTAGCCAAACCAAAAGAAAAAGACCCAAGTTAAAAAAAAATAGAGTTGAAAAGCTGTTACAACAGATACCAATGTAATTCAGAATATCATTAGATTTACCTTAAAAACACTCCACTAAATTGGAAAATCTAAAAGAAGTATATTAATTTCTAAATACATATGACCTACCAAAATGAGATAAGTTAAGCAACTATAACAAGCAGTGAGAAAATCAGTAATTCTAACTCTCCCAACTAAAAAGAAGCAGACCCAGATGGACTCACAGGTGAATTTTACCAGACCTTGGAAGAGCTACACCAGGATCTCTCCACTTTCCCCATGAGATAGAAAAGGAAGGAACATCACCAACCTCTCTTCATAAAGCTAGATAAAGACAACAGGAAAATTATAGCCCAAGCTTGCTGCTGAGTAGAGATGTAAAACCTCAACAAAATACGTCCAAGTCGAATTAACACACACAACAAAGATCATTATGGTAAAGTTAGACTTATTCCACAGGTGCCAAAATGGTTTGGTAAATGGAAGAAACCCAATCAAGAATGTGAAAGACCTCTGTAATGAAACACTGAAAACAAACAAAAAAAAAAAAAACAGCAACAACAAAAAATTGAAGACACTAGATAATGGAAAGACCTCACACGGAGTAAAAGAATTTTATGAAAAGAGCTCTCTGATGAGAGTCTACAGATTCATTGTAATACTGATCAAAATTCCAGTGGTTTTCCTCAGAAATAGAAACAACAATATTCATACAGATTTACAAGTAACCCTGGACAGTCAAAGCAACCCTAAGTAAAACAGAGTGTTGCTGGAGGTATCATACCTATTTTCAGGTTATATTACAGAGCCATAATAATAAAAACAGCATGGTACTGGCACAGACTCAGACGTGTAGATCAATGTAGGACACAGAGTCAAGCCCATTCAACTAAACCCACCTCAGTCTTGATAAAGATACACATTGGAGAGATTAGCATCTTCAACAAATGGTGCTTGCATATCTGGTATGTACATGTTGAAGGAGGAAACTAAATTCTTATATCTCACCCTGCACACACACACACTAGCTCCTTGAGAGATGGCTCAGTTTTTATCACCTATTGCTCTTACGGAAGACCTAGGTTCTTTCTGTTCTGTCACCTACATAGCGGTTCACAACTATCCAACGCTCCAGTTCCAGGGTGTCTAACATCACCTACTGACTTCCAGGAGCACCAGGCACACATGTGGACCACATAAAACCATGTAGGCAAAACATTCAAATCTTTTAAAACAAAAATCCCTCCAAATGGATCAAAGAAAAAGTCCAGCTGTCCATCAGCTGATGAAGGAAAATGAATATCTGGTATATTATATAAATATATAATTTATTTAGTAAAGAAAAATGAGTCAGGTGTGGTAGTGCACACCTTTAATCCCAGCACTCAGGAGGCAGAGCCAGGTGGATCTCTGAGTTTAAGACCAGCCTGGTCTGCAGAGCAAATTCTAGGGCAGCCAGAGCTACATAGAAAAGCCCTGTCTCAAAAAAGAAAAGAGGGGAGGGGGAGGGAAAGGGGAGGCGGCGGTGGGGAAGAGACAGAAATGTTTAATAAATAAATAAATTAATTAAAAAAAAATAAAAAAAAAACAAAACAAAAAAAAAAGAAAAGAAAAAAGAAAAGAAAATGAAATTCACAGGTAAATGAATGGATATGGAAAAAAATGATTCTGAATAAGATAACACAGGTCCAGAAAGATAAATACCACATCATCTCTCCTTTACAGATGTTAGCTCTGAATGTGCATTTGTGTATGTTTCTTTTGGAATACTCGGGTCAGAAATCAGTAAGAGGCCATGTGGGGGTGCTTCTAAGGGAGAGGAAAGAGCTTAAAGTGGATTAGTAGAACAGAAAGTTAAAGTGTGGTCTTCACTGGAGTGTGGTCAACCTCCTGAGGGGAACACTCCTGAAAAAAACTGACTCTTCCTTGCCCCCAGCTATCAGTTGCCATTAGCTCCTTAGCTAGGGGTGGGACTTCCTGCCAGCTCCCCTCTCTCTGCCGAGACTGGTCGGTACTGAGCTGGCCTTGTACATGCTGTCACAATGGCTGAGCGCTCTTAGTGCGACTGACTGCTCTGCCGTGTCCTAAAGACTCCATTGACTTGCATTCTTCCATTGCCTCCGACCCTTAGTCTTCCCAGTCCCTCTTCTACAGTGATCCCGAGTCCTGGGGTTTGTGTGACGCCGTGATGGGGAAGCACATGCCAAACAAACCCCGTCCTCCCCACGTTGCTTTGGCGATGGGGTTTCATCACAGCATAGGAACCCTGACTAAGACAGTGGGTATCATGAACACACAGAAGAGCTAGAGAGCGCTCATGGTGACTCAAGAGACAGGCACCCTGTAATACAACTAGAGGAGGAAAGAGAAGTACAGAGACCCTGAGAACCTCTCACTTATAGCCCTGAATGTAACTAGTCTGAACTCTCGGCTAAAATACACAGACTAGCTGGTTATATGAGACAAGATCCAGCACTCTGCCCCGCCCAGGAAACACTCCTCCACGGCAAAACATCCGGAGCTGAGAGTTAACATGCGGTCAACACAGCAAGAAAATAGAAGCCCACACAAGCTGACATAGCTATTCTGACAAGCAGGCTCCAAATCGAAGTTAGAAGAGATAAAAGGGCGAACGTATTAATAAAGTAACTGCATATTATACATAAGTAACTATATATTAATAAAGTAATATGGTAACTATATATTAATAAAGTAATATGCTATCAAAAAGTTATAACAGTTGTAAATGTATATGCACCAAACTTCAGGACTTTGGAATTTGACAAAACAGGTACTGGGCATAAAACAAAACAAAACAAAACAAAAAACAGTGCTTCAGATAAAATAACATTGGGGGACTTCACAATTCTTATATTCAAGAGGTAGGTTCATGTGGTAGTTTAAATGTAATCGACTCCTATGCTGGGCGGTGGTGGCACACACCTTTAATCCCAGCACTCGTGAGACAGAAGCAGGCAGATCTCTGTGAGTTTGAAGCTAGCCTGATATACAAGAACTAGTT